CCGCGGCGTCTCACTTGCTTCCATTGAGAATACCTAAGTTAGCCTTCAATTGCTTCCGCACGGTCTGAGCATGCACAATTCATTCCTTTTATCATTATGAACACACTTCTGTTGCTGTTTATACCAGTTTGAAGTGACCTGGTTGTGTTGGAGGTGCAGGAGTATGGTGGAAAAGAGTTTTTAAAAGGGGGGTAGGGGGTGAGGTGGGATGGAGTGTGTGTATGTATTGGGGGGGTTGATTGCACGGTTACTTTGTCTGTTCTCCCTCTGAATGGACTCTTCTTGCTACAAGGAGCTCAGGTGTCTTTATGTGTGTGTATTTGTGTGTGTGTCTGTGTGTGTGTGTGTGAGTTTTATTCCCAGGTAGACCATGGTGAGTGCTCTCAAGTTAGTGTCAGGTGTCAGGCAGCTACTTGTCTTTATGTCTTCAAGGCTGCCGATGCTTGGATAGTGTTTACAGCCCAAAGAGCACAACGGAGAGAGGGGGGAAGACGGGGGAGGAGACGAGGGAGAGAGCGCCCGGCTTTGATCTGATGAAGACTGTTTGATAGCCAGTGTGCGAGTGAGAAAGATGAAGAGAAAGGGCGAAAAAAGTGCAAGCATACTTTTTTTGAGGCATGAACAGATATCTGACAACTGTATATGTGTTGTCTATCTGTGGATGGGGCCCAGGCTCTCAGGGGCCCTGACAGGTTTTCAATTTGATCAGTCTTTAAGGAGTGTTATTAAAACCACTAAGGAACAGTGTCATTCAGTTAAGACTGAAATGTAACACAATCAAAACAAAGGGCATATCAAATCAAGTTTCTGAAATGGGCCAATTCAAGAATGATGCGGTTTTTTTTTTCATGAAAGTGTGATACCCCTTAACAAGAACCATAACTGTCTCCACACACCAAGCATGAGTAAAATCCTCATTTTAAGTCAATGCAAAGACACGATTAGACGCTCCAACTACTCTGGCGGCGCAAATGACGCGAATTGAGTGCGAGCTGAAAATGTCTCAACTTGAGCGGATATTCGTGTCGCGATAAACAATCAGCATGAAGGTTGCCTGGTGACGTATGAAAATGGACAGCATGTGGGTGCCCCAAATTATACAACACCTTTTCTTTCAATTACCGAAACCAGAATTAAAAGGAACTCGCCTGGAGTCAGGTGAGTGAGGAGGTCGGATTATCTGGTAAATTGTAAAAAACCTTTGTCTATCTCTTGATCCCACCGGTTGAATTGGCAGGGATTACCATTGAATTTACCATTGACGCGCAATAAAGCGAAAAAACACTATTCATTCACATGTCTAGATTAGCGCAAATTAAGCGAGTAGATGATTTTACTCGTGCTTGGTGAGATCGCCCCGTTAGATAGACAAAGAGATGGATTTAAAACTGGCCTTGAGTCTTCTGGTGGACAGACACACGTGCCAGTCTGTAAAACGGTTTAACTCTACTGTGACGATGAGCTTTTTAACATGGGTGCCAACTGGGATCCCTTGTCTTTGGAAACATCACAACCATGAGTTTTTTGCACTTCCACTCTGGCTCCATTTTCCACACTTGGATTACTGCTAGGCAATATTTACAAGAGTACTTCAGCAAGACAAACACAAAAGTGCATGCCAGTAAATATTGTGTACTGGCAACTGAGGTGAGCAGATAAAAATCTGAACCATCAAAACTCTGCTCAGAGTTAATGATGTCGTCACTCGCTCTTTAAAAATGGTTTTGATTATTACTTGCTGTGTGGGCCCACAACGGCTCAGCCTGTTTTCAGGTGGACTTTTTTACAACAGGGGCTGGCAGGGATAAGCAAAGCTATAGATGGAGTGAAAAACTAATTTGTCCGTGTCCACACATGAATCAAGTCTAAAAAAATATTCAGGAGAACAAAAAGGTCTTTGCAAAGACGTATCATATCATTACAACTCATCTGCCAAATTAGCATGAGTAACTGGCAGCGCACATGGCAGAGCTCTGCAAGCGTGTGCAGTTGCATCTCCGCAAGCGCATGCACAGTGGGAAGTTGGATCTCTGCCTGGATCTCGGCTGTGATTCGGAAAACAAGGCAAACTCTCTAATGTTGTTCTTTGTTGTGCTGTTTTCAAACTTATATAGTTCGTTGACTTAGTTTCATATTATGAATTGAAAGGTTTGGAATCAATCGGGCTGTTTGAATCCCGGCGCTCTACATGTAGAGAGTTAAACCTGCTCAGGATTGTACTCTGTTATTGCTTTGAAACAATCGGTAAAGATCTGTTTTCCAGATTTGTGCATTGGAATATTAACAGCTACCATTAAATTATCTTTAGGAGGCTTTTGTTTGAAATATGTGAAACTTCCTCGGTGTTGACTGAAACTAAAACTGTATTCTTTGTCAAAAAAAGACTGGAAAAAAGGACTTTCAGAACAGGTGCATTCTGATACAATAAATAACTTCGTTTTATAACAACAAAGATCACCAGGCACAGCTGTTTTGTAATCTAAGTAAAAAAGGGTGGATAAAAATGGAGATTGGGAGTCCAACTGTTAAAGGGTTAGAAAGAGAAAATACGCAGAGACAGACAGGAGACCAGACATGCAGGTTCTTTATAGTGTGTGTGTTTTAGGGTTGCCCCAAGGCTAGACAATTAAAGAGCATTTAAAAAGATGACAGAGCTCTGTGCCTAAGAAAGGCGAGAGGTGGAGTTTGCAGGTGTATGAAGAGCATGTGCACACTTCTGAATACACACATATGTGCCAGTGGGAATGTGTGTGTTTGCTTTAGGTATAGGTGTGCTGTAAGATCACGCAGGGTATTACCAGAGGAGAGTTTGCACATACGCCTGATCACTTGAAAACAATTCACAAAAAACATTTTTGCTCGGACAGACGGAGAGAGAGCAGCATTGGACATTCCACTACAAAGAGGAGGAAGAGAGAGGGAGCGGGCACAAGCGAGAGAGAGAGAGAAAGAGAGAGAGACTATGTGAAGAACAGCTCTGAAAGAGTTTTTGTGGGGCCAAAACAAAGGCCCCTCAGAAAACACAGTGGCATAGGAATGTTAATTAATTAATGAGGAACTATTCAGCATACAGAGAATGGCGTAGAAAGAAAAAGGCAGGGAAATACTGACACAGAGAATCAGACGTACTCACCGGAGGGATAAACCAACTTATACAGGGTGCAAAGAAATTCTAACTGTGCTGTTATTTTTCTTAAATAGCGCGCGGTGCATTTAATCTGGGTCAGTTTCAAGTTTTCCAAAGCCTGTTAAGAGAACTTAAGTCACAAATTAGCATTTTTGCATCCTAGTTTTTAATACTACTGCTGTCAATAGAAAAACTCAGTTTCTTAAGCCTTGCTTTCCAGGAACTCAGAGTACAGCCTTGTTTTCCACATTGACCCACATGCATTTCTGAGTTAATCCTGAGGGGTTTGCAAAGATTTTATGAGCCCAAGTGGCTGTCAGATTTTATCAGGACCATGTAATCCCTCTGCTAAAACGTGAAAATCACTAGAGTTATGAGATGTATTGTAAGGCTAACTCTATTAGGGATTTCTCAAATGTATGCCAATCAATTGTAACCCTATGTGCAGGGTATTATTATTGCATTACCCCTGACTGGAAAACTTCAAGATTCCTCCCTGAGGCAGTTTTCTTGCCACTGGGACATCCCTGAAATAAAACAGGACAAAGGGCAAAATGAAGCCAGAGTTTCCTCTTCCTTTGGGTTCTTATAATTACAAAGCAGCATCAGTTTGCTATCCTATATTTACAGGTGCGGTGGTAAATCAGTTGTGTCTCATTCGTGGCATTCTTGCCCAGCTGTTTATTGACCTCATTTGTCCTCAAGGAAAGCAGACTTTTATTTTCTTCATCTACAAGAACTATGTGTAGTCATGAAGGGGAAAGGGGGCTCATGAGGGGGCCCCATATTCAAGATTCTGTGGAAAACTGCAAGTAAGCACAGATAGACTGTGAAATACAGATAGGCTTTAGCCCGAGGCAGCTGACACTTCTTCACAAATCCACACTCTTCCCTCTATAGACCAGAGTGTGTGTGCATGTGAAATGGATATGAGAGCAATCGTTGCTCGTGATGTGTTATTTTCTATGGGGGTCCATGCGTGTGTGTATGCATGCAAGTGCGTGTGTTTTTCGCGTGTGTGTGTGATCGCGACATTCCAGCAGCAGAAACCTGAGAAGGTGTGACTTACGAGACACTGGATTCTGCTCTTTCTGGGGACTAAGGGGTGCTGAAGTGTCAGAATTTCAATTTCCTCCAAATAGTCACTCCCAGTCACACACTCTGACCCTCTGCATCTCTCTGACACAGACAAACACACTCTTCTGCCTTCTTCTTACATCCTCAATTTCTTTCTTTTTTCCTCCTCTCTGTTCCAGCTGAAAACACTTCCTCTTTCTCACATCACTTCACTGTACCATCCTTTTTTTCTTCTTCTCATACCCTCTCTCTCTCCTCAAACTGAACTCACAGGCAGAGTAAAAACAGGGGGGAAAGGAAGAGAGGGAGCAAGAGAGGGAAGAGTTTTGAGAATCGCGGGCCCCTCCTACTTTCCGGAGATGCTCCAGCCCATCCCTAAATTGTGGGCCAATGAGGGTGCCTCATTCACAACTCATGCGCTCCTTCTACAATAGGTAAGGAGAGAGAGAGAGACAGAGAGAGCAAGAGATATATACAAGGAGAGAGAGGGAACGAAGAGGGAGAAAGAGGGACAGTGTTTGGGGGAGAAAGACGGTGAGAAAGGAGAGGGCAAAGTGAGAGGGAAGACGGGGAAAGAAAGGGGGAAGAGAAGTTTTAGCCAAGTTAACCCCAGAGGGATGAAGAGGTGATGAAGAGATAGACTTTGGGAGACATCAGGCAGATTTTTTGGTCTGGATATCCTGAAAAGGAGATAAGAAGCAGTGAAGAAACTCCTGGAGAAGACGTATTGGACTGCCTCTTTGAACATCAGGAGGATAAAGGAGAGAGTGTAAGACTGAAGAGCCTACAGGTGTGGATGCAGACAGGTGGACAGTCAGACATGCTTCCTGCACTTCTGCTGCTCTGCGTGGCTCCAGGGGTTTGGGGCTCTACACCCGGGGAGTGGGCATATGGAGGGACTCAGGACAGGCAGGAGCTTGGTGAACCGCTGTGCCCGTCTCCATGCCAGTGTGAGGAAGATGGGATCTTCCTCATGGTGGACTGCTCAGAGCTTGGACTATCAGCTGTACCGACTGAGCTGAGCCCTCTCACCACTTACCTGTGAGTAAGACACCTCCGATTCTACTTCCACTTTAGGCCTCTCACTGTATCCTGAAAGTTTCTTTGACCCTTATGGTCCTCTTCTTGCTTTCCTACCTTGTCCTCATCCCTAAATCATTCTATCTGATGCTTTAACTTGCCTGGGATCTCTAAACTTTCTGCACAACTTGCCTGCCAACAACAAGTTCCAACATAATATTAGTCCAAGTCATTCAAACATATGCTGCCAGGATTCCCCTATTTAGAAAAAAATACAGTTATTTGAATGAACCAGGAAGCAGCAGCTGAACCTGCATGTGCACAAGAACAGCAAGATCCAGGGAGCATGTGTGTGTGTGTGTGTGTGTAAGAGAGTGTGTGTGTGTGTGTGTGTTGACCAATACAGCAAATTACTGGACCTCTTCTTTTAGTATCAGGTTTCCGAAAGCCAACTGGAGACCCAGCGTGAGAAAGTGTGTGTGTGCGCATGTGTATGCCTTTTGTGTACATGATGCGAGTGTGTATGTGTGTGCGAGTTTCAAGCACATGACAGGGGCATATGTTCGTGTGCGCGGTGCATTAATGTGTTGGAACTGAACACTGCCTACATGTACATCTTTAATTTATGATGATTAAAAATAAGTAATTGTAGTGAGAGAGAAAATCTGATGGTGGTTTTTGTTTTTTTGACAAAATTGTCTCTTTTATGGACTTAATTTGCGTCTACAGAATTTGTTGGTGGAAATGAAAATTCGATTCGTGTCGCAACAAAAGAGGCCTTGGCTTTACATCCAGTTTAAAACATCATCTTTTATATCACACATTGCTAGTTTTTGGTTCCAGGGATTGGAGCCAACAGCCACCAGGAGTCTTTAAGGTCTTTACAAGAAGGTTTTGACATATCTTCTCTAAAAACTAGGAGATCTGGGAGATTTTTCTTTTTTTTTTTTACACCACCCTGCTGCGGCTTACAGCCAGCTTACTGATTGCTTAACTGCCTCTAAGGACAGATTAGAAACACTTTGTGATAACTGATATTGAAGTGATAGAAGATGAATCCAGGAAACAGGGTGTGATAGAGCAGTTGCTCACTAGGGGCTCCACAAGTATTACAAGAGCAGAGGTACAGAATTCAGAGGGAGTGAGCAAAAGATCAACAATTTATGTTTGAAACGCTAATAGAGAGACATAAAAGACAGCTCTATATGAGTGATGCTGGACCTGGGCTGTCATGGGACCCTGCTTGCTAGATTTAACAGTGTTCATTTGAAAGTTAAAACACATGTAGAGTTTATGGAGGTGAAATATGGTCTCCAGCTCCATCCTGGAATCACTCGACCTTATGAGAGCATCAGGAGGTTTGCTCAAGGATGGCGCATGTCATACAAGAAAGCCGGAGCACTCACTTATATGCTCTCGCTCACAGGAGAGATGAATCTGAGAGTGTTGAGCTCTCATTCCTCTGCTAGAATAAAAAGAGTGATGACCTGATCTCCCTCTGAGAAAGTCTAACTGCTCCAATACAGCCGCACACACGGATATATACACACAAGCACACATCACTCCCTACAAACACAAGAGTAATTGCTCATTTCCCCTCGTTACCTAACAGTGGAACTGGACCAATTAGTGAGTTTGAGGGCTGATTAAGAATAAGATAAATATACTCAGCGACCAACCGCACACGCCCACACACACACAGAAACACACGTAAACACACATTACTGCAGCGGGGAGGGGGAAGAAGGAGAATGTGGGACAGCAGGAGAGATGCCGCAACAAATTAAGATAGACGATGGAGAATCACAGATTTCTCTCTTGGCCTTCTGATAAAAATCATCAAACACAAACAGAACAGTCTCCCCTTCCTTTCCTAACTCTGCACACACATTCACACACACATACCCCAGAACTTTGCACAGCACGCTACAGTGTCCCGTTTCGTCTTGGAGTATGAAAGGTTACAACAGCAGAGAGTCAGTCCAATCCCCACCAGGATCTGTCCAACAGTCCAGCACGCCCTGCTGCGCTATGGAGGCTGGATTAGGCTGCCGAGGTCATAGGGATTTGCTTGGGAACAGTCCGCATTACAAACCACATCCACATAGCACTGTGAAAGTATATGACATCATTCGCCCGTGTCATTGGAGAGCTCTTCAAAGTGAACAAAACGGTACGTGCTGCAGTGACCCAGAGGGCAATCCAGGATATATGCGTTCACTTTTACTTTATAAGGTTTTTAATGCACATTTGAATCATCCAACTCTACATAGCTGAATACAAAAGCAAAGACTAATCAGTAAAGACTTCTGTTTAATAACACTGGGGTGAATAGAGGTTGACTCTGCAAAGGAATTCAACTATTTGGAGAATAAGGTGCTCTGAGCAACTCTGAGCGCAGTGAGCAGAGATTTATGACAATAATCGTTTCCGTGGGCAACACATGAAATGAGCTGTCATGTGAGACGCTTTGAAAAGACCTTCTCTTTGATATCAGATTAGAGAGGAAAGACAGTGCCCAAGGGTGTGTGTGTATGTGTGTATGTGTGTGCATGTAAGTTAATGTGTGTTAATACTGAGAACACTGTGTACAGTATGTGCATCGGGGCCGGTGCCGTTTTATGTGTAGCTGCATATGAGGCAACTTGTCATAAAGGATGGCCTTATGTTGATAATAAGTAGCTTGTGTGAGATGGATGTTATATGGGAACATGTGGATCACTCAGCTGTCCCATAGATTTCTACATAACTGAAGCAATAATTAATAAAAAAACTAATATGTGCATGATGTGTGATATATGTGCGCAGGGGTTTCTAAGGTTGTCAGGTGCCTCAAAGATCTCACACTTCCTGCAGATCTCTTAAGTGTGTTTATGCACTAGGAAAAGTGTGTGTGGGTACGATATGTGTGTCTCCGGCTGGAGTTGAGTGGCGATTAGGTGATGCTTTGTGGTAGCGGTGGGCGAGCTTCTAACAGTGTTTTGGCCGAGGCCAGGAAACCACAGCTAGCACATTACCAGACAGAGGAAAACCAAGGAGTGTGTGAGTGTGCGCGCTGGTGTGCACGCATGTGTGAGGCTGTGGAGACCACCCAGAGTGCTGAGGGTTTTTTCTTCTGGTTACTGGAGGTGAAGCAAGAAAGTTAGAAAAATGAAGACATGGAAGATGAAAGAAGAGGGTCAAAGCTGCCAGGGATTAGAATTTGGTGTCAGAGAAATGCAAAGGTCCAGGTACTTGAAGTCTACACATACATACTATGGCAGGCACGGAGGTAACAGTCGTGTGCGTGTCATTTAGCTATTATGCTGATGGAATGATTCCTATCATGAGCGACCGGGGGTCACATTGTAAACATCATGCCCGAAAGAAAGAAAAAGAGAGAGAAGAGAGAGAGGCAAATTTTAAAAGAAAGTGGGGTTGGGTCGAGGATAAAACAGACAAAAATAAAAACACAGCGCAGAAAAAAGAAAAGTGTGTGTCTGTGTGTACTGACAGTGGAGGGTCCTCTATACAGCAGCTATCAGCTCCAGCATCAGTGTCCTGGCTCCAGACGTCTATGGTAGCCCCCCGCCTCAACAACGCCACCCTCCCTCATACTCTCTGTCTATCCTTCTCCCCTCAGCTATTCTCCTTTCCTCACCTGTTTCCTACGGCCTCCCTGGGATAGAGCAAGACTCCATAAATTAAGTGTGTGTGTGAGTGTCTGTGTGTGTATTTGGAGAAGGTGTTGAATCCAGCCAGGCAGGCTATATGATTACTGATGTGCAATGTGTGTTTGGAAAATCAAAATGAATGCAAACTCAGGCAAGAGTAAAAAAAAGTGACGGGTGTGTTCCCGAAACTAGATGGTGTGAATTTCCTCAAGGTGTGTGTGTGTGAGCCAATGTGGTTTGAGGAGACTGGCTTTGGCTATAAGCCAACTAACTATCAGCTGTGATCAGAGTCAGGGAGAGAGTTGCACACGTCTGATTACAGAGGAAGAGAGCAGAGACACATGTCATAGACAATCTGTTCTGCTTCAAATGTTGCTGCATGGATTTTGTTCTTCTCCGAATATTTGCCTGTAAGTGTCAGATCTTCAGACCTCTTCAGAAAAAGCCACCTGAGTGTGCAACAGATCTGATATTTATGCCATAAGGGTGTTAAAATAAGGGTTAGACCGTTAGCGTCGCATAGTGCCATGGGTTTGTGGTTTCCTGAGAGCGGCCCGGGAGGCTTTTAAACGTCGCACAGGGACAGACGGCAGGTAGGCAGGTAGAAGGACAACAATGGAAACAATGAAAATTCACTTGGGAGCAGCAGATGGAGAAGACACAGAGGCCATAGTGTCCTCGGCCACTCCATATCCTGTCCTTTAGAAAAAAGTAGAAAGCAATCATGACACAAGATCTTGAAGGGAACTTGGGTGGAGGAGAGGAGCAGGAGGTCAGGGAAATACAGTGGAGAATGTGTTTAGGAGGAATGTGCATGCGCCTCACATGTGGACTGAACACAACAGTGGTTGGTATTTGTTGGGGTCAAACCTATCGCAACAGGCTGAGTATGTAAATCTGTGTGTTTCGTGTGATAGCTGTGTGACACAAGTGTGTCTCAGGGGACCAGGAATGTGCACCCTGTGACGTGTGGTGGAGGGGTGAGGGTTGAGGGGTGAGGGGGCTGCCTCTGATTGAGAAGATTCAGAATGCCTGCATGGCCCAGATTCCTATTCAGCCCTTGTCCAACCCTGGGAATCCATGGGAATGTTTGAATGTTTATGTGTGTGTGTGTGTCTGTGTGTGTGTGTGTTTGACCGTGTGTGCATGGATCTGTGCAACTGCAGTAGCCCTCTCTTTTGCACTACAGAGAAGGCATTGTCTAATCCCAGGCCAAGCCACGACAAATGTCCCTAACTGCTCTGTTGCATGTCCATGCCTACGTGTAGACACGAACACATGGACTTGCATGCTAACATTTTGTGTCAGTATATGAGCTTGTGGCTGGGGAACACATATAAGGAAACTTACTCTATTCTTTCAAATAACTTTTAAAACTTTTAAAAATAACTTTTCTTTCAGCTCTCTCTTGATCTTATGATCTTTATCGATCAATTTGTGCGTATCTGATCTTGTTCTGGCTCATCTATCAGTTTCTTCTATGCCCTCTGGAGATCAACTAAGTGCCTTTTGATTAATTAATAAAAACTATACTTGATTTAGGATCTAAACAGTCATGTGATAAAGATCAGACAAAAATATCTGGATTTCTCACTCCACTCCAAGGGGACATGACTATCAGTGTATAGAATAACATAATGATCTCTCCTTGAAGGGGAATTGTTATAGCTATACAGGGTATACAGTAGCCAACATTTTACTCAATGTAATGTGATGTCTATAACTCTCACTGTCAGGTAGCACAGTCCAAAAACCAAAAAAGTTTTTTTTGTTGTTGTTTTAACAGTATCTGGATTCTCATAAACTTTGGGGGTCACTGTAAAGTTTCAGTGACAGGCACAGAGCGTACTCGTAACTTAGAGAGCGGAAATCAGAGAGAAATATAGCGCTAACCGATGAAGGTCTAAAACGCTCTGTGCTTTTTTAAATCATATCCCATTTTGTATTACATGCAAGGTTGTTAATCAAGTTGTGAACATGGCTCCCTGCTGTCAGTTTGAACTACAGATTGAGTTCAAGTTCAACAAAAACAATATGGGGTAGAGCTGGGCAATAATTTACCAATGCTGAAATTTACAACAATAACTGACGTCATTTTGCCCATATCGGTATATTCTCATGTCCTTTTAAGACGCTGTCCTACGTCAGAGACATGATTCCACCCCATCCAGTCTGTAACAAAGAGGGAAAGACAGGTGAGGAGATGGAGGATGGCTCAAAAGTTGGAGCGGCTGCTGAAGTAAACCAAGTTAATGCAGGAAAGGGTGAGCAGCTTGTGGAGTAGTTATGGTCCAATCATCGTTATTGAGGTGAACTGCTCGATATATCGTGATATTGATTTGAGGCCATATCGCCCAGCCCTAATACTGGGTATCATCACAGTTTAGACTTAAAGTTTTTCATAGATCATCAAGCAGCTAATTACTCCCTTCTATGAAAATGTGTTATTAGGTATATTTGTTATTTCAGGTGGAAAATCCAGAATTCAAGATAAACCCAAAAGAGTCTATTTTAAATAAAACAGTTTAAGTAAAAACTGTATATTTATAAACTGTCATATTTTATCTGTAAATCAAAGAGAATTTTTACACAAGCATTGAGACTATAGGACATAGTTCTCCAAGTTCTCCCTCCGTCTCTAAAATGGCTCTGCCTGTCTCTGTCTGCCTATCTGTGTGATCGCTGGCCAGGCCTGCCGACTAAAGTGGCTCATGCGCTACTGGCACTGTGCAGGTGATGACTAGTAGGAGGTAATGATACTTAATGCCCCATCCACAGACAAACACACACACACACACACACACACACACACACACACACACACACACACACACACACACACACACACACACACACACACGACACGTACCTACCCATAAGACCCCTATGTGCCCATTACAGCCAAGAAAACATGTTGCTCAAGGAAGGCTATATGAACAAATAGACTTGATTACACATGCGCACGCACATTTACTCACATACACATTCTGACTTAATGATGGTTAATGCCCGACTCAATCCCCCTAGGCAGCATCAAAGCGTCCCAGAGCAGTGCTGATACAGCAATGCTAGCAGGGATTAGGTTGGGAGAATGGACCACTGGGACAGGAGTTAGCTAAAGGGAACAAAGAAGCAATCGCAGACACACTTAAATGTCACACACATGTGCACACACCTCAGGGCAGATGCGCGCACACGTATACACACATACTCAGTCAGAGGCACTATGGGAACAGCAGAGAAATGTGTAGAAAGGGAAATGTAGAAAACAGAAGGTAGAGACACTAATGAGGACTGAATCTTTTTCAGGACTCTTAATTTTGCAGGATAAGGTGACCTGGTCTGAGCGTAGAAACAGCAGTCAGGTCAGGATGATGGCATGAGGCAGCAGTGTCAGTCTAACTAAGACTGGACTGCACAGGTGTATTTTCAATCTGCGTAAAAGGAGGCTGGAGGGAACTCTGCATCTGCAGAGCCTGTGTCTCTGCAGCCAGACTCACTCACGTCTCTATTACATGTCTGAGAAGAAGCAAAAGAGGAAATCTGGAGTTTTTACACACATGGCATCAAGCCAAACTAAATCTCTTAAACCAACAGCAGCCACATGTCCTCACCGGTATGGGGTAAGATTTCATCAAGTGCTGATATAAGTTCAGGTCTAGATGTTATCCTCGGGTACTGTTAAATATAAAGAGCAGATGAGCTGGTCATAGATCTGTGAGCGCAGCAGTGAAGGCGGAAGGAGCCAGGATTGGATTTGAACAGTCCTCTAACTAGATCCAGTGTCCTGCTGTTTCTGCCATTCAACAAATGAAGTCATAATAGAGCCTGACACTAATACTCATCGGGTTTCATTCACTGTTGTATCCACTGCCTCTAAATCAGTGTGCAAGAAGAACACCTCTATGAAAAAAGATATCTTTTCAGGATGTGTGGAAAAGTGGGGACACTTGTAACCCTTTTCCTTTGTTATTCCAGCAGATTTTTTTGAACATTTCTTCCCTGCAGCATCAAGTATTAAAAAGGAATGTCATTTATAAAACACACGATACAGAAATAAATGAAAGTCTGGAAATAAACTTTGAAAAAATAACAACAACAACAGATAAGTGGATTATATGGGCAGGGCTATGAATGTCTCTCTGCCTCCCAAAGCTATGTCCTACCCACAACAGCTGCCTGTCAGCCCTGTCCACATGTTGCAGGCAGTTATATGTTGTATGGTGCCGACTGTTCCAACACTTCCTGTTCCATTACTGAAGTGCTTGACCTTTCACCCCCCTCCCCTCCGTCTCATGACAGGGTGTGTGTGGGAGGACAGCGAGCGGACATAGAGTGTGTACGTGCACGTGTGTATGTGTGTGCACGGTGTTTCGGGGCATGAATAAGTCCCAGAGGGCATGAATATGTTTCCCATGACATGGCCTCAGACTAAACAGCCGCTCTCTCCACCCAGACATCCGCCTGTCATTCTCCCCTAAAACCGCAACTCGAGGAAAAGACATGACAAAACATGGGAACACAAATACACAGATGCATCTCCCTTTTCTTTCTTGTTATCTCCCCTGCCCTCTTCCTCCCTCTCTCCCTTCCCCTTTTGTCGCCGAGTCCTCCCCGTGGCCCTTCTTGTCCAGGTGAAAGACTTCTCCGCGCCCTCACCCTCGCTCTTTGTGCCCCGTGAATGGGAGAAAGAGAGAACAAGAGAGGGAATGATAAAGAGAGAGTGCCTTTGGACACAAAGGGCAGTGTACCCCTCCCAGGAAGTCTGGAAGAGAGGGAGAAAAAAAAACACACATCTTTAGAGGAAGGAGGAGGGGAGGACAGCATTGTACCCTCCTTCCTGACTCTTTGTGTGCGTGTGTGTGTGTGTGCACGCCTGTGTGTCTTTGAGTGTGTGTGGAAGCTCATGTGTGACCAAGTGAGAAACTGAATGCCAGAGCAGCCAGTCAATTCGGATATAGAAAAGCTAACACACTTAGACCAAGCCCTTGCACACAGTACACAAACACAGACACACATTCTACTCACTCACACACACACACACACACACACGCACTAAAGCACACAACCATTTAGGCCCTCTTCAAGGCGGCGCCTGAGCATTGACTACCAGTTGCATTGTGTGGAATAAAAGATCCCCTTTCATCGTGGCCTTAACTGTTTCAAAGCGCTAAGCGGAGAGGATCAGACCGGCTGAATCCGACTGAAGACATTACTGTCATAGTTACTGTAAAAGACAGCCAAGGTGTGGCTCAAGCAGCGCTAATGCATAACTCCTGCCCTCCAGGCACGGCTCTGGTTGTTGATTTCCACTAAAGATCTATTACTCTGATGTTCCTCACAGATAAGCTGCCTTCAAAGGTGCGGAGCTTAACGCCATTATTGGCTGTTTGTTTGGTAAGCATCTCCATCTGAGAAGAGGATTGGCAGGGAAGGTAAACGAAAGAGAAAAAAGAGAGTGAATAGAGGAGGAAGTAAGGAGGAAGACTACAGGGTACGGCTCTTGAGAAGTGAAATTTTCTGTGTTTGTGTGTGTAAAATAAGAGATTCATGAAAATACATTCCTCCCAAGGGCAACAATGTAAGCCTGTTTGTTTACATGCCTTCGCCTGCATTATGTACCGTACCTGCATGCAATTTTATGCTTGAGCAACAGACCAGAAACTTTTCCATTGAGTTTCTTCTTCTTTTGCTCTGAGACAATGGAATTCTCCACAGTGAAATGTATCAAGTCATCTCCCCTCCTCAGTCTGCTCCTGCACATTTCACCATTCATGACAGAAACAGACACCTGCCTGCTGATCACATCTGCCTCGCTCTGAGGGTATATTCACTCACCAGGGTGGTCCACCATCTCTCCGACAATAGCCACCCGGAGCTTGGAGCGTGTATGAGCACCATAGCGTGGATGTGTGTGTGTGTGTACGCTCATAAATGTGATGTGGCCAGTTGTTTTGCTGCTTCAAATCACCCGCTCTTGTCAGAAATGCTTCCAGTTTGAAATTGGCTACAACGGCGCTAGGGGCACATTGACACCCACACACACGGCGCCTTTGATCAAAGAGCCGATAACATACTTCAGTAGTTCTGTTGACGGCGAAGAGGGAATATGATAAATCACATTATTGTTACTACCGGACTGTGTAACTCCATACTCCGGTTGAAATCTGAAACAGAGATGTGGAGAAAAAGAGAGAGTGGGAGAGAGAAAGGGCCAAGGCCGATGAATGGAAATGTACCTCTGCCTCTTCATGCTTCCGTTCCCCCCTTAAGACAAGCTCCTTGCCATGGTTACTCTATCAATCACAGCATAAAGCAGTCAAATATCCAGGGCTCTACCTTTCTTCCTGTGCCAAACCTTCCTCTCTTACATTCGCATGCACACAGGCATGTGCGCAATTACACACTCTGAAGGGGAAAGACTAAATGATCCATCAGAGTGCATTGTGTGTCTGTATATCATGAGACAATAAAGAGAAAGGGCATGGAAAACGTCTATGTCTTTAAACTCCTCTAATTACTGTGACACTGCCGGCTTTTTTTTTTTACCCCCTGCTACTGTGCTTAAACACACAGATTACATGTACACACATGAAAATCTAATTCTCCTTCGGGGAAGTAAGAAGAGATCACCGGGGGGCTTTGTCAGTCATTCTGCAGGTTCAGAGCAGGGGGAGATAAAAGGGACAGTTAAGAGGCACATTTGTGAGTGTGTTTGTTGAGGGATGAGTGTGGGTCTCTGTGTCTGCATCCTCTGCTCCCAACCCTGCTCTGAAGCCTTGAGTTTGTCATTCAGCAGCTGGAGATGGAGATCTGAGGGGAGGAGATGCCCTGTTGGTGCTCCTGTTGGATGAGAGATGTGTTGTCCTGCTATGTCAGGCTGCATGTCTTGACACTCGAATTATATTCACATCAGAAAAGAAACCAACCAATGACCTTTCATTTTCTCTCTCTCTCTCTCACACACACATAGACCCACACAGTAATTCATTTCCATGCCCCGGCAGCGACCATGTATGATGTGGTGAAAGCCCAACCGGGATCTGTACCCACCACATCTGCAGGCTCACTGGGAAACAATAGGGGTGTGAAAATGAGCGACAGACATCTTACCGCATACACCGCAGGCACCTATAAATGGAAGAAGTATTGTAGTGCACACACAGACACAGATACTTGCACACACACACTTTCACTTAGTCTCCCTCTAGCTCACACAGCACACACACATTCAAGTTGTTCATAAAATGAGGACAGAGAAACCTTAACTCTAATTGTGAGACTCTTATACGCTGCAGAGCCCACAAAGGCTTTAAGTGCTTTCTTTCTCATTTCTTTTGCAGCCATTTATTTGCGCTGAAAATATCTGCATGTCACCACGCCAGCCGACACAATGCACATGTGGTAGTCATCAATCATAATTATCATGGTTTAAAAAAGCCACAGCTGTTATTTGATTTTAAAAACAAGCCATAGCACAGCGCCTTCCAACGATACGTCAAGTTGTCAGCGGAGGCCTTGGCCTGCACAGCAGAAATGTCTCTCTCTCTCTCCGGCTTCCCAACGAGCTGGTTGGAGAGCACAGCCGAGCGGAGCTGCAGTCAACCTTCCTCCATGACTCACCACTGTGTGTCTTTATTTTTAAACATTTTCTCTCTCCATTTCTGTGTGTTTATTCTGTCTGAGTGAGCCCGCTGTTATGGACTTCACACGTTTGTTTATGGCTTCTTTAATCAGGACCAGATAATGCAGCGTTGTCTCAATCCATGGACGCATCCCCAGAAGCTAGTTGATGCGTGTCTATGTGTGTTTTGCTCTGCCCTAATTATCCCAATAGATTGTTGTATTAAATATTTTCTTCATAGATTATTTGCACATCAGATATTGCATTAGGTTAAGGTGTGTGTAGTATCAGTGGGGCCACACGAGGTGACAATGTGATCCCTCTGTTGTACATGATGTCATCCACTCCTGATTATGTCAGCTGGTTTGCTGTAACTGCTGGGTGTTTAATCTCCATGACAACTTTGTTATCACTTATATTTACCTCTGAGTTTAATCAAGCGATAGTGCATTACACTTGTTGTATTCATTCCCAAATTACAGCCTGGAGCAAGAGCAGCTTGTGCCAGGATCGGGACAAATATGCAGCACATGGTTCACATGACATCAGACGAGTAATTTTGTTGAGCAGGAGGTCTGATGAAGGCAACAGTTAGATGTTGATTTTTTAATAATTTATCTTCATATCATTAATGAGACTGTTTTGCACTGTTTTTCTTAAAATTTAAACTTATGTTTAAATTTTCTTTAAACTTATGTTTAAATTTTCCAATGTTTTAGATAGTAGAGGCAGTGGAGCTGTAGGGTTTGAAAGGTGACCTATTTTACGAACCGTATTTTTCAGGCGATAAGGCGCACTGGATTATACGGCACACTGTGAATTAACGTGTTTATGTTCACACATAGGGCGCACAGGATTGTAAAGCACATCAAGCATTGATTGGTTTATTGTTGCTAGTGCGTACTCCGGGCCCGGGCTGCCTTACATGAGTGCACTTCTAGTTTAGACATTACAGTAAGGCAGTCTTGTAGACTTCTTAGGGGTCCTGTTACGGGGCTGATCAGGTAGTGACACAACGTACCGTAATTCTCCGAATATCTCTTAAGCGGAGCGGCTTTGTTGCTTACTAAAGTTGTACCTACACATTTTGACAGATTTTTGAGTGCATTGTACCACATAAAATCAATCAGTAAGCATGACAAGTAATCATACATAAGGCGCACTGGATTATAAAGCGCAGTGTCATTTTTTGAGAAAATGTAAGGATTTTAAGTGCGCCTTAAAGTTCGAAAACTACAGTACTTTCACCTCTCAAAAAAGAAAAAATCTTAAGTCTCATTATCATAATTATGTTAAACTGGTGCCCATAAGAACCATAATTCAGCCGCTGCATCAAAGACTTTATTTTTAGCTATTTCCCCACTGATATAAAATTAGACATAGTTTGTGGGTCTTACTTTTCACACAGCTATATAGTCACAAATTACAAAGCCTAAGAGACGGAAAACGTGTGAGGCTATCTGTTAGCACCCACTTAGCTCCTCATTCAGCCCTGTTAGCATATGCTAGCCACTGTTGCGACATTACTTCCAGCTCGTGGCCTAAGCTTTCATGGAAGGACCGTGTAGATGGAACAGCCCACAGTTGGGATTTAAACTTAGCTTGTATTCACCACTTTACGAAGGAGAAATCAGTGAAGTGGTAAGCACTAACAGCTATGATATGGCTGTTGTCCTGAAATCACAAAAACTTGTCATTCTTTTCCAGTACCTTTGTCTTAGGGAAGAGAAAATAGCAGTGACTGTCTTTCATCTCCAAAAAAACATTGTGAAGAGCAGGGGGGGAAAGCTACGCACTGACATAGACTTTACAGTTTTTGAAATGGGTTGGCGTTTACAGAGTTGCCATATGGGCTTGTCCTTAACATGGGACCAATAAGACGTCCAATAAGGTCGAGGCTATATATCAGAACTAACAGTTCAAGGAGGCTAGGAAACATGTCAGGGAAATAACCACCATCAACGTGGTTCCTCATTGCCATGAGTATTTGCCATGCAGGATTTGGTATGAATGTTCAACAATGTGTCTTTAAGTTGTTTTAAAATACAGATGAGCATAGTAGACAACATAGAGAAAGACTGTCAAGTATTTTTATATTGACACCTGGATTTAAACTCTGTTTTGCAGTTAGAGTTGCTCTGATATCTATTCCAGTTTTGTTATCGAGCACTGAGGTAGCAGCAAGTGTGCTGGACAATGCACTGATCCAAAATCTATACCAAGTCCTCTCAACAGTTGGAGCTGGCAGAGATTGTTTCAAACCACCGAAATCTCAATATTGCCTGTATGTAACAGTGCTGTAATGCAGCTTTGTCACAATCGAGCCAGACTGATGCCATAACAGTGCAAGTGTATGATTCAATACTGAGGAATCATGAGAGCACACACACACACTCAGTCATGCACACACATGGCCCTGTTCCAGCCTGCCTGCCGCACTGGCTCACAGTGATGCCATCTTGCACTCGCAATGCCTCAACAAACGCCAACAGAGAAGAGGGATGACTTGGCACCTCCATCACGCCTCTGAGACATTAATATTTATAGCAAGACTTGACAGAGATGTGAATAGTGTTTCTCCACCTAAATTGTGTATCTTTAAAACTGCACTTGTGAAGGAGGGCTACCTAAATTCTTCAATAGCTCTCATGATCGATGCTGGAACCAGAATATCTGGTAGGCTCTTTTTTTGGCCAAATGCTTCCTTCATAAGTCCATGACCATGATCAGCAGTAGCTAGGCATCACAGCATATATGTGCTTCATTTTACACCTGTGCATATAATACAAATGACACAGAGGTAAGGTACTTGGTGTGTTGTAAATGTACAACTAAACTAACAACTAAAGTGGTTTAATGTGAGGATCCACCGTTTTTACCTCCAGCACAGATCAGTGGTTTCCAACTGCCTATTTGTCCCTGAGTAACACCTTGAACCCGGCTCTCTCCAATCAGACCTCCCAGGAGGGGGCGTCTGCAACAGGAAACTCTCATGCCGGGAAACTAACATGCTATTATTGTGTTTTCATAGGGAAAATATTCAATGTCAGCACACGCTGTAAAGAGGCTCCATAATTATCTGACCTACAAATTTACATGAAGAAAGGACACACTTAACACACCTCCTAATCCAATGTAACAGGGGTGGACCACATCCCAGCGCCCAGTGCTCAATGTTGTTCTTGACAAGTTACCAGTCTACTGGTACACTTAATTTGACTTGTTAAAGCTGCTAAATAGCCAGAACACTGTCATACAACTTTTTTCTGATTTTCCCTGGAAGCTGAATATGGATCATGCCTGGGGATAAATTCATCCAGCCCCCTGTCAGCTTGGCTGGCTTCACAAACAAACAACCAATGTGTCAAAACTCTACATTGCAAGGGGCTTCTGAGAGCACAGTTTACACTTGCTAGCCCGGTGGTCTGGCTTTATGAGCAATGGTTAGTGTCATACACACACATGGACACACGCACACCCAAGCCTCACTCTAGAAGACTCATGCGAGACCCCAAGGGCAGTGAAAGCAAAGATGAGGTGACGCAACACCGCCTCTCTTTCATTGTGTTTATCAAAGATATGACCTTACATGACTGAGGCCAAAAGGTTATGTATGTTTTCTACCAGAGGCAACACAAAAGTTGTCCTCATTCTAATCAAGGTGTTAAAAAACATGTTTGTTGAATGTCTGTGTGTGTTCAATGTCTGTGTGTGTGTGTGTGTGTGTGTGTATGCGTGCAGATATTCGAGCATCCTGCACCTCTCCCTCTTTGACCACATTGCAGCTGCATCAACACTCAACCCCTTCCACACCCTTTCACGTCAGAGTGTGTCAGGGATGCGGAGAAATGGAGTGTGTCTGTGGTATGACTGTGAACAAAGGGGAAGGGAGGTAGTCCCGAGAGAGACCTGAGGAAGAGAAAAGAAGAGGAGAGATGATGATAGAGGGAAAGATAGATATGAAGGGACACTGAAGGGTCAGATGCAAGAGAAGGTATGAGACATCTGGAAAAGAGAAAGAGTAACTGGGACGAGGAGGAAATTACAGCTGCCCAACAATGATTCATTGGGGAAAATTCTCCTCTACATCTCCCTCTCCTCCCTTTCGTCCTCCAGCCTCTTTACCTAACCCTCTAACCTCTCTGTGTGTACCACTCCCCACTCTCAATGATTGATCTCCAAGAGAAAAATGTGCTCTAAACATTTGCAATTTTACATGTTGGGAGTATCTTCAAAGCCAATTGATAACATATAAACTGATTGATTCTCTTCCATCCCCTTTTTTCCCTCTCTCTCTTCAGGGATCTGAGTATGAACAACATCAGTGAGATCCAGCCCAGAGCTTTCCACCGACTGCACCTGTTATCAGAACTGTGAGTACAAAATCACTCAACTCACATCCAATTAATAAAACTTTGTCGTCATAATTCCAACATGACAAGAAACAGTAATTCACAAAGTCGCTGATATGAGCACAGTTCAGTGATGGGGATTGATGACCCTGGCCCGCCTCTGATCTCTCCTACCAAGAAAATGCCTGCAGCAATAAGCTAGTCGATCCTGGGATAGCTGCACAAAAGAGGAAGGTGAAGGGAACCTGATACTCTCTCAGCGAGTAGATATATGGTCCTTTAAGTGTTTAGAGAGCAGGTTCTGTGCTCAGCATCCAAGCCGCTGCTTTCTTGCCCCCTTTGACTCTGTTTCAGCTGGACAACTCAGCGGGAGCAGTACACACGTAGACAAAAGCTTTCGCCAAGACAAGCAACACACAACAGGAGAACCTCAGGACAGAATTATATGGTTTTTACTTTTGTTCATTATTTGAATTATGGGAGATTTTTTTAGTATAGTTGCCATTACACTAAAAGATTGAAACGCCATGACAGACTGGATTCTATATCCATCTCTTGGCTGGATAAATCCCCCCATAAAGAGTTTCATATACCAATACAAACATAATGTGAAATAAAGACAACACGACTAAGAATTTGACTCGGCCTCTGTTCCAAATTTCCTGCCTTCACACTTTGTTCGATGCTTCACAAAGTAGACAGTTCGGTTTCATTCTTGCAAGGCTGATGAAAACACACTCCGCAGCGAAACCACCAACATTTTTAGAACATGTTTTTGGTCGACCTGGCTGATATCTGATTCGACCACTCAGCAGAACTGAGCTAAGTCTCAGTTTGACAAAGGCTGTTATGAGATTTGGCCTCAGGGTGAGAATGTGTGTGTAAGCGTGTAGAAACTCATGGGGGCTTATGTTTGTATGTCAGCCTTTACCTGATTCTTTTACTTCTGAAGCCTGCACTTTTTTTTGTGGGTCTTTGTGTGTGTGTGCACGAGGTGTTTGAACAGCCCGCTGTTTTCCTTGCTAATTCTTGCAGCTGCAGCCTGTGAGGCATGAGCTAATGATGATGAAAGTGAAAGGTCAGCTGAATAACTATTCGGGTTGGTTTTGAGTCACACTCAAAGTGGATTCGAAGAACAGGCCGAACAACAACATTTTGAGACGCCTTGTATCATGAGAGTTTCATAATGTCTCAGGTCCAGGATTGATCGCCTTTTTATTAAAGCTTTAGAACTTTTCAGGTCATAAAAACAGTACAGACCAGAGTCATAATCAGAACCACACAGTGTGGAGGGATGCTGAACATTGATACTGACATTTCCCTGCATCGAGGGAAAAACGATTGGGGGTCTTGGACACAGCTCCACCTACAGCGCTCATCCGGAGACCATCCTCCCAATGTTTTACTACTTTGTTGATCTTGCTTCCTCTGTGTTGCTCTCATGTTCTGACACTCATTGGAGACTTTCTGTTGCTTTGTGGCTCTTCCAAGGAGGATGTTCCTACCCCAAAGCCAATTTTTATAGGCCGCTGACCATTTCTGGAAACATGCTGAGTTGATAATGATGTTTCAAGGCAGGGAGAAGCACATTTCTGACATCCACTCTTGTCTCGATGTTTTAAAAAGATAAAGCTACGGTGAACACATTATAATTATAACTGTTTAAAGTGCTTACAAAACCAACTGAGACTCTAAACACAAACATGGTTGGTTTGAGAACCAGAGCGTTTGATGTGGGTCTACAGCACTTGTTGCTAGCAAAGGGAGAGGCAAGGGCCAGGCAGGTTGTGACTGGTAGAGTGATAAACTGTTTGATGTTGGGCTCTACCTCCCTGCCTCCCTCACCGTCGCTCTGTCTCTCTCCAATCCAATTCACTTCTACAGACCCCAATCTCCATTCTACTGCAGGCTACTTCAAGCTGTAGTCACTGCCTTTGAAAGTTTTTTCCTCTTATTGGCTCTCTCCACATTCTTAAAAAGCGAAACAAACCTGCTCATGGCAAGAAGTCCAGCTTTTATCCTGTTTTACTCCATGGGGAGGAGAGGGAATAAAATCTTATGAGCCACATACGGAGTATCCTCCTGAAGCTCGTAAACTCTATCACGCTACGTCTTATCTGTTTGCCCAGCTCTTGCTTCTATAGTTGAAGAGTGCAAACAGCTTATTCCTTTGAACCTCCTAGTACAAAGAGATTAAATTTATACACAAAGCAAGGAGCACGCCTCTCTTTGATTCACTGCGGCGTTAATATTGATAATAAGACGTAGGTGTAATTGTCCCACCCTCCAGCCCTTTCGCTACCTCTGACACCTTATTTCTAAATCTTACTCTATTGATCTCAGATCCCTCTCATTAAGCCTTCATTTAGCGCTTTGATCAGTGAAATTGTCATTAATTCAAACATGAAAACCTGCACGCAACTGTCAGTTAGCTAAGCAGAAGGAGAGAGGCAGACTGCATGTCTACGGGTTAATGAGAGGGCAGCAGTGCCCACGCTCCGGTACAGACTCTGAGACATGGTTTGCATCTACCTGACATATCAAAGACAACCACTCCTTTCAAATCTGCCGCTCTAATTTCAAAGATGAGCCATCCATTTCTGATCCAATTACAGCTTGGAACTAGCCAGGGGTTTAATGTGAAATTGTCCCCCCTAGAAGCCTTTCCTGAGAAACACTTGGATGGCGACAATGCTTCCTGTCTATCATCAGTATCAAAGTCCATGCTGTTCTTACCTCCGGAGGTCATGTTTCACTTTTCCTCTTTCTTCTTGTCTACCAGCCATTTGGGTTGAGTCTCAAATGCTCATCTTATCATTACCTGTACTTGATCACTCACCTGAAAAATACAGGGCTTCACTTGGCCCAATAAAAAAAGACTGAAAGTATCTATTAGCAGGTGAAGGCTGAAATTGAAAAACTGTTTTTGCCTTTGGCAAACTCGAATATCCATCTTCCTTGGGCTCTTCCAACTCTTCAAAAATATGAAACCCAAATGTGTAAGAGGAGAAGTGGTGATGGGAGGCCAGCGCTGCCCTGCTTGTCTTCCACTCTGCGATAAGATTGTCTGCTGATAGGCCGGGAATATGACGTAGGGGAGGGTTAAGGGGTTACAAAATTGGCTTTCTTGATGCTCCAGGTGCATCTCACAGCTGGGACTATCTAGGTCAATTAAACTTTTCCTTTTAGCTTTGCCAGCATTGATTTTGTCTGCTTGTCTCTTTCTCTCCCACAAACAAGTACCCACATGCTCCAGCACACACACCTCCCCACAGCAGCAACACACACTTCCACGTCTATATTTTACTCCAATAATTTCAGAGGTTAATGCTGGGTTAAGTGGTTGACCCTCAGGTTGGACCTCCTAACAGAAGACGGGGTAACATTTCTATTGATGGAGTGAAGGTGAAAAAGGTCATACATGCTCATGTACTTGCAGACACACCCACACATAAAGCGGCCCCTCTCTGATAAGACCTGTTTATCCTCTCCTTCTTCTTTCATCATCCACTCTTATCAACCATCCTGGTTCTGCTACCACTATGATCTCCTGCCTCTCCCTCAGATAGTATTCCAAAATGTCATGCTGTGTTTGCTGTCTCGGTCTTTAATCCCTCTTTTTGTTTATTATCTCAGAGCAATAGGACATGGTGATACATAGAATAATCTGCAGTTGGTATGCTTCAGTAAAACCCTTACAGATCAGCCCTGATAGCAGTGTTGTCTCACCCCCATACGTTTGAACCGCATTGGCTCCCTGTTATTTCGTATATGGATCGTTTCAGTAGAGCCGAATAATGCTGAGGTGGAATTTTTATCAACACAGTGTGAGGGCCAAGAAAAATTCTAACCATCCCCGAATCGAATTAAAAGGAAAAACAGTTGGAGCCACAGTCTGTCATGAGCGAGGCGCCTTTCATCAGAGTGAGATTGATGTGGAATAACTAGGAGCCTAAGTGCAAAACACTCGCTCATACGAACAATCATTTACTCACACATTCATGCATAAACAGACACTGATATCATGGAAACGGCTGGTGTTCGGTTGATGTCTATCGAGAAGGTCTGGGCATTTCTCTCCTTTTCAATATCCATCCTCACTTTGGACATGATTATCCATTTGACAAATGACAAGGGGTGATTCCATTCAAGAGCTGTTTTGGCTCATGTTGTGCGGCTGTTTGAGGACTGCTGGCTGGCAAAAGGACATGTATATCAGACTGTGGTCTTAACTAGTGTGTTTGTTTTCTGGAACTCTAAATTACTGGTCCCACTCAAACACATTAGTCAGTCTTTTGTGCTACCTCTATCTTTTTCCCATGCCATGGGCCTGGAACTGATCATTGTGCTTGAACAGGAACCAAAAAAGGAACTAGGGGTCTTTACAGGGAAAGGCTTAGATCTTTTTTACTGGTGTTAGGACCTCAACACGGCCTATTGAAACCGTAACCTCTGGAAAGCAGCTATTGAAATGGTCCCCAGTGACAGGCTTGTGCAATGGCGGAAACTGAAATGGTATTGAAGTCGCAGATCTATCATCCTCACAGGGACAACAAATGGGCAGGGCAGAGGTTCCTTTCTGAGAAAGAGGCTGGTCCAAGAGAAAACTGGAGTCCTTTATCTCGAAATAAAACTGAATATTGTGGGGTCAAAACGCTGAAGTCGCTGTGGTTCAGCACTCAGTCTTCCGTCTTGATTGAGACATGTGGTGCAGTCGAAGTCTGTCTGAATGAGTTTTGATTGTGGTTTGAGAGGCATGATTTAACGGCTCCACAATAGCTTGGATAAGGATCAGTCCTTTGTATACTAGAAAAATGATGGGGGTGTACATCTATGTGTACATGTGTGTGTGAGAGTTAATAAATACGAGCTCTGTAAGACTTCAAAACTGGCTGAGTGTGAGATTTGGCAGGCGTGGGTAGTTTTTTGCGGTTTGCCACTGCACAGTAATAAGACTGAGACATATTGACATGAATATCAGATGTCGTAGGGAGTTTGTTGAGAGCTGTCATCTATTTCCATCTGGATGATGGAGACTTGGAGAGGCAGGCTGAAGTATTTCAATATTTCAAAATCATGAAACTAAAGAAAAAAAAAACAACAACAGCTCAGCCAGAGGCAGTCCACTTAGAGAAAGGCTGAAATGTCAAGCTTAATGTCACCTGTAGAGCAATGGTGTGAAAAAGACGATGCCAATGAGTAACTTTTAACTCATGTTTGTTAAATAAAAGTGGGTGGTCTTGAGCTGTGAAGCCCAAATCTGTGTTTAAACTGTGCTTCCAGCTCATGACCTTGAGAGTTCCTCTGTTGGACTGAATGTTATTTATTTGGACATCTTATACACACTCACAAATGACCATTAGGTGCTGTGTTTGATAAACAAACTGATTGGATTGCTTGTGTGAATGTGTGTGGTTTCTCTCCCTCGCTGTCCTCAAGGTCCCTCAGAACGGGCCAATTTACCTCAAGGACATGGAAAATAGCACACACATTCACATTGAAAACATGCACTCGCTTATGTCTACATCCATAGTATACTTGACTTTAAACACACCCATAAACACACTCACATGCACATGAGCAAATATACTTTCACGCTGCACTTGTTGACCCAGTCACAGTCTCATTCAATTCAGCCTTTACTCACTCATCAGAGCTCCCAGGATTGGTTAAGGTTTCAGGGTGTGCTTTGGGCCAATAGCAACCACACTGAGGGGAATAGAAAAGTGTTATTTGCATACTGCCCCAACAATAACCCCAAAGCAGAAACTTGAGAATGAAGTCATATCTCAGTTCAATCCAAGAACGTAGGATAAAGCTAAAGGCAATGCCTCTCTTATGAGACCTATAAATTTTTATATGAATGTTCTTTTATTTCATTTTTTCACTTTAAATTTTACTCTTTTTTAAAAAAATCTCTGTGTTTCTATCCTAGGCGTATCTCAGGGAACCAGCTGAAGTATATCTCTGGCCGTGCTCTCGAGGGTCTTCACAACCTTAAAGTGCTGTAAGTAACCTCCTTCTCCCTCCCACCCACCCAATCCTACTCTTGTGGTTCAGTGTTCATCCCAGGTGGGTTGTTCCGCTGCGGCACTCTGGGGGTGATAGAGTTGTGCTCCTGCCTTGAATAAAACACACAGGCCACGCATCATTAACTGCAGTTAAAGTTTATGGGCTGGGGGAAACCTGCCCTGCTTGCAGTTCCTTCATTCCCAAACAAGCCCTGTTTCACTTGCAAGTATGCACACACATCCACACAAACACAGGTGTAATGCAGGGACCTCCCAGTCACACCACCCACCAAGATTACAGCAAGTGACAAAAAGAAATCACTTAAAACGGTTTCAAAGCTGTTTTCGCAACACCCCGTTTCGCTAGTGTTCATAGCCCTGTGATCCATGGCCACCAACTGTTAGCACTGCTGTACAGAGTAGGATCTCAAAATGTGCAGAGCAGCCATAAAAAAACATTATTTCTGAGCTGTGATTTCAGCATCTACTTAGTTGTGACCATATTTCTAGTAGGTGTAAGACAAGGGTTTTTAAGAGGTTTTCATGGACCTTGGCAACCAGTTCGACTCCTTTTGCACCCTGGCTGAGAAAAGTTTGAGAACCTTGCCATTGGAGTATAAACTCAGCTTGCGAATTGTGGTTTGTAATTTGAGCGAATCTAGGGGATTACCAGGCACACAATTTATTCTTCTCTCACCCTGTGTTGTGAAACTACCAGAGACAGCATGAATAAACCAGCCATGAATCCCGGTCTATTATGTCATTACAGCAGAAGGACAAACATATCCTGAATTTATACAAGCCTGCAAGCATTCACGCTTCATGCAAAAACACCCCGTCAAACTCTGGATGGTCCCTTTTTACCTCAGAGCAGCTGAGCTGTTTAGTTCCTTCCTCTGTGTATTAGCTGAAGTCAGACTGTGTCAAAAACAAATGGACTGCTGACCTTGTGTGGGGTGACTGGTCCCTGCTGACTCTCAGTCACACTCTAACATACAGAGACGTTACAAACTCTGAGTGGAGCTCAGCAAACCTCTCCATGGGGGATTTTTTTTTCAACCGGAAAAGACTTAATACAGTGTATTTATCAGGAAAGAGAGAGAAAGAGAGAGAGAGAGCTATTGTTTGCTCCCCACTTCCTCCTCGCTTTTTGCTCCATTCTTCTAAGGATGACATCAGCAGCCCACCCAAGGAGCTTCTCTTTCCTTCAACCCCTCATTCTCTGCTTCTCTTCAAGCTTTCACTGGCCCTTTACGTCTTGAATCAGATTTCCCTCACGATGGAATTATTTGTTCTGCCTGATGTGCCCTCACGCACAGCACATATACACTCAACTACAAGTACATACATTACATATAACTCAATTACCCTTTATACTCCTTCAGGATGCTACAAAATAACCAACTGGAGAGACTTCCCAATGACACTCCATGGGATCTACCCAACCTGCTGTCCCTGTGAGTATCTCTCTGTTATGCACACACACATACACACACACACACACAGAACTGCATTAATCATGCTACTCTACCTCATCCAGGGGGGAATGAAACATCCTCCGGCCACCCACCCTCACATTTCAGCTCTGACCGCAATGCAGGTATAGAGTACTGCTGACATATTACAGACCATACTCCAATAGTTTTGCATGTAGTGCTGTACTTCCTGATGGTAGGAGTCACAGCCCGACTGTGTCAGTGTAGTTCACTGTAGCATCTGGAAGCCATGAGGGAAACAGCAGACACTGCAGGCCAGGGAGAGCATCTCCAATGAGCTGTGAAACAACCCCATTTTCCATCAATTCCCCTTCTCTTCCTCCTCCGCTCTCCCACCACCCACACCGCTATCCCCCTGGCTAATGAGAGTGTTTGGTGGCATAATTGACTCATCTGTGGGGTCAGTGTATGAGTGTAGATGTGTGTGCGTAAGTGTGTGACAGCATCAGTGTTTAGGCGGATGCGAAAGCTCTTCTGTAATTGCATTTTTTCCCTCGGTCTGTGCCACACACATACTCCACATCCTCGCACTTCAAATTTAGATCCTTGGTGAATATTGAGACTGCACTACTTTGGCCAAAAATAAAATTCTTTTTTTTTTCTCTTAAACTCGTTTTTTGATTTCTTATTCAGTGACAACCTCACCAAACTTCACTTTAATAACAAGTTTTCTATCATCTCTCAAAACGAAACCACTGAAAACAATATAGTGCATATGCCAAGCCAGTAAGTGGTGCTGTAACGCTGCTGAGGAAATGCACAAAAGACAGAAGAAGAGTATAGAGCATGTGTATAAAGGTTGTTGTGGCTGGACATGCGCCATAAAATAGTTACACTGTGTGTCACATAATTGTTTCGAGAGATGCCGTTTGTTTTCGAAAGTACCGTTTACAGTCACCCAAAACGCTGTTACCCTGTGGATGACAAAAGACGACAAAATACAACCGCGTGGACGGGTTGATACCGCCTCAAGTCAGACTTTGCAGCAGGGAGTTGTCCGAAACTGCAAAGCCGTACCAATTTCACATGACTGACTTGCTCTTACCCTAATTAGCCACAAAATTAACGCCTTTTATGCAAACACCATGTATGTTTACACTGGTGTGGAAACTGGGGCAGGAAGGGGGAGCCTATGGTGGCCTGGAGGCACAAGGACTATCGGTTTAAAGATTTTAATTTTTTTTAACATGGTCATCATCAAATAATCCGATTATGATTTAAAATCAATTAACTGTGCAGCCCTAGTGAATATCCACGATCATTTCCGTTATCACACATGCACTCTTTTTGCTGAAGCTGTAGAGGAAATCACAACACTGGTGAAACCGGACTGCCTTCCTTAAACACAGAGACTATGCCTGCACACATAAACTGTAACTGTGGGCACCATAACTCAGGATGTGCGTGTGTATATCTAACATCACAATTTTCTATCATGATGATGTCTCTGTCTGTGTGCACAACTGTGGATGTGTGTGTGGTCTTTGCCTGTAGAGATGGTCTCAAGCACTGTGAAAACACAAACACACACAGGCAGAGCCATAGTATAGGAACACACCTTGTCATTACAGTAATGATAAGCCCAGCGGAGAGAGATTACTGGAAAGGCTTTGGAGAGTGAAGCTTGTCGGCGCCTCTCACCGACATAAAACACACCAGGTAACAAGAAAGGGAGACTGCATCTCAGACAGAGCACGGCTTTGAGATCGGTATAAACGTTCAAAGGAGGCTTTCATCCAAAATGAATCACGTCTTAATCAGGGACATGAATCCTTTTGTCAGCACAGAATTGAAACTGAGTCAACAAATTTGTCTCAGGGTTTTGGAGCAGACTAATTACAACACACATTGATGCCATCTTGAGCAGACTGGCATGTTTCAGGTCCCAACACTGATGATCTCCGCAAATCACATTCATTAACATCACTATGATTTTTACAGATTCAATTCACCGGTAATAAAACATGTTCCTCTAAGTTCCCCCTGGTATAAAACTTTGGCCATCTGGAGAACTCAACCAGAGGAGGCAGGTCCACAGATCCCCTGGATCACTTAAGAGAACTTTCCTTTTTCTGTCTCTATTTTGCTCTCCTGTAATTGTACCTCCGACTTTGATGTGATGGACAGGAAATAGTTGCTGCTTTATTGGCTTCTGTGGAACATTCCTGGTTCTGTCTGGACCTTCTGGAGACCTGGCAGGTCCACCCAGAGGAGCAATTATTATTTTGCCCCGGAGAGCAAACCAGAAAGTTGAAGGGTCTTCCGTAGCTTTCATCCTGTGATTTGGTTCAAGGACAAACAATGTCCACAGTTGTAGTGCACAGGATGCACAAGGACGGTGTTTCGCTGTGGAATAAATGTGTGTTCAGGAAGTGGACAAGATGAAAATTTCTTGAGGCTGTTTGTGTGTGCACGTGCACACACACGAATGTGTATTTACATGTGCGCCTGAGAGTGTTTTCCTGTGTGCAAGTGTGTGAGCATCTGCCAGTGTATACAGTTGCCTCTCCTGATGGAAAATTTCCCTCGGGAGAAAAGCTCAGGGTTCAGAGTTCAAGTTCAGATTTCACTTTGATGATGCTGTTTGTTTGGTGAAGCCTCGGAGGGGTGAGGACGCTAAAGAGAAGCTGGAGCGCAGGAATCAAATAACCGCGGTGGAAGATTGATAAGGGAGGATGTTTGAAAGAAGCACAAGAGTCAAAAAGTGAGACACACAGGGGTTCGAGGCGGCTGTGAGACCATCTCTGACGATGCAAGAAACAAAATGTGTGTCTGAGAGGGACTGGAGGGGGGAAGGAGATTAATGAATGAGGGTGAAGGACTGAAGGAAGAAGAATAGCAGGAGGAAGTGGTCTCAGCTTGTCAACTCTACCCTGAGGGGATCATTCATCACTATGGACAGAAATGTGTGTGTGGGTGTGTGAATCATAGTCCACTCTTGTAACCTGTGGTTTGAGGGACACTGAGATAAAGAAAGGACAAAGCTTTTGTTAAATGTGGTGTGGTTTGCCGATGGTGTCGTAAATGCATCAGCTGGAAAGCAGCATTGCCATCAGTTCTTGGAAAAGTCAGGGATTGATGGCAGCAGCAGGAACCCAATGGAAAGAGTGAAGACTGGAGGAACATCTGAAGATGCATCTTTGACTGTCTCTCCATTAGCCTTTTCCGTTTTCCAGACATCAAGGAAAAGGGCTTTGTACAACATAAATAAAGTGAGGGAGAATTAAACAGGCCTGCCACAACCAATCCTACACCCTGTGTTTGTCTCATCTTACATTTCATACATGTCTGTGCTGGTAAAGCTAGACATGGCTTATTTAGCATGGGAATGAATCATAATGAGCAGCTTCAAAAAAGCTGCAGCCGAGATGAAAGAGGGAGAGTTTAGGATGCATAATTCTCATAATAACCTTCCTGTAAGCATGCAAAAGCTCAGATACACATGCAAACATACTACGCTTAGACTTGATGATTAACCGGCTAAGCTCAGTTCCTCTTACCCTCCAGGCGTCTGGATGCTAACCTGCTGTCTGAGGTTCCGGCTGGGGCATTTCGAGGGGTTCGCTCTCTAAGGCACCTGTGGTTGGATGATAACTCCCTGACTGAGATCCCGGTGACAGCTCTGGACTACCTCCCCTCCCTGCAGGCCATGACACTGGCTCTTAATCAGATCACTCACATTCCTGATTACGCGTTCACCAACCTCTCAGCTCTTGTCGTACTGTAAGTAAAACCCTCATTTTTGTACTTAAGACTTCTGCACTTGGATTTTTAACTTAAACCAGAAATGATTTCTTCCTTTTACTGAGTTTGTGTAGGTGATGTGTACGAAAGAGGATTAGGGTTACACGAAGAGAAAAAAAAATTACAGGAAAGAGATTAAAGTTGAAATTTCGAGATAAAAAATTTAAATTTCAGAGGCGATACATGGGGACCACAGTCCCTGCAGCGGTTGTGGGTTCGAATCCAGCCCCAACCACATGCTGCATGTCCTCCCCCCTCTCTCTATCTCTTTCACTCTGTCCTGTCCTGTCAATAAAAGGCTGAAATTGCCCCAAAAAATACTTAAAAAAAAAAGAAATTTCTAGATCAGAGTCGAAATTTTGAGATTACAAAATGTCAAAATGTCATGAATAATGTTGAAATTTCGAGATTGAAGTGGAAATTTCGAGATTAAAGTCGACATGAATAAAGTCGAAATTTCAACTTTTTTAAATTTGAACTTTAATCTCGAAATGGAAATGAAAAACATCTCCCTCCTGTAATTATTTATGTCTCTTTTTGTGGCTCTTATCCTCTTTCATAGATGTGTGCTGCGTGGAAACACCTTTTCACGAAAATTATTTCTGTTTTGTCAAAAATATTTGTGGCTTTTCCCAGGCATCTTCACAACAACAAAATTGGCAGCATGGGTGCAAGATGTTTTGAAGGTCTACACAGTCTGGAGACACTGTAAGTATCACATGCACTAATCAAAAAACTACACTGATCAGAGGTTACTACATTTCCCCTATTTTCTCACACACACACAAAGCTAATATCATTTCACAGGCCCACATGAGTGGCTCCTCTGTTTCCCCAAACACTGATACAGACTGTGTCATGGCACAGAAGTATAAAAGTATCAATATTCAGACAGCACAGTGTTTACAGAGATCGCCTTAAGCAAATTGTTAGGTATAAGGGACTACATGACCTTAAAAAGAAGTCGTCATTTCACTACAGCTTACTACAGCCTCATTTTTTCTTGTGAGGGGAAACATTTGGTGTTACTCAAAAAAACTCAAAATTAATGTTTTTATAAATCATATGTACCAAGAGAGCCAAAAAATAATGAAGTGTGGCTCTAAACTCTTCAGTCATAATGATTAATATCCCGGTAATTTCAGCAGGTGCTTGAACGTTTCTCAAAACCACAACCAATAAATTCCTTTTTGATTACCTTGAAGTCACATCAAAAGATTCCTGTGTTTTGTAGAAGTCATTGCCAAGCAGCTCTGAGGTCAAATATGGCTCAATATGGCTACAGGAGAGTTGTTTGAGTGTATGTGCTGTAGCTTCCATAACTGGATCCCTACCACACACCAATATGGAAACCACAGGAAACTTCCACAGCCTTATGAAATGGGCGGGGAAAGAAAGCGAGAGAAATGAAGACAGTGCAACTATTCCTCCTGCAAAATTCATGGTGGTCTGATGAAAACACAGTTTCTGGCACGCCGCGTAACAACCTGTTGAAGTGTAAAAAAAATTCATGCGTTTCTTTTTATGAGTATGTGTGTGGGCACATGTGTAAGTCTGCAGATAAGCAAGTATTCCGCCTCTGCAGTTTGCGCTCGCGAGTATGGCCGACTTAACACATAACTAAAGAGCATTATCCATGCTAGAAAATTTGAGGGAAGAGGGTGTCAGTCAGTGGAGCCATGGTTGAAGAGATGAAGGGAAACTAAAGAAAGAGAGAAAGAGTGATGGAGCTCTCTGGACCAGAATAGTGTGTGTTAAAGTGTCTGGGCCGTCAGCGCGAGGAGAGACAGATGATTCAGCGGGATAAGATGACAGGTGTCATTGACGTGGGGATTGCGTTGGTATGAGGGGTTAATCTCTCACAGCGGCCCTGCTTATGAGAAATATGAGAGACCATCTGCATCACCACCACCCTCCCCAACCCCCTAGTGTGTATTATAAAATCATTACTACGAAAAGCCGGCCAGGAGACGCTTGGAAAACGCAACACACCGCTAAGACAGAGCAGACCCACGCAGACATTTCACAACATCCAGTGATTCATGGGAAATATCTAAAAGTACTTCATCAAAAGCATTTTTGTAGTTGTGGACTTGAAAGCAGTAAAATAAATCTTTTTAATCTGTCTTACTTCTTTTAAATATCCTTTACCCTGAATGCCTTAGGATCTTCAAAGGCTGCGAACTTGCACACAAAGAAAGACACACATCTGACAAATAACATGCTTTATGAGGACAAACATGCTTTTCCCATGTGCTGCAGACAAGCTCAAACACAGTATGCATATACAGAGAGAAGAAATACAGTGAAGGCTCTTTTCCTGCCAGCTGAGTATGAACTGTCTCCACTACAGCGGCATTTGTTTTGATACAGTATTTCCTGGGAAACTAATCACAGACAGACCAAAGAATCGTGTCAGCGCAGTAAAGGTCAAGGGTCAGATCCAAACTTCACACTCAACAGCTGTCAGCCTCTCTGAGTGGAGGGGAAATTGCTTCTAATACATATGCATCCCAACACACTTTCTCACACACAGATAAGAGGAAATTCATCACATGGTTGAGATTCAAAGCAGGAGGAGAAAACCTCCACCATGTCTGGACTTCATATTTTTATCTTACCCCCTTCAGTGTTGGGGTAGTTACTTATAAAAAGTAATTCATCACTAGTAACTATTGTAAATTGAAATAACATTACTTTACTAGTTACTGCATTTGAAAAGTAACTTCGCTACTTATTACTTTGCTTTCCCGTTTCTTAATTTATGATGGACAAACATCACAGCCCAATCCTCACTGAGCATAGTCCGCATCGTTTTATTTATTGTATACAGTATTTTTCGCACTACAAGTCACACTTAAAATCCTTTAATTTTCTCTAATTTTCTCCTCAGTGCGCTTTATAATCAGGTGCGCCTTATGTATGAATTCTGGTTGTGCTTACTGACCTTGAACCGCTATTATTTGGTACACAGCGCTCAAAAGTCTGTCAAAATGTTTTATTACGACTTCAGTAAGCTACAAAGCCGCACAGCTACCACAGCTACCGTAGCCTCGCAGAGTTATTAAATGAGTTAAATAAAGTTTGACTTATCTGATTGTTCTGTTTGGCTTAATGCGCTTTATAATCCGGTGCGCCTTATGTATGAAAATAGACGCGAAAAGATGCGTTCATTGATGGTGCGCCTTATAGTGTGAAGGTACGGTAAATGTTGCTTGGGCATAGAGTGCATTTCACACAAATATTTTTGTCCTTTCGATTTTTATAGCAAAAGTAATGTGAGTATCACCACTTGCCGAAAACACCTGTGTCGTCCCCCTTCGTCTCTGTCTCCGTTTCCATCTCTCTTTCGCATCAGCAGCTACCTCACTCAAATACATCTCTCCATAGGACTTTCAAAGGCCACATGATTGCACAATGCATGTTAGCATCTTTGCAAGAAAAATGAATCCCGTGAAAGAAAAGAATGAAGAACAGTACAGGGAAACACAGCTGATGTAACACAGAAAGGAGCGTTCCTATTGTTTAGTAGAGTAATTAAGATACAAGTTTTTTTGCGTAGTGTGTTACTTTAATTCGTTACTCAAAAAAATAATATCGTTACTGTAATCCGTTACTTTGTAGTGCGTTACCCCAACACTGACCCCCTTTCTCTCTACTTTAGGGATCTGAACTACAATGATCTCCAGGAGTTCCCTGTGGCCATCAGGACATTGAGTAAGCTTCAGGAACTGTGAGTCTACACACACATAAACATATATACACACACGCACACAAACATATACATACACACACACAAAAACACACCTGCCTGACATGACTATCATGGTTGCATTATCCCAAGTAATCCCGTTAAGTGATTTTAATGTGGCACTCGGATACAATCTCTCTCGCCCTAAGCAGGTGTTGCCTCCACACCCACGCACCCGCTCGCCTGCACGTACACACACTTGTGCACGCATACACAAAACATGTTTTCCCTCCGCTTCAGCAGATGTTCTGCAGTGTGCATATGTGTCACAGATACAGTGTCTTTGTGAGTGTGTGTGTGTGTGTCTTTGTGAGTGTGTGCGCATGTTTACATCTCATTTATCCAAAAATGTTTTTCAGCTGTGCAATGGCAGGTGCAACATGAGGACATATGACTCGACTCTCATTCACAAACACGCTCTGTCTCTCCTCTAAACACACACACAATCAAAAAGAGAAAAGCAGAAACATATTGACAGATTTTTGGACTCACAGTATGTTTCTATATTTGCAGGGGTTTTCATAACAACAATATCAAAGCCATCCCTGAGAGGGCCTTCGTGGGAAACCCTCAGCTCCAAACTATGTGAGCTTAATGCTTAATGCTGCAGCGTATTGGATAAACACATACTTGCTATTTTATGTCAACAGCATGCACAACACAACTCGCTCTTCAAAACAAGTTCATCTGAACACGTCAGAAACAATCTGTCTCTTTCGTGTCTTGCAGTCATTTCTATGAGAACCCAATCCAGTTTGTGGGAAAATCCGCTTTCCAGTTCTTACCTAAGCTGCACACCCTGTAAGTATGCGGTCAGAAGGAACTATTCCAGTGAGTTAGCCCAAACACTGTTTAAATCATCCTCTGTCCCTTGCAGTGAGAGTTGAGTGGACATGTGTAATGGCCTACTGAATGATGTTGTGTTAGTGTATTGCTGCTCTGCGTGCTGATGTGGTAAGAGAAAGTGTGTTGTAAGAACATGTTGAATGGTGTGACTTATGATGTCTAGTGAGACAGCCAAAACAGCTTGTGTTGATGTTGGAGGAAAAGTTTGATGGCTGAAATGAGCTGTTAGACAAGGTCTGTGCGCACACACACACACACACCAGTGTGTGTGGGTGAGAGAGAGGGAAAGAGAGTGATGGGGAGAGCAGTGGAGAGTTTTCTGACACTTCTCTCCCTGTTTGGCCGCAGTTCCCTCAACGGAGCAACCCAGATCCAAGAGTTTCCAGATCTGAAAGGAACCACCAGCCTGGAAATTTTGTGAGTGTCACCTCTAACCGTCTAGTAAGAAAGAATGTGAGAAGACACAGAGATGGAGGACAGCACAATAGTTGGAGGGAGAGTATTTGAGGAAGGGAGAGTGGAGGAGCAAAGGATGAGCAAGATAGAGACATGCCTGAAAGACAATAGAGAATAAACTGAGAGAATATGTCTTTTAGGATTCCAGAGGAGAAAGAGAGAGAACAGGATACCAAGAAAAACGACAGGGAGGGGTTAGCTAGTTATGCCAGCCGGTGACAGGTTTGGCGAACCTACACAGCTCCCTGTCCGACCAAGTTAGACTCACAGGACTGGGGGATCCTTTCGCTTGCTTGCACTTCAACAAAGATCAGAGGAATCTCTTTTCCTCCATAGGACCCTGACTCGAGCCGGCCTCTCAGCTCTCCCTCTGGATCTCTGTGAGCAGCTGCCTCGTCTAAGAGTGCTGTGAGTACACACTTGGGGAGGGGGAATGAGAAACACAAAAACTGATACCCAACTGTGGATAGCTGTGCCCCCAAGCAATCATTTGTACAATCACAGTGCTATGAAATCCAATCACACCCCCCCTTCCTCTAAATGATTGTCCTGCTATATCGCCTTGCATACAGAGCTGACTTCACCCAAATAATCCTGTCACCCTCATAATTTCCCACGCTATAAATCCACAGCTGGTCATTGTGTTTATGTGTGCTTTGCGTGTGCACTTTGTGTATTGTTTTAGGGAGCTGTCTTACAACCAGATAGAGGATCTGCCCAGCTTTTACCACTGCTCTGCATTACAAGAGATGTAAGTAGTTAAACCCCGAAGTTCATCTGCATACTTGTCAAAAATACAACTTCTGAATTCATCGATCATTTTTGTTTGTTTTTTACCAGAGGGCTGCAGCATAACCAAATCAGAAGGATAGAGTCAAGCACCTTCCAGCAACTAACCTCTCTAAGAGCACTGTAAGTAAACAGATGCAACTTTTTATTTAATGAAATATCACATTTATTTTCACAGAAACTAAATTTATGGGTTAGTGATGCACACTCTTTTGGACATAACCCCAGCAAGTAATTTCAAGATATATCTTTTGTATCATCAGATGATATAGATGTTGCAAACTGCAGCTCAATAAGTGTTTAAATAAATCAATCTTTAGAGGGAAAAAAAACACCATGAGGTTTCTCAAGAAGACAATGGTTCATTTTTTAATGAGCCAAAAGGTTTGAAAACATTGGTGAGGATCAGTAAATACAGACTTATGACTGCTCACTGACACCTGGTGGTGGCTAACAGACAACATCAGCTGGAAATCAAAGTCAGTTTCATTCATTTTGATTCTGGTATCTTTCAGCGATCTGAGCTGGAATATGATCGAATGGATCCACATGGATGCCTTTGCCACGCTTCACTCTTTGATCAAACTGTAAGTTCATTTAGATACATAACCCCCCTTTGACTTTTCTCCCTTTCATCTGTTTTTTTTTTTTGCAGGATCACATTTCTCCCCTAGAAGGCTTTCCAAATTCGAGCATCTTTAATTAAAGTTAAGCTGTATGTCAAAGCCTACGCCCTACACAAACACATCTTCATTGACTGTGTACCACAGAAAATCTGTTGTCTTTGGCTGAATCTGCAGAGAACACTGATGTGCATTCATTGTTATAAAAACTCCTCTGTGTGGCCAGGAGAATCATCTCAGGTCATGCCAATACAAACTGCTTCATTGTGTGGTGACTAATTAAAATAAGTCTGGCTAAACAAGCAGATTCCTTACAACTAAAAGAGTTATCAGTGGGGAGAAAATCTGATAAGAGCCTTGCCTGAACAGTTTGAAATATCTATGAGACAAGGCCTTTTTGTTCCCAAGGATGACCCTCGGCAATATTTGAAATGAAAACTCATTTTGTAAACACTGACTTGGCCTGATCTGACTCCCAACCTCTCTTGTTGTTTTTATCATCTCTTTCTGCATACGTCTCAGGGACCTTACAGAGAACCGCCTCAGCTCCTTGCCTGTAGCAGGTTTGGTGGGTCTCACACATCTCAAGCTGAGGGGAAACACAGAACTATATGAGGCCTTCAGTCCAGATTACTTCCCCCGTATGAGGTAACAAACACACGCACCATCATGCGTCCTTTTCTTCTGTCTTCCCATAAGTTGTCCCTACTGTGAACCTTGGCAGTTTAGTTTCCCACGAAAACTGATTCAAGATTGCCAACATACCCAGGTGTGTATCCTCTGGCTGTAAGGAACAATGCTTCACTTCCCTTCCTCCAATTACCCTCCACTCACAATTTTCTCCTACTATATATCTTTAATTTACCAAAAGCAGCCAACACTGACAATACACTAATTACAGTGTACCCCTGCAAGCCATCTCTGAACTTCAACAATAAAAAGCATTTGTCAGCAGCAAGTTCCTTCTTGCAACAAAAAATCCCTGAAGGTCTGGGGCGGTACAGTGAAGTACAACTGGAGACTGAGTTTCAAAGACACAAGAGGGAGCCTGTGTGGACTCAAGTGGCTATGTTGGCAGTTTGTAGAGCACAGTCCATTACCAAACCCTCTAGACAAAGTTATCCCAAAAGTATAGTATGTTTAAAGTTAATGTTTAGGATCCTTCAACCACACTTCTATCAAATGATTTAGTCTTAGGAATACTGACAATTCAACAAGAGGAGAAATCATTTGGGTGTTTCCCATAGACTGTATATACTATGGACAACTTGGTTCCGCCATCTGTCATTAGACGGATTTGAAGCCGAAAAGCTCTAAGTATTGCAGCGTTTTTTCCCCACTTCCCGAAACCAACATTGCGCAGTAGCAATTGGCGGGAGAGTTGCCAAGAGTTGCTGTGATGATGCTCTGCTAAAACAGCATATCCCCTGGGTGAGCTACGCAATCTTCGTATGCACATAGGCTATATCAAGTGTCAATCATAGAAAACATGAACCCCTAATAACTTTTAAAAATGGAGCTAACTACATGTGAACATCGCAAGTAGGGAGGAGAAAAAATTAATTTCTGTGTAATTAATTTCTCAAGTTTGTACAAAGCTCCATAAAGCTTGATGGAGGAGACATAATTTATGACCTTTACTGCAGCCCATCACCAGAGGGTGCTGTTCTAGGGGTGGCTTCACCCAGCAAGGAGGCAGACGGCGTCCGTTCCATATACAGTCTATGGTGTTTTCCCTGAAGACGAAAGAGTCACAAGCGCAGAATTACAACCAATCAATTCAAATATCCAGCAAAACCAATATCGAAAAACCAAGCTGGTAGTGCTAAAGACAAGCAAAAAAAAGGACACAAACATGATTTAAGGTTATGTTTAATTATTTTTTGTTATCATGTTTTGGGCTCTGTCATGTACCATTACTGAGAGTATTTCTGTTTCTTAAAGGGTGATAGAGATGCCATATGCCTACCAGTGCTGTGTGTATGGTTCCTGTGATAACTACAAGCCTGCGAGTCAGTGGGACGCTGAGCAGAGCAACACCGACGAGGACTTGCACAAGAAGACTGCAGCCATGTACCCTATCCATGCTGATACACACTGTAAGAACGCTTGTGATCACTATCACTCTGCTGCAAGCATGTTTACAAAACCGTGGATGAAGTCATCGAGAGAAATCTGAGTCGTATATGTCTGTGCCTGTTGATGAATTATTGACCAATTAAAACAAGGCACTGAAACCACAGTTACCCGGCAGCCAACTTACAATTACACTCGAGCGTATTTGGAATATAAACACCAATAAACCAAAATTAAATTGAAATTAAAACCATTAAACCCACACCATCAACAGCGAAACGAGCTTGGTGTACCAAAAGGTAACAAAAACAAGAGATAATTAAACCATGGCATATGACTGATTAAAATTTATTCACCACTGTAAGAAAAACAATTACAATGATCATACTTTGTTGGAAGGGCCTAAAATCTTCCAGAAATATTTGTTTCTTTGTCACAGAGGAATTTTGAATCATCCGTCTTGCACCAAACCCGTGTAGCCTTTGCAGCATATGTAAAACATGGATGCTGGTGTACATGCTCTCAGGCAATACGCCCCGGTATGTTGAAGCTATGATTCTTGATGCTGATCATTGTTTTTCCCCAGATGACCCTGACTTGGAGGAGTTCCAGCTGGAAATAGAGGAATCCAAACTACAAACCAGTGTCCAGTGTACACCAACACCAGGTAACTATAGAGTTATGTCCAAGATCAGACTTGGATATAGTCATCAAAGAAAGTATGAATTTGAATTTGCTGACAGCTTATATCTCATCTGTTTTCAGGTCCTTTCCGTCCCTGCGACTCTCTCTTGGGAAGCTGGTTGGTTCGTGTGGGCTTGTGGTCTATCTCCTTGGTGTCGCTTCTCGGGAACTCCCTCCTGCTCTTGTCCCTCTTTGGCTCACCTGGCTACCTGTCCCCGCTCCGTTTCACCGTGGCCTGCATGGGTGCGTCCAACCTGTTGACAGGTGTTTGTACCTGCACCCTGGCCCTTGTGGACTCGCTGACCCTGGGAGAGTTTGGTCACCATGGTGCTCGATGGGAGGGTGGTCCTGGCTGTCAAGCAACAGGATGGGTCTGGGTGTTTGCGTCTGAGGCAAGTGTGCTGCTGCTTACTCTGGCGGCGGTGCAGTGTGGTGTGAGCGTGACATGCGCTCGTGCCTATGGGAAGTCCCCATCCCTAGGGAGCGTACGCACATGTGCGCTTTTCTGCCTTACCCTTTCACTCACCCTCGCTTCTCTCCCACTGGTAGGTGTTGGGGAGTATGGATCCTCACCCTTTTGTCTTCCTTCGCCTCTACCACCCCCAGCCTCTCGACTACCATCCTCTCTCGGCTTTCCTTTGGCCCTTATCATGATGAATACCTTGTGCCTGCTCATAGTCACAGGTTCTTACATTCGCCTTTACTGGGAGTTACTTAGGGGGGAGTGTGAGGGCCTGTGGGACTGCGCTATGATAAAACATGTTGCTTGGCTAATATTCACTAACGGTCTCCTGTATGTCCCGGTCGCTTTCCTCTCGCTTTGCTCCCTCCTTGGTCTCCTCTCTTTAGGAGAAGAGGTGCTAAAATCAGTGCTTCTTCTTCTCCAGCCTCTGCCCGCTTGCCTCAACCCTCTCTTATTCCTCCTTTTCACACGGGACCACTCCCAATTTTTCTTCTGGCCTCACCCTAAAACACGTCCACAACTACGCCGGGACCACACGCTGGACTCGTTGGTTTCTGTGGAGACAGAGAAGAGCTCCTGCTCTGATTCATCAACACAAGTGTCCATTGCAGATGCTGATGCCCTTTACAGTGGGGGGAACCCACCTCAATCCCAAGTGGATCCAATAAGGTTTTCTCATTGCTCCTCCACGTCCTCCGTTCCCCTAATCCCTTGCCAGATACCCACTCCCACAGTCAGAGAAAGAGACAGGGTGACAGAACAAGGGAGCCTAAGTGACAATGAATGTCTGAAGAGTTTGGATCAAGATGTGATTCATAACACTTGCTCTATGTATCACTCTTCCATGACTCCCTCTCTCAACTTTCTTCCATGAACCTTTAAGCTGGCTGTCTGATTAGCTGGGACACAATGGACACTCAAGGACTCATCATTGAACAGCAGCAAGGCCAGCTCTCGGTTATCACTCCTCAAGCCCGTGCAGGGGCTGCAGAGCACTCGGAAGAAGTGTATGAGAACACAAGAGTGCCTCTGAAACAGAGTGCAACTGAATGTTCCCTTCACAGCAAAGACAATGAAAGGAAACACCAAAATCCAACATGACTGTCAAATAAAGAAAAAAACTTTATGAACTGCCGTAGTCATAGACTCATGTGACAAAAAGCAAGCTCATGGAAAGGTTGTTTACTCTGTGGAAAATCCAAGCATCAGACAAATCAACAGTGTAGCATGGGGGAATATAGGTAGAACCCATAGAATATTGTATGCAAATGTTTATACTGAAATGTGATCATGAGACATGCAGCTTAGAGGTTACAGATTGTTTGGTTATATTTTAAGTGGATGTGTTTTTGTTTTTTAATATAAGAGCTATCCTATTGCAAAAGTCTGTTTCAATAAAAGGGAATGAACATCAGACACACCAGGACATCTCACCAGAGTAAGCTAACATTTTTCATTCACATAAATGTCGGATACTTTTCTCATCTGCCTAGTAGCCGTTGCAAGATGTTCATTTTGTGGCAGTAAAATGCAAGTGGATACAGATTGCACGCACAGTTTCATATGGTTTACATGTTTTATCTCAAAGAGCATCTCAGCAAATACAGACTGTAGCTATCTTTCGACAGACTTTAGAGTAGGCTAGCAATTTGTACATACAATGTTACTACCTCTGAACTAGCATGGTATTGACCCACTACAGCCCAATGATGTTTGTCTCCCTTTTTATATGCCACACAGCAAATATATTATTTTATATATTGAGAAATAAATCCTTAGTTTGTAAAAAAAAACCTTGCTATTTAGATGTAAATACTTTGTATACAACTGTTAAGCATATATTTGAATAAAGTTATTATCTTCTTACTTATTATACAGCCAATCTCTTCTTAAACTGCAAGTGTGACAAAAAAAAATCCACTGAAAAGGAAATCAAGGTGCTAATTGTTAGAAGACAAAGATGCTTCAAGTACAATAATTGTTTAAAATAAACTTTAATATCACAACACAAACATGAACATTAAACATATAAAGTGTCTCTATATGAGGTCTGGGGATATTACAACATAGCAAATGGTTACAGAAGAAGTCAAGTCATGTTCTTAACGGTGTATAAAACAAGGATGGTGTGGGGACTAGACACCCATGTGGACCATATAAGACACAAACTAAACACAGCTTCTCTTAGCTGACTCCTCTCCCTCCTGTTGTGCCTCTCTTTTGCGGTTCAAAGCTTTTTGATCTGGATTATTTTCTTTGTTGCCCTCGACAACTCCCTGAAATACAATTTTATATATTAATAATAATGCTTATCGGTCTTTGTTCCATGCACATTCATTAAACATGAATCAAACACCATCACTTTGCAACAAAATGATGTCAGAGTATTGGACAACATTTTATTGAAGGGGTATAGCACCACCTTGTGGGTAAAGTAGACTACTACATATATCTAGTCAACTGATGAAGTCACAATGCTTATATTTCTACTTGTAATACTTTTGCCACAGCTGCTTAGAGCTATAATAGTTGTTGGATTAACATACTATACTGACACAGTTTATACTGATACAGCCATATCTTTACTGATACAGCCAAATTTTTTCTTACCGTATTCTTCTGAACAGCATGCTCCTGTGTCCACTTCCGGGCTTTCTCCATGAACAGTTGTTTGTTGTATTTGAATTCTGATGACTGCATTCAAAACACGATAAATGAACATCTCTTCACACATGTAGAGAGCACAGTTTACAACTGATTGGAGTATTACAAATCAAAGCTTCCCACTGCAGTGTTGTGATTATAGGAAGCTGAGATTTATTGTCTGCAAAAGTTATTTCTAAACTGATACTGCAAGAGATATCAATGTGTTTAACCAAACTTCAAGCTTTGGAGAAATATGTACACCAGAAAAAGTATTGAATTCTATTCAAGGTGCACATTTCTGGCATAGTGTTATAAATCTCTTTGTGATTCTTATGTGCAAAAACTCTTTTGCCATGCAACCATATCTCTGTCTGTACAATGATTGCCTGGCAAAGTTTAAACACAAAATCATATCATCATATCATATCACCATTGTGTCTCTAAACACAGACTATGATAACATATGGATGTAAATTTTCAGACTCACAATATCAGCCATGAGTGGATCGTCTGGATTGGGCTCAGCCATGAGGAGCTGAATGGAGGTTAGGACAGAGGGGATGTTGAGGGATGGCTTCCAGGCACCCTAAATAAAAAAACAAAAAAGGAGACATAAATCAGTGGGTGATCATATATCAACAAAAGCGGGATGATAAAAGGGACAGAAATTATCACTTAAATCAAATGTCATCTGATTTTACCTTTGGAGGGAGTTTAAGAGCATCATGGCATATTCGCCCAGAGCTGTCAATGTTGGGATGGTAGATGGGGGTCAAAAACCTAATTGTGGGTGGCTCAAATGGGTACCTGTAGAAAAACAGCACAACAGGCATACAAGTTAGTATAAAGTTTTCATGATGTGGACATACTTTAACAGAATAGCTCTGTCAACAGTGAAAATATACCTCTCTGGGACCTTGATCTCTAAGGAGAAGAGTCCACCTTCATATGGAGTGTCTGATCCACCAACAATCTCTGTCAACCAAAGGAAGAGGTAAATATTTAGAGCAGCCATAACTTTTGAACATGTGTTTTCATGTGGATAAAATATGAGGAACATCATCCAATACAACACTTTGTTTAATAACTTAATTATATTGAATTTCATGGTGTTTTACTGGGTCGTTTGAGGATAGTTGTTTGCCTTTGCTTACAACGACTGCTGAATCCATGGTGTAGTTCTATGGCTGCAAACATAAAGCTTGAAACCCTTACGTGCCCGGAGGTCGTCTATCCGCTCCTCGGTCTGCCAGCATGTGATCCCGGGGGGAGGCTCGGTGCTCAGCATCTGCAGTTCACGCTTTAAACGGGACGCCCTCTGCATTCTGCCACCAGAGAGCAGAAAAAAAGCTTCAATGATGAAACACTAACACCCCTAAAACGAGTGTGTGAACTTGTGAAACGATATCGACAGGACAGTATATACCGAGTAAGAAAACCAAATATTTTTGATGGATATTAAATCACGTTCACTTACTTTCCTCCTCCTTTGACAACTGTCTAGGACTCAGTATATTTCAGAAACTTAAATCTCACAGCCCAGTCCAAACGTCCGCCTCGACTTCTGTTTTGGTTTTCCCTCTCTTTCGGTCGGCAAACGGCAAACCGCCAGCTGACTTCTTCTACGCTTAGAAAGGCTTCTACTTCTACAGCGTTGGAATAGAAGAGCGCCACCTAGCCCCCAAAGCAGGTATTGCACTTGCATAGAAAGCCGTCTACGTCAATTTTAAAACAACTGATGAGCGATCAATGACATCAACACACATCGAGCAAATTACAAAATTGTGCATGTTGCCAGCAAAAAACAGCACTGAAAATGGTTATTCAACAGCTTTACCATGAGTTCTACTTTCAGGATGTTTCTAAATTTGTAGCTGAGTGGTGGTGTTTGCAAGTTTCTTCTTTCATGTCCACTTTATAAACGTAAGAGGAGCAAAATGTAAGTAAAACCTTTCAATATAGTGTGCTCCAATACACCAACACCCACAACAACTTGAGCAATGGATTCAAACATTTTTTTTCCATCTCATGGCAAAAAAAGACAAAAAAATGAGACCTTTCTAAAAATGGCAATATTTGACCCTTGGTAGCAAACAGACCTAGCACTGGAGGTGTCATAAGACCAGAGCAGAACTACAAAACACACCCAGACAGGAGTCTTCTTGCACAGCAGGATGGATCCAGAGTGGATAAAGATCATGAATCTGGCGTGTATCTCACGTGTCCACTCATTAAACAGCTCTTCCTGCCCAGATATGATTTGGATGCACCTGTCTTGTCCAGATTTGTCCAGACTCGACCTGTTTATAAAGTGGCTTATCTGACCCAAGTCTGATTGGTATCCATTTACTTCTCTTGTGTCATTTCAAGCCTTATCAAAAAAAACAATGAAATAAATAAATAAAAATAAAAAACGCCAGTAAAACATTTATTTAGATTAGGTTTTTCGTTTATTTATGTCTGTCAGGCACAGAGGTAAAAACTGAGGACTTTTGTAAGACAGTCAGCAGAGAGATTTCAGATCAGGTAGTTGTTTGTGGTGACAAAAATGAACATTTTCATATTTCAGCACCTTAAGGAACTTGAGCACTAAAAGTTAGTGTTTTTCATCATATCTTCATTTCAAGAAAATACAATATTTCCGCATTAAAAATCACAATCACAGAGGTTAAACAGTATTTCATTGTCGACTATGGCGTCAAATTTATCCATAGTCCATCTGTTTGATTTCAATCTGATTTGTAAGCAGTGGCATAGATGACCTCAAAAGGAATGTGCTTGTGCTGTTTCTCCTCCATTCTGACATCTGTGAAACCAGAGTCTCTTAGTGCAGCCATGTAGTTCTTTGGCTGCCAGTTCTCCCCAGACATCACTCCCCTTTCTTTAGCAATAAGCAAAGAGGACAGCCTCAGTGTGGTCACCATCAGGCCTCCTGGTGAGGTTCAAAGAGGAAAAGACAAAAAACATGTATGTAGACAGAAACTTATTAGACCATTTAAGACAGATTTTCTTTTAGATGATAAAGAGTGCCTTGAAAATAAAATCTGTCTTACTTGAACAACCTTTATCATACCTGGTTTCATAACCCGGTGTATCTCTGTGGATACCTTCCTCAGATCAGGCCAGAAGTAGTAGCAGTTACTGTGGAAGACTTTATCAACAGAGTTGTCTAAAAGAGGCATTGCTGCTACATCACAGTGGTGTAAGGTGACTTTTCCACTGGCCACAAGCTCCTTTACTCTTTTACTTGCCACCTGCAAGAGAGGAAAATGTGTCAAACATCAAACTGTTTAGGTTATGTATAAAGCACATTATAATTCACTTCAGGCTGTATTCAGGGGCTGTCTAAAAAAGAAGGACATTGGGGAATATAAAGTAGGACTGTGTTTCTGTCAAAGGTTCCAACGGTCTAGACAGCCTTATAACCATACATTCTGCTTTTCATAACCAGAGATCTTAACGTTATTAACACTATTCCAATGTATACATTACCTTATGCATGTACTCTGAGTAATCCACCCCTATAAGGTGCCCTGAAGGATCTGTGAGAAGTTTAGCTGCTAACTCCAGACCAAGTCCTGGGCCGTGCCCCAGCTCCAGCACTGTATCCCCTGGCTGGATTCTACTCAGCTGCACAGCATTTTCCTCAGAAAGACGGTTGTGCCAAAGCAAAAACTTGGTGACCAGCCACCCACCAACTGATCGTGTTGGGCGGCCCAACTGCTGTCCAATTTTTTCAACCCACATTACTGTGAAATGACAAAAAAAAGATACCTGTGCATCTGAAACAAGTGTCCTTGAGTGACATGAAAGGCACTTCAGATAAAATGTACTATTATTGTTATTAAACAATTACAACATATTGAAGAAAAATGCTGGCAAAAAAGGGGATCAAGATAATCCTAGCGAGTGTGAAAATCCTACATTTCACCGCTAGGCTACCTGTAAAAAAAGGTTTTATGAATGTGTGAGTTGTACAGGTTGAGGAATGTCACATTCAAATACATTCATACAAAATGAGTATTACCAAATGTAAACAGGCTGTTTAAATAAACTTTTTTTTGTCAGTTTGTTAATCAATCAGCAGAGATATACGATCAGGTGAAAAACATTTCTTTGAGTTAAACTCTGCTCAAACCAGTTTTGGATCAGTCAATGTTTAGCCTAGTCTGCAGTTACAAATTCATAAAATAAATCATATGTATGGAAGGAATTTTTGAGATTTGAGAAGAATTTATGATTTTAACAGTGCACTTGAACTAAACATGGTTGGTAATTGTTAGGGTGATTTTCTTTAGCCAGTCATGTCAGCCTTTAGGGTGGTGGAGCTGTGTCACTCAAATACCTCAGATACTTTGGTGCTAGATTTCTGGAACCATGGGACTTCGACAACCATCTTCAACAAGGACCTTGTACCCATGTTTAACAACTCTCTGGCTCCAAAAATATGTTGTGCTTTGTTATTACACTACATTGACTCTCCTTAAGGTCAACAAGATGAAAGCAGAATGTTTGGAAACGTGGACAGCTCAGACCAATCTTTGTTACACTTGTGGTAACCCAGATCTGCAACCAGTAAAGCTTGTCAAAATGATCATTAGTGTGGACCTTCCATTTTTTAAAGTGTGAACATGGGCGAGGCATCCTTACAGTAACTGTTGTTGGTGGCTTGATAAGCACAAAAATGCTTTTAGGCTGACCTTGAGTTCAACTTCACCAAGCCTCCTCCTCTGCATTTGATTCTGATAATAGAAACAAGAAGTTGTGACTAATATTACCATGACTGTTTCCAAACTGATCCTTATTGTTTTGTTTCGTTTTTTCTTTGAGTATGCTACTGCAGAGGATTAGTTTAATCAACAGTTATAGACTTTGTTAGTGCAGAGCAACGACATTAAACTTGATTTTCGCTAAAGTAGATACACTTAACAGTAGTTTCTCTTTCCTGTTGTTGTTCTTGTAGTCACCTTACCTTGACATGTAGCAGCACACGGTCTGTATGTTTGGTCTTCCGGAAGTCGAGCGAAAGGGGGCGGGGCTACGAGAACTACTTCTGCTTTTTAACGTGCACGCGCCGCTCAGACCTGTTGCGACTCGTGCCCGTTTTGTTATTCCCACTGTCCTTAATAAAGAGCTTTCTGCAGCCTTATCCCACAAAATATTTCACTTTGAGATATTTTGTATGCAAAAATGTAAAGAAAGTACTTTTTCCATATATGTTTACTGTAAAGACAGTTTTGTTAATGCGCATGGTGTTACGTGTTATCTTGCGCTCTAAACAAGTGCAGTCTGACCTTGTTTTTTGGAGATGAGCTCCATACTTGTTCCCTCCAATCAGCCCTTCTCGCGCACACCCACTTCAGGGATTGTGTTTCTTTCGTTTTCATTTCCCGGAAGGGTCGAATGCGAAAATAGGGGAGTTTTATTTCTCCCAAAGTTACATTTAAAGTTCGTCATTTAAAATGTTGTTCGATGAGGTTTGACTTAGATTTTCTGTCATTCAGGCTGTTGGATTAACCGTATGTCGGTTTACGAGGAAATTACTTGTTTTTTTCGCGTGGTCGAACAAATAAACGACATTTCAATGGACAACGCTTCCCCGTCACCTTTAGTAAAGGTAAGTGTAAGAGTTAAGAGCAAACCTTTAAGATAATCGAAAGTAAGCAAGGATCACAAATGCATCATTGAAGGATATTCTTACATTTTCAGATTTGAATATTGGCTGCTGATGTTTTTAAATATCAAGATCATTTTTGTGTGTGTGTACTCTTCCCCCAAATGTTTGTACTTATGGATGTTTTGCAGCAAGAAAACAGAGCAAACAGTCCTGCAACTGTAGTGCATGTTGGGCAAGTCAACATGCCACCTACTGTTCATCACTCTCCACAGAACCAGCTTCCTTTGGCCAGCCCTCCCTCACAGGAGGACCTCTGGCATCTTCCTGGACAGCTGCGTGAGTTTTAGGAAACCTGAGTAATACCCCTCTAGTGACAAGATACAGCCATGTCACTACAACAAAGTATAAGTATTTGTATATATATTTTTTTAATGCACTGCATCTGTGTTTGTAGGTATAAACCCATCTCTGTGGGATAAGGAGGATGTGTCTCACTGGCTCCACTGGGCTCAGAAGGAGTACTCTCTACGCCGACCCGAAAAGGGACACTTTGAGATGAATGGTCGGGCTCTCTGTCTGCTTACCAAGGAAGACTTCAGACGCCGCTGTCCCAGCTCAGGTAGAAACTTGTGTGCATGCAGAAAGACAGTATGGTTCTGTTCTAGCGTTTTCATATATTCTCTACCCTTTATCTTCACAGGTGATGTTTTGTATGAGATCTTACAGTGTATAAAACAGCAAAGGAAGAATGTGATTTGTGGTGCTCCCAATGTACCGCCCTCACTGGCAGCTGGACACATCCAGAGCCCGGTCAGCTGCCAAATGGCCCATCAGTGTGTACAAGAGCCCCAGCCTCCCACAGCCAATGACACACCAGGTCAGTAGCAGCTATAGTGCCTTGTTAAATAAACAGTATATACAATCAGTGAGGCAGTTTTATGTTGGGTATGTTCCCCCAGGCAGTTTAGAAATGTTTGAACAAAGTGCAGATACAGTAACTTATAAATAGGAAAACGCTGACCCCATATAAGAGTGTGCTGAGTCAACTGTTTACCAAATCAGACTTGTTTTTCCTGGCTAGATTTGGTGCAGATATTTCCTGAGGAGCAAGGTGTACATGTACAAACACATCTTGCAAGAGGTCCTGCTCTTAGTAGATGCTTTATCCATCGGCTGCTTTTTCTAAACTCTTGAGTTTAACTGTGTCCAGTGCATGTCTGTCTCCCAACAGTTAAAACAATGTGAAATTTACTTTGTTCTTTTCTTTACTTGTAAGGACCAGGGAACAAGGAAGCTTTTATACTATCAGGAAAATTAAGAAAATAGTTTCAAATCCAAAGTCCAGTCTTTCCCTCAGAGCAATTCTCTGTTTAATTACTTTTTTTTTTTTCGTGTGAGGGCATTTCACTTGAGATCATAGGTTTAGAAACACACACTCCTGCTCATGCACACCATAAAAAAGGTGCTTTCCATTGTAGAAAGTAGGATGTGAGCCAGTGGGTGTGTCAAGGTTATCTTGAATCCAGCGATTTCACAACTCCAGAGTCCAAAACAATTCACTTTGGTCAACAAACTGTCCACGAGCAAAGCAGTGCCATGCCCTCTTTATTTTATGCCTTGCATTTGTCCTTTGTCCTTAGACTTATCAAATTCATATGTTCAAGCAGCTTCAAAATAACTTTTACTTTCAGTTTAGTTTTTTTTTTACAGTTCCTCATATCTACGTCTCACAGTTTCCCTCGCTTTCACAACTGCAGAGTCTGCAGCTGTTGTAACCGCTGTGACCGGCCTGCAAGAGCACATGTCACCCCTCAGAGATCGTCCCTCAGTTTTTTACTCTTCTCCACTCACACAAAGAAGTAAGTGAAACAGCAGAAATGTCTGAAATATATAGTCCTCCCCTTGTGTTTTTTTCTTTTATTACAGTAATGCCTGATTTTCTGTCCCTGTCTTTGTTGCTCTCTGTATTATCCCCTCTTTCTTTTCAGCGCCTGTGTCTAAACTGCCCAAAAAACAAGTTCAGTGTCCTGCACCAACAGAGCGCATCACCCATGAGCCACTAAACCTGTCAAATCGAGAGAGGCCAAGGAGCCCAATACACAAGGCCAATGGCCGTATCCCAGGTAGTGTTAGTTGATAAGTATATGTTGTACAGCAGCATTATTTCAGATAATATCTAGAAGCAACTGCATTTTTTCCTGGAGAGTGTGCACAGATTTTTGAAAATTCATACTCATAAGATGTAAAATGAAAATCTGACCACAAGGGGGCACAAGAACTTTGGAAAACTCTGAGCATCTTAAGCTCTTTTGATATATTCAGTTCATTATAATCACTTCTCAGTCCAACTGTAGCCAAGAAAAAATATGCTTTTTACTTGTTGTAACATTGATTGTCAGACACTGACTTACTCCTGTTGTTTTGCCAGTGGGACTGAGCATAAAGTATTATATACATATATATATATATATATATATATATATACAGTATATGTGTGTGTGTGTGTGTGTGTGTGTGTGTGTGTGTGTGTGTGTGTGTGTGTGTGTGTGTGTGTGTGTGTGTGTGTGTGTGTGATGTGAAATAATCTCTAATCACATGCTTAGTTGTATATTTTTTAGGAACAAGGCATTGACTGTGTAAAAAAAAAAAAAAAGTCATTCTACTGCATTATGGATAATTTGAAATTAGGCAACATGTTCTTCTGCTTTTTTGCCAGAGTGCAGACTGCTGTGGAACTACGTGTACCAGCTGCTGTGCGATGTCCGCTACCAAGAATACATCAGATGGGAAGACAAGGACAGCCTGGTGTTCAGGGTGGTTGACCCAAACGGGCTTGCACGTCTCTGGGGAAACCACAAGGTGACAGAAGAAAAATGAACACAAACAAGAGACATAACACTACAAATTTAAACATTGAGAGCAGATTAATAACCTCATCATAACGTTATTTTGATCCTCCTATTTTACAGAACAGAGACAATATGACATATGAGAAAATGTCACGTGCTTTACGTCACTACTACAAGCTGAACATCATCAAAAAGGAGCGAGGACAAAAACTCCTCTTCAGGTTTCTTTCCATTTCTGTCAAATTTTCTCAGTCTCCTCCTGCCTTTGTTCACTGCACGCATTTAGAGTTGCAACTCTTTTTTTCAGGTTTCTGAAACTGCCGCTGGACACAAAGAATCCACAGGCCAGCCCTGCCGAGTTCCAGGAAAGCTCTCCACCGCAAGATGGGGAATTCTGGGACAGTAATTCTGTACAGGAGTTCAGTGACCATTCAGACCGTTTTGAAGTGTCTCCTGATCGCACTTCTCCACAGCCTCCTCCGTAAAAAAACTGCATTAGGTATTGTAAAAAGAACAAAACATTGGGAAATATGATAAAAGAAGTAAAACAGTTTGAGCAGATAACAATCCATTGAAAGTACAGGTACGACAAAGCATACTGAGAGGTGTATGTTAAGGGATTTTTGCACTCTGAATTTGCATTTCAGCTAACCTTGTATTAGTGTATGTGTGTATTTATAAAACTAGAACAAACACTAATATAAACTCTTGACAGAATTGCATTAACCTTCAGTTACCAAATAATCAACATTACTTTAATTTCTCAGGTTCAATCAACATAATTGAAATACAGATGCACTCTTTGTTTATGTACAGAGAAATTTAACAGGTCTTATAGGGGTAAATGTTTCATTTAGTGTTGTTATTAAGAAAAGGTATTGTGGACTTAATGCCAGTTGTATAGTTAATATGACAAACTATTTGCCTTAATAACTAAGTTGAAGTTTTTTGTTAAGTTTCAAAGTTGATGAAGAAATTAGGTTGATTTTTTCTGCTTTGTAAACATTGCGTATGGCATTTATAGCCAGTTTTATGTTTATTTGAAAATAAGGTTAAGGCTTATCATTATTTCATTGCACATGTTCAACTTTGTAACCTAATTTGATAATGATACGATGTACATTTAAAATTATTCAAAATAAACCAGAAACCCTCTCACATTTTTGACTCAGTCTATGATTTATAGCATTTGCAAGCACACAAAATATTAGTAAGATTTGGGAAAAACACATTCATGAGTACCTCTGCCTGGCGTTATATACTTTCACCTGTAGGGAGCACTGTGATAGCGTGAGAACCAGAAGTTCAGCAGCTGATGTAAAGCGTTATGCCCTGGACTGCACACACACACTGAAACAGACATTGTGCTGTCAGCTGAGTTTGTTTACCAGAGACTCTTGTTGACATACACCATGAGCAATTTTTGTTAATCATTCGTGACATTGAAAAATAAGTCACAGTGGTAGAACCGGATATGCTTTTGGTTTTTGTTTAAGATATTTTTCTACCAGGCCTCTTAGATTTTTTATTATGCTTTATTAAGGTTAGGGTTAGAGAGGGAAAGTGACCAAAGAGCTGAGATGCAATTCCACCATTTCTTCCCTAAGCCAGATTGTAAGAAAATACATTTTTATAAAATACACTTAAAGGAAAGACATATATTTTTTTTTTATTTCAAACTTATTGTTTTGTTTGCATAAGTCATCATCATATGAAAAGTTTTACTGTGAAACCCAAAACAACCTTTCTTGAAGCTTGCTCAGAAACAACCTCCCAAGAATAGGCTCATTAAGTCTGTTTTTATTGACTTGAACTTTTGTTGATTTGTTCTTCAGATGAATTTGTTCAGCATTTTGAAAGTTGAGGGCTTCTTGTTTATTTAGGAGCGTCACATGGGATACAGTCTGAACCAGGCAAACCAAAAAATCATGTACGCTTTTGGAATTGGAGCAAACAAAAAGTCATTTAGTGCGCATATGCTATATCACATGGGCATGACTGATATGGCATGTCTAATGGGCTCTGGTTAAATAACACTGATTGTGAAACAGCCACTTCATAAGTCATTCCAGCTTGTTTCAGCCGGGGCCACTTCGAGAAGACAGAGAGGAGTTTTGGACCCTCAGAAAATGGCTCCAGGGGTCTCAAGTTGTCATTACCGTGAGGTTCCCCCATCTCTCTCCTTCTCTGGATCTGGATTCCTGGCCACCTACCAGTTAGGGGTAGCCCAGTGCTTTCTTAATTATGCACCCTGGATCCTTAGCAGCGCCCCGAGTGTCCTTGGAGCCTCTGCTGGCTCTCTGGTAGCAGCTGCTGTAGTCTGCGAAATGAGCCCGGGTAAGAGACTTAATCATGATTTTTCTGAGTCTTCTTAAGTTTCTTGGAACTAATCAAAGTGTCTTTATTGTGCAGTAACCATTCGGGATGAGGTGCTGAACTTTGCCAAGCAGATGAAGGCTTTCACACTTGGACCACTTAATCCTTCTATCAATGTTTTACAATGGTTAGAGTGTGTTTTGAACAAATATCTCCCCGCTGATGCACACCAACTAGCCAATGGGCGTCTTGCTGTGGCGGTGACCCGCATGGCTGACAGCAAACTCACTATCATGTCAGAGTTCCAATCCAGAGAGGATGTGGTACAGGTTAGTCCACTTGTCAGTGATTTCAAATCAGCTTGTGTACTATTTTTCAAATCATGCTTTTCATAATGGACATATTAATTTCTATGACGTCCCCAGGCTCTGCTCTGCAGCTGCTTTGTGCCTGGTTACTGTGGTCTGCTGCCTCCATCCTTCAAAGGAGTAGTGGGTATTTGATATTCTTTTTGTATTACGCCTCAGAGTGTTGATTATCATTATTAAATCTGTATTCTTGTCTCACAGTATTATGTGGATGGGGGTTTCAGGAGTATGCAGCCAACGATGCCTGTTCCCTGCAGTTCTACCTTGACTGTGTCTCCATTCTCTGGAGAGTCAGACATCTGTCCGTTAGACTCACCGTCCATGTGGGACATGGTCGTGAGTGGAACCACCTTGAAGGGCAACATGGCAAACAGCTTCAGGATTATTAATGCTCTCTATCCCATGGCTTTAGAGGTCAGAAACCTTCTTCACTTGGCTTGTACTCTCAGTCTATTAAGCTTTTTACTATAGTTGGTAAAAAAAAAAAAAAAAACTAAATCTGTTTTAATTTTTGATTTTCTTTGATAACAATATGGGCTCAGATAAACACCAAGAGACGACCACATTTTTTTCCCTCTTACTAAATTTTATGTCTTGAATTATATAATGCTTAGAATAAAATAGTTTAAAATGAATAAGTACCATACACATGCAGGTGTGTCAATGTGCATAAAGGGGTCGTATCAACAACTACTCTTTTAAAAAAGCTTCTCAGAGAGGATTCTGTAATCCTTTTGTGACATAACGTGCTTCGATCGCTCTCTAGACTCTGGCTGAGGCCTTCCACAGCGGCTACAAAGATGCTTTCTACTTCCTTGAGAACAACAGTGAGTCTTTGCAGGAAAAATAAGCGATGAAAAATAAAAGTACTCATTATAGCCGACCCGCTCTGACCTACTTTATCTTTCTGTCATGTTTCTCCTTGTAAGCAGATCTTGCCCAGCATATGATTTTCAACAAAGTTTCCCAAAATGGACCAATTTACTACAACCAAAATATAGACTCGATGGACCTGGAGGTCAAAGGTGAGCAAGAGGAGGAGATGAAAGAGGGGAGGGAGACAACCACACAGAGGTGTACAGAAAAGGGATACATGAGGAGCATCTCCACTGAGATTGAATCACCCAAAGATCAGCCGACCAAAAGACCCACTCTACGTTTTGAAATCATGAGGCATGGTATGTCTGACATCCACACACACAAATCGTGTAAATGTAAGATTAAGTTAATGTAAATGTAGATTATGTATACAGATTTGCCAATATAAATATAATCAGTGTTAAATGACTTTCCTTTGCTTAATGGATGGTTAATGTTGTTTCCGTTTCTATTTAAGTTGCCTTGACCAATGTGATGTCCTATCTGAGCATGTTCGGACTCCCTGCAAAAATCTTATCCCACCTCCTCCTTCCTCTTATGGTTTCATTTTATGCCGTGGTCCAGAGTAGAAAGAGGTATGAAATAAACTAAACACATAACACACCCACACAACTGCCAATGACTGTCTCAGACAACATAAGCAACATCAGTGTTTATACTATCATGTTAAGGTAGATAGATATTGTTTGGCCACATCATGAGGCACTGTTTAACAGAGTTTGGTTTCTCTCTCTCAGGTTGGAGGTGTTGGTCAGACAGGCACCAGAGTCTTTGTTCTGGGTTTGGCATGCTGTGAGACACTTTACCCTCTTCTTTTATGAAATAGTTGTCTACAGCCTCAAGAAGAACGTTCGTGACCGGTAAGACTGCATCCTTAATAATATACAAATCTAACTTAAGCATATTGATTTTGTACTATGATATAATAAAGTTAACTCCCAGACTTCTCTGAAGGACATTACAATTTCTCATTACTTTCCCATATCTTCTTATTTGATAATTACTTTTGACAATAAAAAGCCCATTTTCTTTATCTGTTGGGAAAATTTTCCTTCATCTTTCTCCAAATAAACTTCCTTCATATTAACTGTGAAGTGCCCAGCGCACACGATTTAGCCGAGCTATAGACGTGGTAATCTTTTAGAAAATGATGCCTCTCTGATGAAAACATGGATAAAATCATTTTAAAACTAAAAGCAAGTAAAGTAAAATAGTGCTGATGCATTGCATGTGCATAAAGTAATAATTTTTGGCACCTTGAGTGAATTTTTCTTCGATTTTCTTACTTACTGAATTTAAAAAGCAGAACTTTTGCCTGTAGTTTGGTAAAAGTAGTGTTCCTGAAAGAAAAACACCTCATCTGAATAGTTGTTCTACTATTTTACTAAATGTTGTTGGTGCTCAAAATGCTTAATTTCAAATGTTAGTTGCTGCTTATCATATATTGTCTTTGTGAAATCTCATCGAGCATCTGACTTTACATATTGGATTAAACACATTCCGCCTGTCTGTGTCTTTCAGGGTTATGCCGACCATCCTGCTGTTTCAGTGGCTGAAAATTCGAGCACGTTAGGAGGCAGCTCCACCAGGACAGAGGGTCTGCCTCACCAGACCATCATTTACTTTTTTTTGCCCGCACAGACAGTGCTGAGCGCTCAGGTCCATTATGACAGTTTATCAGTTCTTCAGTGGATTACAAGAAGACATTATCACTGTAAACGTTCAGGGAGCCTCTGACCTTTTCTTAGCTTAAAAATAGATAGGTAACCTGTGCAATTTTGGTGCTGGTCACATGGCAGAACAATCATATCTCTTAGATTAGGGCTTCTTAAAATTTTTAAGTTTTCTTCTTTTTTTAACATGTATACTTTTTGTACTTTTAACCATACACCTGTATCAGAGCAGTGCAGGGCTTAGTTGCATATGTAATGGCTTTATAATAGTTATAGATGTGTTGTAAATTTTATCTGTGTAAGAGAAAATCTATGCTATTAGTCTACAAAACCGGTGTTGTAGAAACCACTATAGGTTGTTGGAAAGTGTTGAAAAAAAGGGATCTGGGGTCCACGACCATTTTTAAACCACATGAAGGTGTGAGAAGTCAGTTTAAGGTGACAATAAACATGTAGAAATCCAAAAGAGATTAGAAAATCAAACTTCAGCTGTACATAAGGCATCATTACTGATAAAAGCATGAGCTAGCAGCCAGTAAGGTCGGTCTTACTACAGTATAAAAGTGAACCATTCCTCTAATTAACAAGGAACGTCACACCGAGCATATGACAATAAATTCCACGAAAATAACAAGGATGAATCTGAAGGTGGGGTAAAGTGATGAAAAGCTTAAAACAGCTGTTTCTGCTCCTGCTTGAGGCGAGAACGTGGAAGTATTTCATGGTCGGCTAAAGTTTCACATGTACTAAAACTGAGTCTTTGGCCTCATTTGACATGTAATGATGTTCAGCAGCTAGAGAAACCTCACAACGTCTATCATTGACTTTTAGATAAATCATTTATCTTAAGTCTAAGGGGACCATACCTGCAAAAAAACACAACTTAAAACCAGATAGATAGCTTAGCTCAAGGGAGATGGTTCATAGTGTTACTAATTGATTCCCTCATGAGGAGAGACTAACAGTCCTGTGATGTGCTGTGTGAACACTGCACTCTTTTACTGTCTGACCGCAGCACAGAGTCAGAATCACTACTTCTGTTTATTGATTTGAGCCACAGCAGCCTCTGACTCTTTTTATTTCCTCCTCTTACAAGGCAACAGAAAAATCTTTAAAGACACCGATGCTAGGTGACAGAGTGTGTTATGACACTTTAGATGGTATAAAGAAGAAACCTTTGACTTTCTGAAGAGCGACTGTATCATATTCACATGAAAACACTTTTGTAAATATGTCTGAGTGTAAACCGCAAATAAATGCATTTAGCTTCTCTTACTTTTTTATGTTCCATGCATGATCTCTGCTCTCTTTTTATGTTTTAATACTGAAGAGGAGGAGTTTTATTTTCTATTTTAATTTCTCATCTGGGTGAAGGTCTGAAGAAAATTTCAAAACCCTTTCTTCCTCATTAAATCAATCAAATGAGTGGACATCTATAAAACCAATTCACAAAATAGCCACAAGAGGGATCACTGTATTCCAGGGTGGGGCGCAGGAAAGCTGGGTCAACTGGGAACGTGCTGTGGTACCGAAAAGTCTACCATGTTTTTCAACATAAATCATCTATTTGAAGCGTTCATCACACAAAAAAATATATTTTAGAAAATCTAGGATAATTATTTGGGATTTAATTGAGTTAATGAGAAGTTACCTCACCACTTTGGTTGATCATCCTTTACCAGCTAAAAACAAGTGAGGAGTGGGGGTATCTATTTCTTATCTATTTCTTAATCAGTGATGCAACACAGCTCTCCAGCATATCCTGGAAACTTACAGTCATAGTCGGTGTTTCAGCTTTTAAGGTGCAGCTACACTCGCCCAGCAAATCCACCTTCACACTTGTGCCTAAATGGTAACATGTGTTGTCACAGAGTAAGAATAACCCATTTGATCTCCATGCTTCATGTCTCTTTCATACAGATGGCCCGTTACCTGCGGACAGCACTACTTATATAACTGATGCGGATGGATCATACGGATAACACACACATCTGCTGCTGTCCTGCACCAGCCACTGATCCAGCCAGTCAGCCAGCAACCAGCTGGCTTTGTAATGACACAGAGGAGACATAGTGTGGTGTCTGCACAAGGGGAACATGTGGGGGTTCATATCATTCAGGATTTACAGAAAAAGAGCAGATTCTCTTAATTAAATAGAAAACAAGCAAGTTTAATCTCCTCTCCTCTCTTCCTGGACCATTAAAGGCCATAAAAATATGATTTGAGAAAATGAGCGACAGGGCTAAATTTAGAGAGCAGGCTGCTCTCCGTCTCTTTGGTGATGATATCTTTAAAAGTACATGACCTTTTTCACTAATCCGCTTGGCAACGCGGTGAATGGAGTGTGTTTACTGTAGGTGATGTGACGGCATGAGCAGACTGATATTTGTTTGTCTCTTCCCTTTTTAATTTGGTAAAAAATATATATATACGTGATGGTGATAAAGAGCAGTAAGTAACAGATAGTGAGGGTTAACTGTTTTCTGAATAAAGAGAAAACAGGATGAGCTTTTAGATGATGAAGATAGATTTTTGATTTTTTTCCTCTGGGTGTGTAGAGATGGTCATTGTAGGGCACTCCCACTCAGATTTTGTAAATAGTTTTCTTTGTAGCTGTGTTTTTTATAAATCGCATGCTGTCAGGTGCTAAATGTCTTAAAGAGATAGTTTGTCAGGGAAGGGGTTGTTATTCAATGTGGAGTCTATAAGTAACTTGTTATCTATAAATATATCAGGAGATGTTGCTCAGTTCAGCCCCTTTTATTGAGAAACAAGGCAAAGAACCATCATGAAAGCTAGGCTATAACTCATTTTAAGACAGTTCAACTGAAACATCAACTGAAATTTCTCAGCACTTTGCTTTGGTATCAGAAAACCACTTTGTTTTTGCACTACTCTTGAACACAAGGTGGACATTTAAGGAATACATATTGAAATAGTGAACAAATTGTGCTTTAAAGCAGCTGTCTGACTGCTGTTTGAAAGTGTGTCATAATAGCATCATAACAAGCCATTACAAAGAAATTAAAAAAAATATACAAATTAAAACAAATGTTTTAAGTAAAGTACACTCACAAATTGAAAGAAACAAACTACTATATGAGTGTAAAGATTAAGAAAATGTAAGTACTCCAGACCTAAATATTCTTACTTACTTACTCAAAAACTTTGAAGTAATTGGATTCCACAAAAGTTTTGAGTATTCTGAACTTATTCGGGTTTACAGTGTAGGTAAATAGAACGGGTTCAGTATCAGTGTCTGATTGTCATCATGAAACATCCTCAAACTCTGAGTCCTTTTTAATTTTGACTTCCATCAAACTGATATGAAAACACAACAAATACAAAGGTAGTCTTTTTCTCTATCTCTGCAGATCACACAAGCACAATCTTGTGTTTTTCCATCGTCGCAACAGAGTTTGTCTCCAGGGTTCACTTGATTAGTCTCAAAATAAAATTGTTATAGTTTATCAGTTACACAACTGAGGGGGCTGCCATTGAGATCAATAAGTTTGCACACACTTTGTTGTATGGGACACAAATATACCTACAGATTTGAAAAAAAAATGTAAATGATATTCTTCATGAATTAAATAATCCCTTAACTTAATTTCTTTTGCCATAAGTAGGTCAACACTTCACTTTGTTTATCTACAGATGTTAGAAAATCTATTAGCATTTCCAGGCTAAGCAGCCAGTTTACTGCTTATAAACCAATGTTAGATATCATGCTACAATAAGGATTATGAGAATTATTGACTCAGCTGGTGTTTGGTGTGTTTACAATTTAGTATTTAAACTCAAAGTGCTGCCAAAGCTTTGCACAGTCTCACAGTTTTTAGTCATGTAAACATCAACGTCATAAAAAAAAAAAAATTGATGATACATCAGTTCAAGAAAATTCTTCACCCCAGAGAAAATACCCAAGTCTTATTATCTTTCTGAGTTTGTTTGTCTGTTGTGAAGAAAGGTAATCTGTGGAAACGAAGAGATCACTTAGATTAATTCTGTCCACTCAATCAGCAGACCTAAACAGATGTCACCAGGTTTCACCAGGGAGCACGACTAACTCGCATGTTTAATGAATGAGTGTGTGTGTGTGTGTGTGTGTTTGTGTGTGTGTGTGTGTTAGTGTGTGTGTGCCCTCCTTGGATCTCCCAGACTGTCACCAGAACCATGTGATCCAGCCGAGCGATAAACAGCAACAGATTGACAGTTTTCTGCTTCTAATCCCTCACTCCTCCCCCCTGCCGCCCTCCAAATTTAGAGCCCAGTGGATTAAATAAAGGAATTCTGTCTCGATGATAGAGACCACTATTTAAAAAATCTGTCAAAACAGATTGGTAGTCTCAGTTTAATTTCATTTCTCATATTTTCATCTCTTGCACCTTGCTTTGTAAAATCTCTGCACTTCATTCAACACATTTGAATTTATACTGGACGGTATCAGAGAGAAGAAATGGGGAGAGGTAGCAGGGAGTGACACGTAGAAAAGTAGCCACAGGTTGAAATTGGACTTGGGTTGCCGCATTTGAGGCAGTTAGACCGTAAACCATCAGGATCCTGCAGACTGTATTTTTTAAACTATTTTTCCAAAGAGAAAAAAATCTGTCTTCAGGGTTTTTCCAGTGTCCTGAAGACAACTGTTGTGCCACGATAAATGGGTTGTATCTTTGCTTTTAATAAGATCTGCATGTTTTTGATATTTCTTTATTTAACAGCCAGTTTGGGCTGATCAAGGCTTTTTATTTTTAAGCGTTTCAGGGGTTTTTCCTGCTTCATCCAAGATGAAAAAGTTGTCTCTGAGATATGTTGCTCTGTCTAACATCCAGTAAGAAAGAGAAACTAATGTCTGTCTGTTTATGCGGGTCTAATTTCTAACAGAGAAAACATTTTCTGTGACTATGAGTTTCCACAACATTTCCTATTTTGCTGTGAAGGAATCAGGCTGCCTGAAATGTCCTCTTCCATTATCACAGTGACCTTGTTTCGGTGAATTATGCGTATAAATCAGTGATACTTGTGGGCAAACTGATGATAGCCTTTTTGGGCCGCCATCTTCGTAGACTTTATACTGGTGGGCATCTGTTTGGGCTCTTCACTCTTGAAGGTCTATGTTCATACTGCAGATTATGATGCACAATTCAATTCAGAATGCAGCATCTAATGTGAACAGAATGCGTCCGTGAAGTGACCCGCATGCGCACAAAGCACAAATTGCTTTCCGCGCCTGTTTGTGTTGTCGAACAATGGTGACGTTTGTCGCAAATTGATGACGTATAGGTCGGATGAACATGACCTGAGCGTCCACACTGCAGTCACATCGCATACATATCCAATTTATATCCGTATACAAAAGAGGCCTGGGTCGCATTTGAAAAAATCTGAATTGCACTGTTCACACTTACATGAAAAAATCTGATATGTGTCACATATGGTTAAAAAAATCATAATTGACCTGCAGTGTGAACATAGCCTAAGAATACTGAGTGTTATGTCACCATAACTGAGCTTTAGGTTAAAAGGTTAGACATGAATACTTGAGAATTGAACCTCCATAACACCACTCTTACATAACCTATGACTGACTCTGATGAGAAACAGTTTTGTCCTCATTTGTTTGTCAAGTCTATAGTTTAACCACCACAGACATGTTCATGTGTCGGGTCAGTGCTTCAGGTTGAAACTGTTCTGTACAGTTAGGACTCTGTGTCTCAGCTTGTTTTTGTTTCTTTTAACTTTTTTTATTTTTTTCATTTTATCCTGATTGATTAATCTGAAAGTCATGCTCTCTATCCCCAGAACACCCTGCGTACACAGGTACTCTCACTGTTCAATCATTAATTCTAAGTACAACCACAGCCTGACTAACTTGTCTCAGATGATTCGGCGCTCTATTTGTCTTTTATGGACTTAGCTTCAGGATAACTTAGTGGTCAGGATGTGGAGGGACATAACCTATTTTTAAGGCTAACACATTTTGTGCTTGTCACTGAAACCATTATCTCATTTTCAAGAAGACATTTGGCCTTCCTCTTATTTCCCTGGGCCAGGAAAAATAACAGACTCAACATCAAATGACAGACAATTAAATTTCATTCTAGCTCTGCTCCTCTGTGTTTGCTCATCTGGACAGTCAAAGCAACCGAATCTGTTGTGCTGCATATTCCACTCATGGGTTGCGTGCTAACTTTTAGCCAAATAAAAGATTCAAATTAGATCCAAAACTCAGAAACTGGAAATTTGATTGAGACAAGTATCGTGGTTTCTTTAATGAAAAATAAATCAGAACAGGTTTTAAGAAGTAGGTCACAAAACTCTGCTTTCTGGATCCTTTTTTAACTGTGAGCATGAACACTATGAGTGGGATTTTATCACCACACACAGTTAATAATAGACGGAGACAAACAAACACACACATGAAGCATGTTGAGGAGATAAAGAGTGCTCTAACCTGAACAGAAATAAGCTCTTCTTATTTTACTGTATCACTTAAACTCTCTCAATCTACTGTCCATTGTGTCCTCATCTGTCTGTTTTCTGACTCATGCCAAATATCTGTGACTCCAGTGTGGAACTTTCCATCAAAGCATCTCGTTAATGATGAAGTGATCTCATGAATATTTAAGCACATGACAGAGATCCTCACTAGGCAGCCCAGATATCACACAAAAACACCTTCTGACAGAGTCAACAATTGACGTTTTTCATTTGCACCTCACTAAAAAAGAACCAAAGGGCATTAAAGGTAAAGAACCTTAGCTGAACTGTAATGATAAAGACAAGGAACAGGTTTAGGAACTATTTTAGCTGAAATCTCTTTATATTTACCTTAGTTACTTACAACTGAATAGTTTATTCTTGTTAGATTTGCTTCCTCACACTCGACATATAGAAGATAACACTTTCACCGTCACATACAAAAATGGGATTATGGGTGTTTGGTAAGAGAAACCTGGTATCCTGGGAACAAATACTGAACCTGCTCTTATGATATACCCTTGTTCTGGTTTATGCTCTAATTGCCTTCCCATTTGGGGGTCATTCCTATGTTCCCACGGCCTTATGTTCCCACATTCTGAGATTTGTTTACAAAATTAGGCCCCATGTTCCCACATTTCCTTTTTTAGATTATATTTTAGATTTTATCATCCTTTACAAGGATAATTGTTTCCACCTCCGTACATTAACCATTTTGTACACATGACGTCACACCCATAGACATCTTTTTATACGTATTTTCATGGAGGTGTCGTCGCAGCAGAACATGCACCATGTAATAAAACTCAAATGTGGGATTATAGGACCATGGGAACATAAGGCTGTGGGAACATAGGCATGGACCCCTATTTGATACCTGTGTAGTGTAAGTGTGCAGAAGCTATGTAGCATTTGATCGATAAATATTCCAGAGTTGCACCCTACATAGTTGCTTTGTTTGATGTCTATCCAAGGCCCTCACGTATGCTGTCAGGTCAACAACTAAGGGTTAAAAAAAAGAGCACGTCACCGACACAGGTGCCTTGTGAACTTAGTTCAGTAAATGTTAGCGTACCAGCAATAGTTCTTGTCACACGCACACTGTTGCTGGGCAATAACTTGACTGGAAACATCTCTTTAGATTTCTCCTGCTGCTGAAGAGCTCTCTGACCAACTCTCTTGAGGTAACTTTGCCGTGTCCATAACAATACTCCAAATATTAAGTGCACTTGCTAACAAGCTGGCGTACTTGATTAAAATGTTGATATTTTCCCTGTAACAAATCAAGAATTTAAGTTTTCTAAGAGAATTTAAGGTGGGCTGAAGTCCATGAAAACCTCTCCCCCACTCCACCAGTGAATGTGACCTATTTCCACACCCACCTGAAACCTTTCAATACAGCTTAGAGTCCATAAGAAGACACCAGGTAGCGTGTGAACTCTGCTCTCATCTTCTCTGGAGTGTTATTTATACCTCCTTTCTCTCTTTTCATCAGCAGCTCTGTTTTCACTCTTCGTCCTTGGATGTCCCTCGTTTCCTTCACAGTGATCGGGGTCATAGCCTGCATTCGTTGTTCTGGGGCTCTTGTTATCTGGGTTATTTGGGGGGAAATGTTATTTATCTCAAAAAGTAAAAAGAGAAAAATTAGGGAGCTAAAGTTGACTATTAGAGGTAGGCTGCTCTTTTCGGCCGCAGTCTGAGTCTAAATGTTGAAATCACTGTGTTTGTGTAATTGTTCTCGGCCCTGTGTAAGAACAACACAACACTTGTGATGTGACACAAAATGAAATTCAGCTCTAAAGTTGACGGAGAATCTCAGTCTGAATTGCTAATTTGACATTTCTTGCAGATCAAACCTCCAGTTAGCTGAACCTACTACGATTTTTGTGCTATGACAAAACATGAACAGGAAAACCACTATGCCCTTTAATTCAGGATGTGGTCACATTTGTTTTTCTGTTAGATTGCATTTCTGTTAGTTTTTATCCAAGAAATTCATTGACAAAATCGGGATTTTCAACCTAATCTGGTGCTACATGTCCTCTGTTTCCCACATTCTCAGTTTCCTTTCAGTTGTCCTGTCCCATAAAGGTAAAAATGCTCCAAAGTGTAATACATTTTTTTAATCGTTTGCTATGAATTAATTTACAATACTGTCTAACTATTATGTGAAATACACCCTCATGTTTAGGTTCTTTTTAAATCTTGTTTTTTGGTTTGTCAGCAACAGAAAATCAGAGAGGAGCACCCTGCTGTCATTTGACACTCTCATAATTGCTCTGATAACTACTCCTCCTAAACTGAGGCAAAAATACATCCTCTCCATTTCTTCCCTATTATGAATTATAAATAAAATCCCACACAATTTTAATTAATCAAGCCGCTTTTTACACCATGATTAGTCTGTTGTTTTTCACACTGAATCACTCTGGAGGGAAACAAATGCTTCTTGTAGCTTCCTGCTGGCATCAGCAAGACGTTGTTTGATATCATTAATAAAATGAGTTCATCCACGAGTCATTGCTTCAAGTGTTTACTGAACACATATGCTCAGTTGAAAGGAGGACTCAGTGAGCCTGAGGAGAGGTGTTGAGGTAAGCACACAGAGAAGGGTATCAGGTGAAGCTGTCGGGCATCAGCAAGTAGGGGATGACTCCATGTCAAGCAGACTCTGGCATCCTGTTGAGGCCTGGAAGACTTCCAGGTTGACAGCACTTGCAATGCAACACGTCTCGAAGACGTGACCTGTATTCTTGTCTGTGTGTCAGTGTGTGTGTGTGTCAGAGGGACTAACCTTACAGTGAAAGCAGAGACTGACGCCGTGACTGAAAGTAATAACGAAATCCTCCCTGTAGGGAAACACTGACGAAGAAAGGGAGAACCCAATTTTACTTCAAATGTGAATTTATCTTTCGTAAGATATCCAAGATGACACTTGTTTACCTCTTAAGGAAGGACTTCAGCATATGCATTAGGACTGTTCTCAACCTCTCTCTCCCTCTGACACTCACACATGCAGGTCACCATTAGCACTGTTTGATAAACACCTCCGAACATAAAACACATGACAAACTTAGGTTTTAAATCCCAGAATATATTGCATACATTACAGTAGATCATATACTGAAATGTTATCATAAATATGAATACAGTGTAATGGTCTTGTTGGAGTCTTCAGCTTTAGCTTGCTGTAGTCCTCATTATGCAGGATATCACTTCAGGCAGGTCTCACTTTGAAGCTTTTTTACACTAGTGACTTTACAGACAAAAGGCTCTCATACCTGTAGCTCATTTGCTTCTTCCTGGTTCAGATGATAAAATGATGCTTTGTTGTGTTCAAGACTGTCCATAATCAGGGGTCGGCAGCTGCCTTTTCCCACTTTATCAAGAAACAAATGCCCTGACCTCTCCAGTTTATCAAATATAGGATACCACTCACAAAACTACAGATGTTTTCATATTTTTCATCTGGGATGGTAACAGTTCCCTTTTATCAATCGTTCATCAATCAGTCTTTGGCTTTTAACATTGACGTAATATCTTTATACGGGTAATTTTCTTAAAATTTCGGGGGGTATTGCCATACAAAGATTCACTTTCTCAGCAGGACCACAAAGTTATCAGTCAGAATGTGTTTCTTGGTAGTAAAATGACAAATAAATTAAAATCACTGAGCTTCAATGGATGATAAACATAAACATTACAGTATGGCAAAGTCATCACTTTCTCATGGTTACATGTTTTAAGGCACTCCGTCATGGTACACAGTAATCAGTCAGACCTCTAACACCAGTGAGAGACTCTTGACCAAATGGCTCATCAAAAAAAGTGAATACAGTATAAGAGTAGCATGATACTTTTTTTTAGATAAATAAATAAATAATTACAGGAAAGCTGCAATCTAGACACTATTCACAAGTTACTCATTCACAACACTTGCAGGATTATTGTGTTTGATTTTTGTTAATGCTATGTTGTACATCTTTGTCTTATTTGTATTAGATTGACTCTTGATATGATTACATACAGATGCTTTTTGATGGTGGACAAATCTTTTGGTAACATAATTCTGAGGTAAAAGTAGGCTTATATTTTCCAACCGTCCATCTTGTGTTTGGGACTAAATGAACTGGGTGCCCAAACACTTCAAAAGACAGGATAGTGGAGCTTTCTACCAAAACGTTCAAAGGTTGTGTGGATTGATAGCCAAGCCAATACAAATAAGAGCTCAGTCATGCCAGTCCTCAAACATACGTACATACTTGCTAAAACAGAAAATTTGAGGTTATATCTCTGCTTTATTGTAACTACAGAAGAGTTATAACACAAAGTTGACTATGCTGACGTAGAATCTTTAACAGGAGCTAAATGAATTATTCTGCTTGTGTGTTATTTTATGTTACACACAAAGGAGGTAAGTACACCACATCCTTTATACTCTTAAAAAACATTTTGAAAACATTACTTTCATTAATCAAGGGAAAATGTAATGTTCCCCAACTCTACTCTTAAAACTTTTTCTCCAGCTTTGTGGAAAAAGATGTTAATACCAAGTGTCCTCTTCTTGAAGACTTTATTTCCCTTTGTCTGTTTGCCAGATGCCATTGGCTTTGCTGAGCGAGGTGATGCTGCCCTGTGTGGTACTTGTCTCTGCCTTCATGGCTTGCTCAACTGCATCTGCCAAGGGAAGCTTGTCCTCTGCTTCTGTCTCTCTGTGGTAGAAGTAGTTAAAGTTGGAGACAATAACAGGAACAGGCAAAGCAATGGTCAGCACGCCCGCTATGGCACACAAGGTGCCCACCATTTTACCCCCCATTGTTATGGGGCACATATCCCCGTAGCCAACTGTGGTCATGGTAACCACAGCCCACCAGAAGCCATCAGGTATGCTTACGAACTGTGTGTTAGGCTCGTCTACCTCGGCGAAGTAGATAGCACTGGAGAAGAGGATGACTCCAATGAATAGAAAGAAGATGAGCAAGCCAAGCTCACGCATACTGGCCTTCAGAGTCTGTCCCAGGATCTGCAGCCCTTTAGAGTGACGTGAGAGTTTAAATATACGAAACACTCTCACCAGACGAATGATGCGGAGGATTGCCAAAGACATGTTCTGTCCTGAGTTCTCATGAGGCGTTGTGACCAGTTCTGTGATTACTGTAACAAAATAAGGGATGATGGATATAACATCAATAATGTTCATAAGGTTGTGGAAAAACTCTCTTTTGCTCGGACATACTAAAAATCTCACACACAGTTCAAAGAAGAACCATGCAATGCATGCAGACTCAATGATGAAGAAGGGATCGGAAAAAGTTGTGGGCTTTGCAGCAGATGGAGCCGCAGATGTGTAAAGTCTGGAGTGGTTGAAAGGCAGCATCGCTGTCGGCACGATTGGGTCACTGTCATCTCTAAATTCTGGCAGCGTCTCCATGCAGAAAATAATGATGGATATGACAATGACAAAAACAGACACCAGTGCTACACCTCGGGCTGCGTTGGAGCTCTCTGGGTACTCAAAGAGCAGCCAGAACTGTCTGTTCACATCATTATCAGGTAGAGGGATCTCCACATCCTTTATGAAGCCTTCGTCTTCTCTGAACTGCTCCATGGCCTCACTTCCAAGTTCATAGAACAAAATTTCATCAGCAAACACGTCTAAGGGAACATTAGCTGGACGCCTTACTTTACCCCCTGACTGATAGTAATACAAGATCCCATCAAAGCTGGGTCGGTTCCGATCAAAGAAGTACTCGTTCCTCATTGGATCAAAGTAGTCCATTCTCTTCAGTGGATCTCCCAACAGTGTATCAGGAAACTGGTCCAACGTCTTAAGCTGGGTTTCAAATCTAAGACCAGCAATGTTGATGATAACTTTTTGGTCTCCATCATCCAGACCTCGTTTATCTACAAACAGATCCTCGCAGCACTCCTTGGCAAGCCGACTGAAAATGGTCTCACTTTCTTTCGTGCCCTCACTGTTCAGCAGCAACTTCCAGTTGGAAATCATACTGGCACAACTGCTACGTCCCTGTCTGTTCGGAGTTGGCATGGTTGGAGACTGCGGTACTGTAAGTGTCTGTGTCTGGGGGATGGGTGAAGATGAAGTGGATTCCCACATGTGGGAGGACACTGGACTGTGGTGGGAGGGTGGAGAAGAAAGCTGAGGGACCCGCAGAAGGTAGTGACTGCCGGGGCTGTTGGGCTCCTGGGGGATGTCCACTGTGAGAGCTGTGGTCTCATCAGCGTAGGTGTCCACCTCATCCTCAGCACTGCCATCAGGATCACCCAGGGTCTCGAAGTCTACCAGGGCCACCTCCATGGCTGTGGTTCAGCCAGTGCAAAGCCTTTGCACCCCAGGATAAAATGATCCCCTCACACAGAGACGGGTGGATGGGTGGCCCAGTCGTCAGCGTGAGGATCACAGAATTAGAGCAGCCAGTCTACAGCAGCACTCCCAGTGGACACACAACAGAAGACCCTGTTTATTCTTGAGTCTTTCCGATACCTGAAGAGAGACAGAAAAAAGAGTCAGTGTGTTTGTGTGTTGAGGGTTTGATTGTGGTTACTGTCATGTGGTGCTGAGAGAGTGACGCTGGAGAGCACATGTTCGGTCACAACTCCTGGTTTCCAAGAAACTTATTTCTTGAGAAAAGATGAGTGTGTGGGGCGGAAAAAGAGATGGGAAACAAAATAAGAGGAAATGGGTGAGGCAACCAGAACATGGAAGAGAAAAGAGCAAAAACAAAACAAAGCTTTGTCCTTCTGTTATTGTGAAGGCGCTGTGGTAAGTCATGTTACTGTGAGAAAGACCAACACTATCAAACAGACAAAAGAGTAATTAACTTATCTGGTGCAAGTGCTGCTACTTTTCAAATGAGAAATACTGTATCTCTGATCATTACCCAGTGTTTCCAAAATAATAAAACTGCTAATCACATAATATACACACAGGGCCTGATCTACTAAAGGTTTGTGTGTGCAAAAACACATGCAAACTTGATGGCTCACGCAAAGCTGATCTACTAACCGGGTGCACTGAGGATTGCATCTGTCAAATGAGCAAAACAGCATGCGCAGTCCATTTAGTGTGTTTGCCTTCATGAATATGCAGATTGTATGTAGATCATCTGACCGCGCAAAATTCTGTGAGGAGCAGATGCAAATGGAATCATTTAGCACCCGCAATGTGATTTATCGAACCCGGAAACCAATTGCGGTCTCTGTTTTGGTCTATATTTGGCACGTTTGAAAGGCACATGCAAACTGGCATAGCGTTACACACAAATGGCTGCAGGGAGAAGGAGGCAAAAGTGCAAAAATGTGTTTCTAGTAAATGACGGTTTTGATAAATAATTCGGTCAAACACGGAACAGTCGCAAAACTTTATCTCTTTGTCTTATTGATTTTAAATTGTTTTAATCTCTTTTTTTTGTTTCAAATATATTTCCTTGCATCTGTAAAGCACTTAAAATTACCTTGTGTATAAATGGTGCGATACAAATAAACTTCCCTTGCCTTTTATGCAGTTGCTGGCCTCCGAAAACTGATAGTTGCAACTCCATAGCTTCAAACTTAATTTTTCATCTATGATCACTCTGCTCTCACAAACTCTCCATGGTGACGGCTGATAGCGCACGCAAAATCCTCGTTTTTGGAGGGCGGTCCCTACCACTTTTACACCTGTTATCAATTTTGCATACAATAATAGTAGATCACCAGCACCACGCCCACTAATAGCACATGCAGTTTTTTAGTTTGCACATGCAATTTAGCGTTCGCTATTTGGGATCTTAGTAGATCAGGCCCATAGTTTTTCTCTAACCTACTACTTGCTAAGGGGTAAGAGAGTCACCACAACCTGAAATGAACCAGGTAAGTGGGTCTGTGTGTACATTAGTGCATAATTAACTGTCTTGAACTGTGATACTGTGGGCCTTGCTTACTTTAGACATCAGGGCTCATATACAGTATTTACTCTTAACTGTGCAATGTAATTTCCCCAGGTGCCCACTCTGCCTCTAAAGCACTATCTGTGGCTGCACCCAGGTTTCCACTGCATGTGTGATTTTTCATCAGCATAAAGATTACATTTAATAAATACCGCTCTCTTGATGATCCTGTTTAAGTATCAGTGTCTGAATGCATATCTCTGTGTGTGTAATGTAAATGTTCATGCTCATGGCTGGGTCCTAAAGATGTTTAATTAAAGACTCCAGACGTGAGTCACCTCCTAAAACTAATCCCAGTGATACCGATCCTGCTAAGGGGAAAGACGAGAGAGAGACAGAGAGACAGGGAGAAATACCACCAAATGAATGAATAAGGAGGAGGACACTGAAATTGTTAGGAAGACCAGTGTGGGTGGATGCAGTGGGTAGGCTGAAGATAAAATAGAGGGAAAAGTGACAATAAAAAGAGGATGGGAGCTGAAAAGTGGGAGGATGGAGAGGCAGGATAATGAGGGAGCATCCTTGATGGGGGTTTTCTTAAGAGCAGAAAACACAGATGATGAAGAGACAAAAGCTTGACTGTTATTTTCAAAACTGGTCAAGATGTCCAGTGTGCAATATTAGAGATGGGACTGTACTTACTGCACAAAGAGTAAAAATAGAAACTGAATCAAACCCTCCTCTCCTCATTCATTGTCCTGTGAGCAACCAGAACTTTCTCATAACAGACCAATGCCCATGCTTAGACGCTCCTAGAAGCTCTTCAATCTATACCTTAAATGAGGCAGCGTTACTGCTTTGCACGCCTCATTCTTAATGTTTTTTCAATACATCCCATGTGCTGTTAATATTGGATTCAGTTTAGTGTAAATGTAAGAAATGCGGACCCTTACATGTCTGACAGTAAGAGTAATAGCACGACTCTGACTCTCCAAATTGACAAACTGTTCCCTAAACACACCAAGAAAGTTGCACCCACTCAGCTCTTAACCTTTGATTACAGAGGAGCCTGAGATGTGCAGAGATTTAGAAGAAAATTCAGGGTTTTCACTTCCTCTTAAAGGAAAGAAAAACCTAAATCAAGACATGTGAAAAGTCATCTCTGGGTTTCAAAGTCTGCACACTGGATTTCCTTTGTCAACAGTAGAAAAGAAGTCATCGGAAATCCAGGGAAACTGCCAACACAAGCACACAGACTGAGAAACACACGAGACACACACCTTACCTTGTCAAATTGTTAGTCTAGCAAGTGTGTATCATATGTTTTCAAAAGTTACAACAGGAGGAGATGGAGTCACTCCTAAGATCTGCCACAGCTACTGCTTTCTGCCACAATGACTGATCTATCATAGACTTCATTGAGTAACCTTACTCTGACGTAGAAACTAGAGCTGGGACAAAGGCTACACACACCCACACACACACATGCACAAACACACATGCAAACACACGTCCGATTGTCTGCGTTGCTAAAGAGTCTATCAGTTATCAGGGCAATGTGTTCAATGTCCTGCAGACTGGAACGGTGCGATTAGATCCACCGACCTCTCCACGCTTGGCTCCCTTACATTCACACACCAACAGGCCGTATTGATACCCTGCTTATTTACAGTAACACAATAAATAAGTAATGGTAGACAACTCCCTGAACATGTTTAACATGTAAAGGACAGAGTACTATCTCAGGTCAGAAAAAGCTAAGCTCCTTTCCTGGACTCACTGTACTTTCTGACTTCTACTTTCAGAGCAGACTTCTATCCATCCTGACTTAAAGTCTCCTCCTTCTTTCTAAGCTGCACACCATGACAACATGCATTTTTAATAACCTCCAGTCTATTATCCTCCATCATGACAGCAGGAAAAAAAAAGGAGAAAGTGAGGCTCTAAAGAGGCCAACGATACTTGCCCGCCACGGATGTCATAGATGATCTTATGTCAAATTCACAGAGCAGCACTCAGACCCACTCCACCATAACTCACTGTCCACACGCTGTAAAACATATTTGTACTCACAGGCATGTTGGTAGGCTGCCTCACAACTCTCCTATAACCGGAGCATGTGTGGACAACTATACAGGAAACTCATGTCATCAGTGTTCATATGGATAACAATGAGATGAATTGTTTATTCCATACAAGTGTGTAAAGTTAAGTGTCCTTCAAGGGTTAAGTGTTGTTTCATATACGATCGTTGATGTTATTCACAAACTCTCTCTTGAAACAACACACTACTTCACTTAACTCACTTCTCTGTAAGCTGTTAAGATGACACAACTAACAAACTTTTAACCTTCAAATCAATCAAAAGAAAAAAAAAATCATAAGAACAATGTTGGTTACCCAAAACAGGCTTGATTGAAAGAAAAAAAAATTAAAGTGGTCACATACATTGACAATAATGCTTTTGCAAATAATGATTTAATCTGGGCTGGTTTAGCTGACAATGTAAAAAGCTGAAATTCCAAAGTATTGAATATTTTCTTTATATTGAGATTTTTTTTTATTTGAATTGGAACCACAAACAAGCTAGTTTTGTTGACAAGATATTCATTTTATAGTTTCAACCTATTTTCTTTTAATTAATAGTAAAAATCTGGATCACAATGATTTTGCCATTTTGGATAAAGGTATTATTTTTTAACAACAACTGGGACAGAATGGGGGAAAAAAAGGCTCACGATGAGTGAATGTAAAGTGATCAGATCTTAAAAAAACTAAGAGTAAAAGTGTATGATTTGATATATAATAGAGTAAATTAAACACATTCGTGTCAAAGGACTCTTACAGTGACACCAAAATGCTTCAATGGTGGCATTTTGACCTTGAGTCATGTCAGAACAGACTTAAACAGAGGTGTCATTTGGGGCCCACGCACCCCATGGTGCTCTGACTATTCTTGCTATGCTATTTATACACAGGGAGTAGAGTGAGAACCTCATGAGGGAACAACTCTCAGTGCATTTCATGCTATGATGCACAGGAATAAAGGACAGCACTGTGCTAAAAGAGTAGAAAAAGTGAAGTGGGGTGGGACCATATGGGAATCCTCATGCGTAATAGGGTCTTGTATGCCGTGCTGAGCAACTGTACACTTTAGTAAGCTAACCGCTCTGACTTTATCACATGTGTGTAAACATGAACAGATGTTCAGGCAGAGCAAGCTTAACCACAAGCCCATCCTTTGCTAGCTGGTCGGCAAGAAGAGTTTATGGATGTCCAGTGTGGTTCTGAGGACACCGTGTCTAATATCGAGGTTGCAAGTCCAAACACTGCTTAGCATTTACTGATAACAGATAATTGAGGAAGAGGGACATGCTACTTAAATCGCTGTTTGCCCATATCACTGTCTCAGTATATTGAGCATAATACAGCTCTTTAACATAGCAATACAAATGTGTGCAAACTGCGCTACAACACAAAAATATACTCTCTGTTTCTCCAACTGGGTTTAATCATGTCAAATTTATCTCTTTGCTCTGTCAAACAAACCTGGTTTGTTGTTAGTTTACTTTAAATCTCCCAAACCTTAACTACTCTTCTGATATAGAAATAATAGAAGAAAAAAAATAAATAAATAAAAATAAATAATAATAATAATAATAATAATAATAATAATAATAATAATAATAAATAATTGTAAGTGTTTTGGTCTTTAAAAGTCTCCCCAGGGTTACTGACTTGTAATTACAGAGGTTTCTATAAGGTGTTAGGTGGTCTTTTGCTTGTATATGAGTGTGGAAAACATCATAGATTTTAACCAAAGTTGATCTGTATTATGAAGAATCTTTCACCGCAGCTGATCAGAATTAAATAATTTGCTTTTCCTGAATATACATATATTTTAAGACTTGATGCTGAGGTAATCCTACTGCAGGGACGCTATGCTTAAAGCTTCTGAGTGGAGTTTTTTTGACAGGAAGCCATAATAATGTTTTTTTATGATATACAAAAGAAAACAAGACCATCAGTGACAAAACTGACAACTATATCCTGAATAAACTGTGTACCAAGTTTTTAGAATATGTAAATAATTGCTAACTCTACTGAAGTTGGTTTAAATGTACAATAGTTCTACTTGAAATACAATAAAGTAACCTTAACCTACAGATTTTTTTTTCATTTGCAAACTAGAGCTCAAATTCCAACACACTTTCCTAAATAATATTCATCATCTCATGAATAAATCTGCGATATGACAGAAAATGGGCTCGCACAGGTGTTGGCTTACTATTTTACATAACTTTTTACCACAGTTCATGTTCTCACTGTAAATTTAAGGTAAGCACAGTATGGCTGACCTTGTGTATTGGACCCTTTTTGAAGCCCCTGCGTGGGGGTGGTGTGGAGTTTCTGCCTGTGTGAGGGCATTGGTTGGTAGAGCTGGTATTTTTGGACCAGAGTTTTGACCCTATTAAGCAGATTAATACAGGCTGGAGAGCTCAGTGCCATAAGCCGAGGGATCTCTTCTGTCAGATCAACACTGATACGAGTGAGCCATCACAGATAGGTCCACAAACACAAAAAGTTACACACACCGCACAAATACACACACACAGATGCACATATGACATATAATGCTGCTTAAGACTGGTTTCTGCAACATATAAGACAGAAGGAAGAGACTGAAAGAGCACATGGGTCACTGACAACACCTGGGGGCATCGCTGCCTTCATTAGCTAGGACAACTGAAGGGAAACAGGAAACACGAGGACCAGACAGCAGTGTGGGCTGTGGCCTGGAGTTGAACCTATGACCTCTGCATCAGGGGCTATTGCCTTTGTAAAGGGGCTGTACACCTTAACCCCTGGGCCAAAGCAGTGAATTAAGTTTGTTAAGGTTAGGGAACAACAACTTATAAGTGGAAGCAAGATTAAGAATGGTATCATGGTATGAAATAAAAATCTGAGCTTCAGCAGTTTGTCGACTTAAAAAGGAGTCAGTCTACTGAAAATGACAAGACACGCATTTTTGATAATAGGACAATCATTTCAGACATATTTTTCAAATTGAAAATTTCACACATGGGCTACTCTTAGCTTATTTGGTGTTAAATATCCATTTTCTTTTGTTATTTCATCTATATTAGTGAACTGATTTTTCTTCATTTTGGACTGTTGTTAAAGTAAAAACATGTAATTTGAGCCCATTCTCTGCAGGCTTTGAAACATCCTTGCCTTCCTCTCAAAAAATAATGATCAATTAATCCTGAAATTATCCTGCAGGCCTATCAAAATCTTACTAGTTCTTACAACAACCACTTTTTGCATGGTGTCAAGATAACTTGATCTGCGCATGACAGTAATATATAGAAGGCAAGGGTCCTGCTCATTGTTGCAGTCATAGATCTTGTTCAGAAAATCACATTAACAGAGCAAACATTTAAATGGTGTGCATTGCAGCAAACATTCACTAACAAACCTGCTGTGTACACAAACACACACAGTGAGTCATTTCTGTTGAACACAAAAAGCCACACTTTCACTCAGAGGTACAGATGGTCATTGAGAGATTTTTTTTAATTAACAAACATCTATTATCCAAATCACAGGTTTTTAGAATATCATAACCCTCTCCCTCTCCGTTGAGCTTTTAAATCTCTTACTGAAATATGAATTACAAATGCCCATTTGGTAATGCAGTTCACATAACTAGAGCCAAACACTGCCTCTCATTAATGGAGCTAAAATTAGACGCTAAATGAACGCTCACTGATATTTGGTGTGTCACTCTCACATGATGACTGTACGGTTTGTGTGTGTTTGTACATAAAGGAAGGTGAGATATACCCTCACTCAAAATCCCACAAATGTCATGCATGAGAAAACAAAAGCAAAAGCTCTACAGTTTAAAACTCTCCTCTTAAGACTAATTAGATTTTTTCTATTTAAACATGAATGTGAATTAGCACTCTTTCTAGAAGAAAATATGTTTACTTGTGACAGTGGATCTTCGACTCAAACTCATGCACCTATACTTCATTTGCCATGATAGGCTTGCTTTACTCATTCATACTGTTAATGATTTAACTTGTCAACAGTAAGTCTATTAACCACAGGGGATCCAGACAGACCAGCCCCTTTGCTGACTTGAAACTAGAACATAAGCTATGTCATCAACGACTACATATGGGTCTACAGTAACTTAATATTTTTGTTTAATTCCAACCAAAGTACTCTTGTTGGTGCAGGAGTATGCAGCTTTATTTGAAAACTTGTCTGTGCTTTACTTTGCTGTAAGAAAGCCCATTTGTTTTCTCGGGGTGGGGGAAAAATCTATACAGCATAGTATAGGGATATTTTGTCTGGTGATATATCGTATCGTCTCATTTCCCACGTATCAATTTTTCAATTGAATTGCTAATATGAAGTCAAATCTATTATAATGGAAAAAATAAAATCAACTGTTTGTCCAGTGAGGTTGGCAGAGATGACATCATGGAGCAGGAGAAAGTTTGTACAAAAAATATATATAAGGTTTGCAAGATATGCTACATGAAAAAAATAACACTACGAAAATAAGACTAATGTAAAGGAAAGACAAATGCTAAATTAGCTACACAGTTGAAAAAAAATTTATGAATCGCGATATGTTGTACCACAATACTCACTGTATTGCAAAATGTTAAAAATAACCAAATTATCGTATCATGGTAATATCATATCGTGGGGCCACGAGTGATTCCCACCCCTATTGTTTTTGTACTTTTTGTGGAAAAAACACATACATGTTCTCATGCCTACAGCGCACGAATGGGATATGGGGTAGCAAAGTTAAGTGCCAACAGAGTAAAACAGTATTCACTTACACATGGAATTTGTTTTGGCAGGGATTCATTAAAATTAAGTAAATTATATGGTAGACCTGGTCCCGTCAACTACTGTTGATGTTTCTGGTACCTAGGCTGGTTGCTCAACACAGGAGCTCAGCTGACTGGAATCTGCTAACTTATACACTTACTATCTTCAAGTATTAAAAAAAAATTCATTATCTTTCATTTTCTGGATGCAAATACTGTCAAACCTCTCTGTACATACAGATGCTTGGAGTTAACATTCAAAAAGTAATACTAGATCACAATCAACTAATAAGAGCTGATAAGAAACACCCAATACAACATAAGGTTATCAATTGCCTCACATATTATGTCTTTGGAGAGCAGAGTTTGTCTACGTGCTGTCTCCACAAGAAGATGTGAGCTGCTGATGCTGACAGGGGTGTGTCTGCAGGCTTCAAGCCAAGTTTCAGTCCACAGCAGCTGGGACTACAATCCTTACTTGGCCTTTTGTCAAGAGAGAGACACACACACGAACACACAACAGTAAGAGAAGCCAGGCTGAGTACAGCCAAAACCACTTCCTAATTAATCAAAAACTTCCTGTAGAGCATCTATAAACAGCACAAAACGGAGATCTGTTTAAGACTTTCTATCTGACAAGATAAAAAAACATGACTCTCTGATAGAAGCTAACTACTGTTGTTCCTTAATATGATATAACTTATATAATATGATACAACATTTGATCACAAGCACAATGAAATGAGCCCTCTTGTCCCTCCAATGACCAACCCCTGGATAACCCCTCCTCCTGTCCTACTCTTGGCATTCTTCCTCCACAGTGAGGATTAAGCCCGTCTCGCTTACAGGAATATTACGTTGTTTTTTTTCGAAGGCTTTTTTGTTTTTCATTCTGGATCCAAGAGAGGAAAATATTGCCATCTGCTCTGACCATTGAATACATATCACTAATCTAAGGTAGTGGACAAACAAGTGATGCACATGGACTCCATCCAGACACACATACAAACATAAAAGCCAAAACACTGACTCATTCAATCCCCAAATCACTTTACAAAATAACAATCTGACTCACTCTAGTTACTTATGAGTTTTTTGTTATCTTTGCAGCAGCTCACCAACTTGGACATGGTGAAGAGACCTAACATAGTTTCATATTTTCTAAATATTTATTATTTTTTCCAGCTGCTTTTGGGGGACTATGAAGATATCGTACTCACACTGATACAGACCCATCATGCATACAGGATTAAGAATGAAACACTAAAGGCATTAAATGGTTTTCCACTTATTACCCAGCTACCCACTAATCACACAAACGAGTTGGCACTATTGATCTTATGATAATCTTATTGATTTAAATTCATTTACACAGTTAAATAAATAGTTCCTCAGTATCGACTGTATAACTCTTCAGTCTACAGGTCAAAATGATATTAAACTAGAAATTTTTATTTATGACAAAGTCTAAACATTAACATAAAACAGGTGCACAGTAACAGTAGCATCTCATTCCATATGATGTTTAAAGCCTGTTGGTATCTTCACTCTTGTTAATTCCTGCATTGTCTTTGCATTTCTCAACTTCTTTTTACAGCAGACTAGTCAGCCTTGAACCACTTTTCTTAAATTTTGTGATCACCAAATTAACAAAGAGCAAATTTAAAGATATCTTCCACATTCTGGAGAGAATGTTCTTGGGTAGAGGTAAAGTCACAAAGGGTATTCTCCTTTACATGGATCTATCTGATATCTGTGATGTGGAGGATCTGGTTGTCCCTTGTGCTTCCTTTGCTAACCAGAATTGATAACCCTTGTTAGGGGCTCTGATCAAACTGAATCAAGTTTAACAGCCAGTGATTAGTAAGAAACCAGGTAATGCATCATTTTTACACCAGAGGGACAGACCTGTTCTGGTCAAGTGGGAGGTAGGACATGATACATAAAGGCATACAGTAAATACAAGTAGCGTACTTTACGTAGCTAATCGTCGGAAGTTAAACAATATTGCACTCGAGTAAAAGTACAGTAATGACAGTGACATTTTGCTTAAGTAGAAAGTAGAAAGTGCTTTATTAGAAATATACTGTAGATACTGAGGACTGAGTACGTCCATCCATGGCAGTGGAAGTGGGGAAGCCTGATGTCCCCCAAATAATACAAAAGCATATTTTCCCACACTAATGGGTAATGTAACTATAACAACAACATATGCAGTGACTTTAAGTTTGCATCAGTCCTGGGTGAAATTATTTTATATTTTGCAATACCGCACTACCTTACATCAGTCTTGCACTTGGTAGATAGTCACTATATTCTGAACTGAACTTTTAACGGCTGTGATGATTAAAAATGACACGATTTATTTTAAGAACCTAATTGAGAAAAAAATGACATAAAATACCTTGAGAAAACATTTTGATTGATTGGGTCAATGTAGCTTGTAAAGTGTGGTATTATTATTATTATTATTATCATCATCATCATCATTATCATTATTATTATCATTATTTATTTATTTATTTTTGCAAGAGTATAGAGGAATTCACAAGTAAAATTTGAGTTTCATCCAATCAGCTTGCTGTCATGCTGTTTTTATTTTTATTATTCATCAAAGCTATGTAGAATATAGCAAATAACAACAGGCTACTCCCTATAAGTATCTTAATACTTGTTTTCAATAGAATTCAAAGCACTGGTTTTAAAATAGGCCAAAAAGGGGGTAAGTACACAAAAAACTACTAAATTACAGTGATGTAAATTAATGGAATTAGCTGCTTTCACCACTGGGCATACCCTAAAGTAAGCCAAAGAGAAGATTTTAAACTGAGATTTATCGATTTATATAAAGTATTTAATCTAAATTCACTGAATAACTACCACAGTCACAGTTTGTTAAAGGTGAGAACTGTTAGCACTAAAAGACGCTGAGTTTCTCTTCTGTTTTGGTCTAACAGCAAAGCTCATCCAGCGTGCGCGCTTGTGCAACAATTGGCTGAATTAAAAATAACCGCGCAGAGTGGATGGAGCTCTTGCTGCTTCAGATTGGGTTGACCTACCTGAAATGCCGTGTCGATCCTGCTCACTTCCGGGCGTTGTTGGTGAAAGTTTGGTGCTCCGGGCCGGGCCGGAGGCATGGTTAGTGCGCAATGGATGGGCTGTCCACCTCACAGGTCCAGCCACCCCCTGGTTGTCCGCGCAGACAGCAGGCACGGCGGAGGTGCCCCCGCCAATCACCCTGAGGCCAGATGTGAGAGTGATATAACAACAGCATGATTACTTTTAATTTGGCCAATTCCCCGCTTGCAAAATCCCTGTTTTCCTTCGTCCTCCAACCAAAGCTGTGTCTGTCTATCCCAGCAGAGGGGAGGGGGGAGAGAGAGAGAGAGAGAGAGAGAGAGAGAGAGTGAGAAAGAGAGAGAGAGAGAGAGCGAGAGAGAGAGAGAGAGAGATTAAAAAAAGGGCTGTTTCCTAACCTCTGCCAGGCTGCCTTATGCTCTCTTGACCACCACTACCACTTAAGAGAACTTGGTCTTCTCAAACCATAATCTGACCTAAGTGTTCTGGTCTTTTAGCAGAGCAAAATATGATGAAAATACAGGTTTAAAAGTCGGACTTTGACAAGTGTTAATATGTACTGCATTGAGAGAATTTCTCATTGTTCCTGGCTGCATATACATACCTCCTTAAAGCTGGTTGAATGAACTCAAAGCTGGTCAGATGAAATAAACTGGGGACAAAATCTTCTCAGAGAAAAACAAAAATAAACAAACAAATAAAACAAAATGCATTTTTGGGTGCAATAAAATGCTTCAGCAGAGTGACCATCAGTTGACAACAACAGGTCATAAAATTGAAGCCAAAGAACCAGAGACTCTGTCATTTTGTTCTGCGTCTGTATCATCGAGGAAAAAAACCAAAGTGACGTCATTGCCTAATTTGGTGTGGCATGCCGGTACCCTGAGTTTTGTCTCGATGCAAAAATACCAACTTAGGTCTGTTCATTTCGTTATATCATAAAGTCAAACATTTCCTAAGCCCTTGTCAGTCACAGATGCATCAAACCCATCCAACCATCCATTTGCTACCGCTTATCCCGTTGGGCGGTCGCAGTAGGCTGAAACCTATCCCAGCATCTTGGGGCAAAGGCAGGGGACACCCTGGACAAATCGCCAGTTCATTGCAGGAGCTCATATATAAGATGAACAACCATCCACACTCACACATATGGGCAATTTAAAAGTAACCAATTAACCTAACCCCACTTCTGCATGTTTTTGAGATGTGGGAGGAAACCGGAGTACCCAGAGTAAACCCACGCAGACACAGGGAAAACATACTCTACACAGAAACGCCCTGACCTAGATTTGAACCCAGGACCTTCATGTGTCAGGTGACAGTGATAACCACTACACTACTTTGCCACCCTCCATCAAACCGTTATACCATTTTCTCCTCTGTAAAGCACCATCTGGCACCATCCAGCACAGCTACAAGCATCACTACATTAATGTGTCAGTGACTTTTGTCTTCATCCTTCATTGAGCTTAGCTAGTGTTGACTCAACCGACATCAACAGGGGTCCTTTATCAGATATGGCTTGGACCTACAGATCGTTAAAACTTAATGTTCATACAAAACATAATGTGATTAATCCCCTGTTGACTGATAGACCTGCAGCCTACACACACGACTTTTTGTACATCAAACCTTCGGGCTTGTCCATCAAAGACAGCCTTTCCTGAATATGATAGCTGCAAAACAAGAGTGCGCTTCAGTTTCAGTCAAATCAGATTCTTTCAATGCTACCAGAGTATTATTAGTAGGCCTACAGGTTTGCAAAAAAAAAAAAAAGAGGGGAAAAAAAGCAAAGTTTAGATTTTATACTTGATAGTCCTCCACACTGCGAAGTTCTCTACCCTTTGACAATTGCACCAGCTCCACTGTGCCATCTACTGATATCCCAAACTAATCACTATTCATCTCATACAGGCCGCGCTCTCTTTAACGGTACGCTCCCCTTGCTCTAACAAGATTGATTCCCCGCCTTGCTAGCTGTCATTACATTAATATCCTCTCATCAGCGTTTAAACGGATGTGTCTGGCGCACATGCAACCACTGGCTGACCCCTGCAACACCCATGTAGCCTCAGGGAGAGGAGTAGCTGCCTCTGTCAGCCTCCTGACCATCAATACAGGCGAACGCTGAAAGTTGCATTCAGCATGGCGAGGCTGCCCTCTGCAGGATTCTGGCGGTGCATGAGTTTGGCAATCACTGAACAGACTCCATGCAGGATTTGATTACATTTTTGCATTAGTGTGGACACTGGAGGAAAAAAACACACATGCGTATTCAGACAGTGCAAAGCCATTACACAACTATATCTTAATTGTGAATTCAAACAGGAAAGGAGGGATATTTAATCAAACTATTCAAGCCATGCACTCAAATAAATGAATCTCTGTCTTGAGTTTTCCTACATATCCTCATTCTTCATGCCATCTTGTTATTCCCTGATCAGACATACTCCACAGTCTGTACCCCACAGTCAGCTTTTCAGGCACCACAGCCACACAAGTCTGTAATTCTGGCAGTTTATGCACCCTTCCACCAACTTGATCCATATTCATGAGTATTTTTGCTCTTGTAGACTGCATGTCTCAGCAGACCTTATCTCCTGTTTTACTCACACTTCAGTTTTTGCTTTTCCCCCTCCAAAGCTGTTACAGCCAACACTCTGTTTTCCCATTAGAGTCACAAAAATAGGACAAAGAGAGTGGATGAGGGGTAGAGGAGAAGACAGTGGGAAGATCCTGTGCAACTCTGTTAAATAAAGGCTTTAGTTTTTGTGCTTGATTTCGAGAATTTAATAGACTTATCATTTTGATTTGGCAAAATAACTAGTATATAATACATTTAAAGCTGCTGTAATGTAAATGAGGAATAAAGACTCTATTTTTTTGGGGGGTTGTGTTTGAACACAAAGGTTGAAACAGATGTGGAAAGAGTGAAGGACTCCTTAAATTTGGAATACAGTTATCATTGCTAATCATTGACCACTAATGCTCTCAAATCTCAAAGTCCATTATGCCTGCATTCTGCTTCTTATGCATATTTGATCAATACGCTAAGAGGTATAGAGTAGTGGAATGAGGAGCCAATGAGTGTGTGTGTTTGAGTGTTTTTGTGCATACCTATATCCACTATTGTACAGTTATGAAATTGGACCAACAAAAAAGAGAAGAGAAAAACCACCCGGTGAAAGACAATCAAAGAATGGAGAAGCGGGAGAAAATGAAAAGAAGGGGCCGGGAAGAATTACAGATAACATGGCTTTTGATACACTGAATAATTTATGCAGGTGGGATATTTTAAGACCCCATATCATGTCTGAGAGCAATGAGTGGGTGGAGGTTCAGAGAGGAGCAGACGAGGAGGGTATCATTGGCTTGTTTCTGAACCAGGGGGACTATTGTTGTACTTAGCTGCACACTCAGACACTCACACACACAAGGACACCTCTCAGCATGAACTCTTACAGAGGATAACCAAAAAGTCCTTGATGTTCATCGACACATTTCATCATCAAAGCAGAAAATCTCTTTGTACTCTTGAGATTGGTTTACTCGGTCAGAAAGGGAATGACTTGACTGTAAATAGCTGCAAATAGTCTCTGACAGCTGTACTTTTTATTCCAGAGCTGCTCACAGGTTCTTACTCTGAAGAAGAAGTGGTAGGAACAGAGGTCTATAATTCAAACAAAAAATAAAAGAAATGTTTGTCATTGATTTTTAGTACTTTGTAGAAACAGGTCTTTGGTTATTTTTCTCATTCATTCTGTCATTCAAACAAAATGTGTTGACTTTTATGTTTCTCTCAGACAGAGAAAGGGGTAATTTGCCTGTCATGTAATAATCCCTCTAAAATTCTGACTGTGCAGCTATTACAATACTTACCGTAGACAGTAATTAGCGTTACATGACACTTGAAAATTAAAACGTTCAAATAGCTGACTTATGTGCGCATAAAAGGGAAGTAAAAACTAGTTAATGGGTTTACAAGAGGTGTGAAGGGTTGTTTGTTCCACTCACACATTTACTCACCTGCTACTAGAGTCAGGTAGGAAAACAGAAAGGATGAATGGAAAAGGGGGTTGTTTATGTGTGAGTCACAGGATCACTTCATGTGGTCCTGGAGGCAAAAAAAAAATGAATCACAAACAGAGTATGACACAAATGTTAAAATAAGCCTCTTATCCTCTGTAGAGAAACAGTCAATGAAAATCTGTGCCGACTGAGAGGGGCATGTGTTAGTAGTTTTAAACCACATTAATTACTGTAAAACAGGAGTTCAGTTAAAATAACACAATAAGTTTGTGCTTTCCTGTGATGTTACTTTAATGCTTGCACAAACATTTAAGTCCAGACATTTAAAATAGCTTTTTTTTGTCTTTGATATCTATCAACTGAGTAGGATTTCGCCATACTCCCATACTTACAAATACAATCACTGTATATTGTATTAAGAGGAGAAGTTTTTTTAGTAACGTTATTACCTTGTCATACTTCTATTTTTATTTTATATAAAATAATAATACCTTTTATTTGTTAGGGCGCCTTTCAAGGCACTCAAGTTTGCCTTACAATATACATAGAACATAATACAGAACATTATACTATAAAAATATAAGATTAAAATATATATTACTTATGCAAACTATATATAAATTAAATATTATATAAATATAATATTATATATATATATATATATATATATATATATATATATATATATATATATATTTTTTTTTTTTTTTTTCATTTTAGTTTTTTAACTATTGCTCTTTCTTGTTGTTTTATGCTGCTGTTCTTACTTTGTAAAGTGACCTTGAGGGTTCAGAAAGGCGCTTATAAATAAAATGTATTATTATTATTATCATTTAATTTTTATTTATTTATTTTTGTAGTAGTAGTAGTAGTAGTATTTTAAGTCAGCACAGGAGGTTGTGTCCAGTATTATCAAGTCTTTGTAATTTAGCCAAAGCTGTTACTACATGACTCGTACAGAGCCGTGCATGCTTTTATTTTATCATGCATATTTCCTGGACATCCTTTTCCCTAAAGATAATTGCAATCCTTTAGTTTACTGGTCTGCGTATATTAGCCTCCTGTTTATTCTATATGCCATGTTTTCATCCTGCTTTGATACTATCATCGGCTTTACCATCTAAAGTTTTTTCCTTAAATGTCACTTCATTGATCTTTTGATGGGTTATCTATTATAGAAAGCTGCAAAAACCAGACAAAGTAAAGAGTCACATTCAAAAAATGCAACACATCACTTAAAGCTAATATTGAACACTCTATTTTTCATTGTACTTATTGTGCATGTGTCACTGATCTTAAAGATTTTACCTTGTTGAACAGAAAATCAGCTCGCTCAATAGAGTGAGAGCATCTTGTCAGCTAAAACAATATCGTCGAGCATTGTATTGTGTTAGGTTGTAAGTAAAGGTGTATGATGGAGAGCAGCCTGCAGAATGTGGGTCATACACATAAATCAATGCAGCTCATTAAATACATTGACAGGCTGGAGCTCCCCAGTGGCCCTTTGCTTTTCTTATACATACGTCCACCTTCTCCTCTCCTCATAGTCTAAGCATGCTCCTACTCCACCCCCTCTTTATTATTCAGCTCCTATTTAGGCCATATATCACAATCTATTGGCCTGGATTTCATTCCACTTTGTAATCAGTTCTCTCTAAATGATTGTTTTAAGAATACACGGCAGCAATAAAAACATCCTACCTTATTTCTAATAAAAAGAAAATGCAGCATATGCAATCTGCTGGTGGTTCAAGTGTAGAGTCAGAGGATATATACCCTTCAAACACAGAGGAACCCTGGTCAGTGCTATTTATAGACCTGGATAATACAGGGGGCTTCCACTGTAGGGAGGGGAGTGATGAAAAAAGGGCTTCCCCTCCTCCTCATGTACAGATGTACACACAGTATGGTTTCCCCCCTATGGAACCTGGTGTGCTATAAAGAAAGTTCAGGTTGACAGGCCATTAACTGGCTGGGTATTAGGTTACAAATCAGCTCATACTGCAGTGTGCAAGGGTTTACAGCTTGTGAGGCATTCACTTCTATTACAAATGGCCCCGTGCAACATACAAAGACAAATGCACTTTGTTGAAATGACGTGCCTGAGGTGTGTAAGAGGGCAGGAAACTTATTTATTAGAAAAATATAAAAGGACCATTTTTGTGGCCCTTTTATAAAATGAAATGAAAGTTTATAAGGAAGAGGCCCTAATGAGGAGTTTGCAGAAACCCCTTTGGTCATTCATTATCTTTATTTCTCTTTATGGGCTTCATTAAATGATTATGTAAATGATGTGTAAAAATTAAAAAAATAAAAAAGGTCCTAGGAGAGAAACTTGGCCTGTAAAACTATGTGCAATTTTTTTTTGAGCATTTTGAGTGTTTATGGAGGCTAGTAATATTCATTTTGAAGCATTGTCAATAAGATAAAAATCTGAGGCCCGAGGAGAGAAAACTTACAGGAAAACCAACCGGCTATGCGGTGTAAAAAAGCTCACTTTTAGCGGTCGCCACATTAGAAATGCTGATTCATCTTCAACTACTCAAGACACTGGCAAAGAGGTGGAGCTGAGATGGTCTTTTAGCAACAACCACACCCCTGTTAGGCATTAATGAGCCTTAATGTAAGCATTAAAATTATCAAAAGGAGTTAGTCTTTGTAAAAATTCACTCGAGTCATTGAGGTCAAAGCAATTTTTTTAAAAGCAGGCTGTCAATATGTTTAATTCTGCTTTTAAATGGCATATTAACATATTTCTGATGAAACTCCCTGGATTTTTGGAGACAAAACATGACTTCACTTTCTAACATGCCCGATTTATCCTCCTCTGATGGCCACTTTGATCTTTTTGTTGTTGTTCATAACACACCAGCAGGGAGAGTCTTCTTGCACTCTTATCAGGCTAAACAAATGTGTGATATAGTTGGAAAATTGTCCAGCTTCGAGGATACTTAAGTGTAGCTCCTGTTAATACTTAGCTAATCAAAGAGCAATCAGAGGATCAATACCATCAGTTATCTGGAGGCCCGCCTGGATACTGTCCTGAGCTGACATACCGGAACCTGGCCAACTGAGACGGCCAGAGGGAGCATTACACTCCTGCTAATATCTGTCTGAGAGGAGAATCAGATAATCCACCCTGCATTACTCTGGTGCTTGGAGCTGATGGAGAAGCAGAGATGGAGACGATTGAAAACAAGGGAAGATGTGTGGGAAATGAAATACGAGCATAGAAAATAATAGAGAGGGAAGAATCTCAAGCGGCGGCTATGAGATCAAAAAAAAAAAAGGAAAGGCGACAAGAGGTGAAACAAACACTTGAATCAGCCAGAGGAAGTGTTAGACTCTCTGAAATGACACTGATAGAGAGGATGTTTGTACTTGTCCCACTCTACATTGAACCAAGAGTCAAGAGCGTCCTGTACTCCTCTCTCTTCTTCTCTCTCGTTGGTTTTATAAATAGACCACTCTGCTTTCACAGTAAACCACAGAGACAATAAGATTCACTTAAGGAGAGAAGCGGTGCACAAAACCATTTAAGAGGTGAGCATCTATGGTTGATTCAAAGGTGCCCTCTGTAATGGACATAAAAGCAGCCACTCCAAGTGTGCTTTCACGAATTTATGTGTTTATGGGCCTTTAGATGTGACACAAATGTACCCTGATCTAATGTTAAAATAACATCCACTCCTGTCCTATTGGTCTTATATTCACAAAACATTTCAAATCACATGAAAAAAAGCACAACAGAAGCCTGAGGTTATCATGAACATGTTATTATTGACATTATTATCAAGATTACTGTTCATAATAGCATTATAATTTACAGTTTTATAATTAACATATCTCTCCATAGATATAATCTGTTTGTACATTGGTCCTCAGAAGGGGTGTGGCAAGTGTTAGGATCCATATTTCCTTTTGTGTGTAACAATAGACGATCCGCTCACTTCGCTTTTTCCTTTGCACGGTAGAAAAACAAAGTCTTCATACAGACAGCTGACTATCATAAGTAGACAGAACAGGACAGGAAAGAAGCGGAGTATTATATGCACATCTGAGACTGAAAAATAGCAGAAGAAGTAAGTTTAGAGGTAAATGAGTGAGTAGACAGAATCTATCGACCAAGGCCTGCATGTGTATTTCATTCAAACCTCAGCTCCTGCATTGTGATTGGCTCAACGCTGAACCAAACATAACATTCATATAGAAAAACAGAGTGAAAAAAAACAACAACAACAACCAGCAGTTTGGTTTATACATACAGTGTCTAATGACACAATTAAGTTTAAGTTCTCATAGAAATCATATTTCCTCTCTGATAATATTCTATACACTTTTTTAGTCCAAGGAGCATATTAAACCCAAGACATCATTCAAAGACAATACACCTCTAGTTTCTTTGATTAATTCAGCAAGCATACACATTAGACTCCTCGCTGCGAAGGAATCTGTACATGGCAGAAGCTTTTAAGACATCATTGAAAGCAGTTGTAACTCCTAAATACATTTTTAAATGGCTACGTATTTTCACCACCCGCAGCAGCAGTAAGTCTCTTCACTCTGTGGTTGTGATGTTTGTGAAAAAAAAGAAAAAGTCTTTTCTGCCCTGACAGCAGACGTGGCCGCAAAGGTGTAAGTTTGGGCAGTGTGTGTGCGCATCGGCTATGTGCACCAGTGTCCGGTATTTGTTGAATATCCTCTTGTCTGTGGCATTTAGTACAGCAAATGTGTGTTTTCCTTGGTTCACATTGTCCTGATGTACTGTCCTGTTGTTGGATGTTTTTTTTTTGTTTGTTTGTTTTTTACAGGAGAGGGTCTTTGTCCTGACAGAGTGTCGCTTCAATAATGTGCTTGGTAACAAGAGTGGAAAAAATGGCAGTAAAGAAGAAGCTTTCAAGACACATAAAGTCACAGAGGTGTTCCAGTATAAGAGAGCAGTTCAGAAAAGTACAAGTATACATCAGAGTACAGAGCAAAGGAGGGTGTGGGCAGTGTTTATTTTCATCGATATACTGTATTTTTCTTCCAACCTTTTTTTTTTTTTTTTTCAGTTCCTGGTATCTATCCCTGGCAGTTACTGCAGCTTATCTTGCGAAGTCCCTTTAATATCCCCAGTTTAATATACTGAATGCACGTGTTCAAATATTCTCAGGCTGTAAAAGTGGTCAACATGAAATAGAAAATATTGAGCAGCATCGATGTTCTCGCCTGAAGTCAAGAGAGGCACCGTTTCAGCCTGCATTCATGGTTTCTCAGCTTGTTTGTGTAAGAAAGCTCTGCTTCTACCCTCTCTCTTACTCATACACATACTGTACAGTCAATGTCCACTGATGACAGTACAGAAAATGTGATGGACCTTTACATCAGAGATAAGGGCACTCAGACAGTCCCTCTGAGCTTTATGATACACTTGACTGAGCAAAAAGTCAGTCTGTTTGAATCCCTGCGTATCAACTGGACTGGCAGCAGATATTGTTGTGCTTTCACTGTGAGACACAGTCGCTGGGTTGTGATTGTAACTGACTCTGAAGATTCAAATCTGAAGGCAGTGGGATATTACTGAAAATCCAAGCTGTGGATCACAGGTTTTTGTATCTGGAGTCACCTCTCCTCTCATTTCTGCAGCTCTTTTCCCAATCCTCCTAACATCAGCAATTAACTGTAATCTTTTCCAAGAAACACAACCCCCCTGGGTAAATATCTCATATGGATCATGATTCAACAATATTTCAGATAGCAATGGCAAAAATGATGTATTTGCAAAGCTTGATACATACTTCTAAAATAAGATACTTGTATTTTGTACAGTATATTGCACATAGTGTTAGTACCTCTAGAGATATAGTTAAGTATATTTATGTCAACTTGCACCTTAAGTATTACTCATACCTTTTCATGCTACAATGAATACTCAAAGGACATGCAGCACTAGGATGGCAGAAAAGCATCTATTGGATAAAATGCTTATGAAGGACACTTAGCCGTGGTCCAACATTTTGTTGATAATATGAGCCAATGGAATGACTTTTGAACTCCGTAAGTACCAGAAGATTAGAAATAAATACAGAGGTTAAAGTAATATCCTTTACAAAACAGGTAAAAGTGTATCAAGCAGCTGCATATTTACCCTCCTGGCCTGATCATTAAAATAAAACACTTTCTGTGGTACAATAAAAAGCAGTAAATTTAAGAGGCAGGCAAAGTTGAGTAATTTTGACCTAGTGTTCAGGGAAGCTTTCACAAGCTGAAGGGATTCATTATTTTGATGATTAAGAGCATTGCATTTAACTGGTATTGTTACTGACTTTCTGGTTATACACGAGGGTGTGAATAGTATAGTGGAGTGGCATGGGCCTCTCTTGGCCACCTCTAAGTGCCACTCCAAAATCCTGACCCGTGATTGGCTATTTGCTTTGTCAAGGGCGGGGCCTAAAGTCAAGATCAACTATATAGACTATCTTGCAACATGCTGTTTGTTGTCCGAAATGAATCACTCAATCCCTAACCCCTAACCCCCATACTGGGTTTCACTATATAGCTGACTATGTAGTGAGCTCAATCACCAGAGGTTTTGGACACTACATGGCACACCGTTGTGACGTCACGGCTCAGACTGCCACGTCTGGCCTTATTTTCATGTCGAATATTGTTTGTGCATGAGACTTTATGACGCAGCAAACAATTGTTTTTAAAAACTGTACGGATCACTAAATCACTAAACTGTACGGATCACTAAATAGAGCTCGGGTTATGTCTCTTCTTGCTCTCGTCATGAGGCATCTTTGAATTACCGCTGGAGACGCAATGCATGACGGGATGCCCACCACCGGTGAGTGACCATTGGATGGTAACTACATTTTGCAATGCTCTATGGGAAATTTTGAGTCACCTATATGGGGCATTGGAATTGACCACTCAGGTTTCGATCACCCCTGAAAATGGCGCTAACCCCCACATAGTTGCCTATATAGGGGTTAGGGATCCATTTAGGACACAGCCTTTGGTTGTCTTTGCGTTTACATTTGCTTTTGTTGCCATTTTAAACTGTAGAAAAAATGTTCACATATCTGTCTTATAAAACAGCTATGAGGAAGAGGAATAAGCCTGTCAAACTTCTGCTGACAGTTGAAAATACAATATTAGGCAGTGTTGCCAAAATGTGTCTGATAAGAGTATTTTTGACCATAGGAGTTTTTCAAGTAGTTCATATTGTGACATAGGACAAACATCTTTTTTCTGAGTCCTAAAATAATTATACTTGTTAGATTTATGTAGCAGTAAAGATAAATAAGTGCCATTTATTCATGTGTTGGGCCATCTCAGTCAATAAGTTTGGTCGTACCCCTGGTTGTAGCCTGTCTAAAATGGCTCTGGCGGTCCAGTTGTTTTTTTTCTTTTAAGCTCTTTGAATAAATCACAGAGCTTTGAGTCTTAAGATTAAGAGATTAAAGATGATGAGTTCTGAAACCTTGTCATAATTAATATCTAAAACTAGTTACCTTTGCTGCCTTTAACCATTTCTAATTTTGTGTCAGACCAAAACAACAAACTGGAGTCGCACTCTTTGCTCTCGCTGTTTCTATTTCTAAAAACATGGAATGATACGAAGTCGAGAACAGCATCATTTCCCGCTTAAGTACTGCAACAGTGGACCTGGGCGATGACTGAAGAAGAGACACTTGAAGGTGTAGTTCAGAGACTAACGAAGCAGGCACTCACTAAGATCACTACAGAGAAATAATCACTGTCTTAACAAGAGGAAAACGTAGTTGAGAACTGCACCATTATATTACTGAAACAATACAAAAGTTTAACTCAAAGAAACACACACAGCATTATATAAAAGCAGACATTCGCTCTGTTGAGAGGAACATTTCTTGTAGCATAGGCTGGTAACACCATTAGGCAGAGACATACTGGGAGTGCAAATGTTATAAATCCACTCAGATGTCATCAAGGAAAAATGGCAGAAAAAAAACAAGTGTGCTGTTGTAGTCCGGAGTTGCGGCACAGCACTGCCATTTATCTGTTGGTCTCCACAGAGCTAACACGAGACTAATGTCTAGTTTGGACCAAGGGAGCTCTCCTGCCCTCTGGCTTTTTCTCTGACAAATAACCCTTTTGCCAAAATCATCTTATTTCAGTATTGCTCTCTACTTTTCTGTCAGTAAGTCAGTTTTCCCCCTGACAGGACAGCTGTGGTATCAGTGATTTGGTTTCTCTCTGATTCAGGACCTTGGCAGTTAGAGCAGCAGATTGCAGTTTCTTAGGAATGCTGATAGTATGGTCTGCTATTGATCACAAGTTAATATGTTTCCTTACATTTAAAGAAAAAAAGTTAAACTAAGTATTAGTTTTTCGTGCATCTTTGCCCCGCAGCAGTCTGAGCAAGTGTTTCCTTACACTATTGATATTCTTATTGTTAGGCTACTACTTGGCTACTGTTGCGAACAGGACGACTACTGGCACACTGGTAAGACTATCTCCATGCAGACACTAACAGTGTCCTAGATAAGACGAGTGGCGGACTTATGGAATGTCAGAGAACATGAAGTCCTCTATGTCAATATTTTCACAAAGTTAACCTTACCCTTCTGCTCTCGACTCCTAAATAGGGTGGCATAGGCTGGTTAATACAAGGAGTCATACCTTCATCCGTCTGTTACAGTCAGTGTAGACCCCACTCAAGTACACCATCTACAGCAGCGTTCATGATCATGTTATACATCTGTACGCATCTTGGTGATGTTTACATAGTTAGTGTTGGCCAGGGTGCAGTTTCCTGTTTTCATGGCCTCTGGTCTGAAGTCCTCAGTGCTGTGGTTTACTGCCTCCTGGATCTCCACATAGTCTGATTTGCTGAGAGTGGATCCACTTCCACTTCGACCGCTCTTCTTCAGATCGTCAGCTGAGCTGGCTTTAGGCACACTTGGGATATTCAGATACTGCGCCTGCTCTTCACCCTCCGTCTCTCTGTGGTAGAAGTAGTTAAAATTGGAGACAATGACAGGAACAGGCAGGGCAATAGTCAGCACACCAGCGATGGCGCAGAGAGACCCCACAATCTTCCCACCGATGGTTGTTGGGACCATGTCCCCATAGCCCACGGTAGTCATCGAAACCACAGCCCACCAGAAAGCTTCAGGGATGCTGCTGAACTGGGATTGTGGCTCATCTGCTTCTGCAAAGTAGACAGCACTTGAGAAGAGAATCACACCAATGAACAAGAAGAAGATGAGGAGGCCCAGCTCACGCATACTGGCTTTGAGAGTTTGTCCCAAGATCTGCAGCCCCTTAGAGTGTCGTGAGAGTTTGAAGATACGAAACACTCTCACCAGACGGATGACACGAAGAATTGCCAGAGACATAGCCTGTTGTCCCGCCTCTCGGTCTTCAGGCCTCTCTGCCAGCTCTGTGCCCAGGGTGATGAAATAAGGGATAATCGCCACAATATCAATGATGTTCATGATGTTCCCAAAAAAGCCAGCTTTGCTTGGGCAGGCGAAAAACCGCACTAGGAACTCAAAAGAGAACCAGATAATGCAGAGCGTCTCGACGATGAAGAAAGGATCTGTGAAATAAGTCGAGCCAACATCGGTTGAAGTGGCATTAGACATGGACTGAAACGGATAATTATACATCTCCTCTTCTTCATTTCGGAAAATTGGCAGCGTTTCTAGACAAAAGCTGACTATAGAGATAAGAATCACCATGACGGAGATGATGGCAATAATGCGAGCAGGACCTGAGCTCTCTGGATACTCAAACAGCAGCCAAACCTGTCTCTGAAACTCGTTCTCTGGCAGGGGCCGCTCCTCCTCTTTTATAAAACCTTCATCCTCCCTGAAGATTTCCATAGCCTCCTCACCCAATTCATAAAATCGAATCTCCTCAGAAAAAATGTCCAGCGTCACATTAACGGGCCGACGCAGCCTCCCTCCTGACTGGTAGTAGTACAGAATAGCATCAAAACTGGGTCGGTTCCGGTCAAAGAAGTACTCATTCCGGAGAGGATCAAAATACCTCATCCTTTTCTTTGGATCCCCGAGCAGCGTCTCTGGAAACTGAGAGAGAGTTTTGAGCTGCGTCTCAAAGCGCAAGCCTGAGATGTTAATGACGACCCTCTCACAGCATTCATGATCTGGCTCTGGATCATACTGGTCATGAGGCTGACCCGGTTGCACTGCTGCGTCATCCACAGTGTCACTGGTAGCAACCGTCATGCTGGAGGGAGATGGGACCTGCAGGGTTCAGATAGGGTGGGGCCCCGTCGGGCCACAAGCAGAGAAAGCCTTCAGGCACTCTTGGATTCTGGTGCGGGCAGATCTGCCTGTGATGAGCTGGGGGACACAAGAGAAAACAACAGATATGATATGCAAAGAAGTTTAAACAGATTTTAAAATCTAGATTGAGGTTTAGAGCTGATATGTTCTGGACTTCACAGCCGTGTTTCAGAGAAATAATATTTGTTACATTTGACATCTTCCCAGAAAAACTGCATGTGTTATTTCAAGCCCTTTCTGCAAACAGGCAAGGGCAGGTTGAAAATAACAAGCATGGAAGGGTAGGTGGGTGGGGGGGGTGAACCATTTGGGCGAATTGGCTCCATTGTGTCTGTGTGTATTAGGTTATGAGTTCTCTCTCATATGAGCATGCGGCAGGATCAATATGCTGGCCAGTAATACTGTATCAGCTCTCACGGGGTTCAATTACAACCAAAGAATCTGATTATATGCTGAGTGCTCCGTCCAGTCCCTAAGAGGAATTTCTCCTTACGCTCCCTCCCTTAGCCAAGAAAATCATCACCATGTCATTGATCTCATGAACAGTTGATCAGTTAACAGTAATGTTTTTCAAAGCAACTGGTTGGCATCTCTCTAAATTAGTGCTATTTAAGAGTAAACTACTGTCAAACTTTAGAGAAAATGCTTTATGCATGAGGTGGTATAGACCTGTTACTGGCTTACAGTTTTAATAAAGATGCAACAAGACAACAGTTTGGGAATAAAGATCCAATAATCTCACCTTTTTTTGCTCTGACACCTGTAAGGCTTGTCCACAAACCCCAGTAGAAGTGTCAGGTCAAAAGACAGCTTTCACAGCGAAAGCAGCTCCTTCCTGTCAGCCATATAGCAGCCCAAATTCCGGTTCTGCAGCAACGCAGCGGTGGGAGTGTGAGAAGGGGACAAGGCGTGAGGATGCAGGAGTTACCTCCCTCATCTGAGTGACCGGCAGACACATGCTGAGATGCAGCTAGGCTACAGGTTGAGGCGTGCGGAGGGGGCGATGGTGTTGAGATGGAAGAAAAGCAAATCTTAGAAGTGCCTGCAGCAGCACAAACATGACGCCCCCGGTCAGAACAATACGCCGCAGCCTGCAACCACAGCAAAGGTGATCCTTATATCTGCAGAGACTTGTTGTGGAGGGGAGGCGTTGCTGTCAGTGTTTCTGCAGGGAAGCACACATGCTCTGGTGGATGTCATGTAAAGCGAAATCACCTGTTCGAGCCTCAAACGTGATGGCATTCAGGATTTTGCATCACAGTATTTCAGCTGGCTAAAAACTGCATTTCTTATTTATCTCCGAGATAATGCCACTGTCTTTTTTCTGATAGGGAATATCCATATGAACACACCAATGATGTGCAGTAGTAATAAATGGAGGCTTATGTTCACAACCCATTCCATGGAGTAACGCAGTCCTTTGATGGCGTTTTAAAGGCAAAAACTACTTTTTTTTATGCGTTCATTTGAGACACAGCAGCCAAGTTCATGCATCGGGTTATTCAGACACTACATTGCAGTGTTGTTGTTGATTGGCAAGCGCGATTGAGTTAGTTTGGAGTGGCAGGTGCCAGACATGCTCAAGCCATTTGCAGCCTTTCTCCTGTGTGGATCATGGACAGTCAGCCACAATAGATTCCATGCACTAAACAAAGCAGCATAGCATTAACTCTCCATCTACAGCAGTATTTCAGAGTATGGCATGCACGGAATTCACCCTGGTTCTGCCGGTGCGCTGGCACATACGTTTATCCAGTTTGTCTCCTCAAACAAGGTGCCGTGAGGTCGTGAGTCAATTCCTTTATACCTCTCTTCCTGCCCTTATTTGACTGATCTCTCCAGCTGCTGTCATCTCATAACGACCAACTGTTTCGGAGCAGCCGGATCTTCCCATGTCTCTCATATTTCACCATAATTCACCATAGTTGAGACGCGTGGGCTGCAGTAAGGCACCGCAGCGCATACTAACAGCTTCTTGCGCGCCTCGCCCCATCTCTCCGCGCTCCCCCCTCGCTCGACACTTCAGTGCTGTCCTCAGTGCTACACATTAAAGGGGAAGACGCACTGGGAGGAAAGTGTCTTTTTTTCATTAAAAAAGGGCGTCTCAGGGGGTCCAAAGGAAATTAGATAATCCAACAAACTGTGTATTATTTTTTTTGTCTATAGAAGTATACAATAAAGGAAAAAAAAGTGAATACTTGTTCAATCAAATCAAGATTAAACGGGTATAAGTGCTTGTGATAGTCTGACCTCACTGTACAGCATGCCCTCTTTTAGTATGATTGTGGATTTGAACTGTGGGCAACATGTGAGAGCCTCATTTCCAGCAGGCTACACAGACAGGATTCACTACAGTTTGTTCTGATCATTTACAGACCTTCATACTGTATCACACTCTGCTAATTACTGCTCAGACCCATTAAGCATGTGCTGGCACACACTCATGCTCAGAGTACTGGTGCTAACAGCTCTTAATTCAATGACAAACTAGATGGAGTTCATGTTAAGAGCCCAGTTATTATACAGTCAAATGAGCAATGATGACCACCCCGCCCCCCTCTTTGCTTTGCTGGTTGATAATGGGCCAGGTGAAAGCCCAGATATGTCACAGAGAGGGAGCAGGAATTGCACATGGGAAAAAAAGAAAAAAAGAAAAACCTCCTCCGCTCCCAGGAGAGAGTATGAAGAATACCACTTGTCCTCCCCCATGTGTTCCCCTTGCTTTGCCATTTTCCACAGCCCAAGGACAGGTTCAGCAAAATGTGCAATCCTTCTCCAATCAAAGTGTCAGAATACTGATTAAGATGATGACAAGGGGACCACAGAGAGCGAAGCAGTAGTTCACTGCTGTATGCAGCTGATAACCAATTTGCCACTTTGGCTGAAGGTCTCAAAGAGGAGCTATTGGCACTTTTACATAAGCAGGGTGATTGATGATGAGGAACTGTTGGATCCTCGTCGTCCGCGAATGTAAATGAAGAGGGGCCCAATCCTGCCAAGAGCCCGGCCACCAATATCCAATGCTGGGTGTCAGCAGTGTAATGATTCATCACCCACCATCACATTCACAGCAATCCTCTATAACACAGTTCTGCTGGAAGGAGCGAGCTCTTAGTGTATGGGATATGAGATAGAGCTTAATGGGATTGGGGGATAAGAGCTTCATATTGCCAGTTAACTTAACGTTTAGTTCATTCTTGCACTATTTTACATGTATTTTTTTAATGTTAGAATTTAAGTTCATAATTAAAGGTACTGTGAAGTGTTTTTAACCGGTTGAGAAACAGACTGAAACTGATACTGATGCCTCTTTATGACCTTCAAAATTAAAGACTGAAACTCTCACTGTGGTCATTTTGATGCTTTTAAATGCTGTGAGGGGGGAGACATCTAACTCATAGACTGTATATAGAATGGACGCCGTCTGCCTTTTCTGTACAGCCCTATTTTTAAAAGTTATTAGGGGGTTCATGTTTTCTATGATTGACACTTGATAAAGCCTACGAAGGTTGCGTAGCTCACCCAGGGGTTTGAGCAGAGCGTCATCACAGCGACTCTCGCTGAATGGGTACAATACTACTGCGCAATGTTGGTTTCAGGAAGTGGAGAAAAAACGCAGAATTACCAAGAGGTTTTTGGCTCCAAATCTGTATACTGGTAGAAGGCGGAACCAAGTTGTCCATAGTATATACAGTCTATGGTCTAGTTAGATAGATTTGTACACAGCTAATACCCAAAGTGGGTGACAGATTTTATTATTAAAATTTAACAAGATCAGGTTTTTGTCTGGAAATTCTACTTTACTTCTGAAGGCATCACTTTTCTACAGGGGGCGCCGATGTCAACACAAACTAAAAGTTCCTTACAGCAGCTGTAAGTATTGTCAGCATGGATGATATTTATTTAATAATTTTATGTGGCAGTAGCTGAGCACTGACTGGGACACAGGAAATGAGGGTACTTTCAAAACGTTGAAGTCCACCTGACAGCTCTTCTCAAAAATATACTACACTCATACTCATCAGCTCTAAACAAAGATGTTAATGAATTTAATGTATTCTTCATTGTCCAAAGAGGACCAAATATCTCCTCCTTCTCAACAGAACTTGTCAAAGATTCTTCAAATGTAAAAACAAGTCCTTAGGTTTTTCTAGTGCCAAGGAGAAACACCATACTGCAAATAAAATTGATGGGGCCCAAGTTGTAGTTTACAGTACATTTGAGACCCCAACCCCCCAGTCTTTACGATTCAGTATAAATAGTTTTACACCAGCAGACAGCTGACCTGAAGTTATAGCGCAATCAACCAGCCAACCATTCAGGTCCTTAATTGTGTCTCGTCTTCCCCTCCACCTCTATCTTGTGCCAAGTATCTAAATGGGACCATTGATTCTGTTTAGTGTTCAGCAGAGCAGACCAGATGGAACCTCAAAAAGAAATTTAAGATTACTTCCAAACTAATGACCCTGCATGATAGCTGTAACAGTGGCTACATATGTATTAACCCTATGAATGTCCAGACAGAGCTCTATGTGCTCTAATGTGCTCCGTTTGGGCTATGGGTGAGAAAACCGATAAAAAAGCAACGAGGACCAGGATCTCCGTCAAGAGCAGGGAGCGCACAGAGCTCAAACCAATTATTTTCATGAACCAGGCACACTCAATTTATCTACTCAGAGAATAATTTCCCTGCAATCCCACACAAACAGTCCATTTGGGACATTTTGTGAGATGATAAATTTATTTGCATAGCAGAGTGTGAGTCAGCAGACCTGCACGCCTAAAATCTCCACCCTTTTTTTTATGCAGAAGAACATGTGGAAGAGAGGGAGGTGGAGGAGGAGAGAAAGTCAGCAAAAAAAAAAAAAGTGAAAGCAGAGGAGAGAGAGTGTTGATCCAACTTATGACAGCAGACTGCAGGGGAGGAGCTCTTTCAAGGATGACCTCTGCTGGTGCTGCAGCAGGTGATCACTCACAAGCTGTTACCACACACACACACACACACTCTAACATCATAAGTCTGTATTGGAATGTGCATGCACACGCCAGAGGTACACGTGCAAAAAAAAACGTGAAGTACATCCACACAAAGTCGATCTGACCTGTGTTTACTTATAGCCTTGAGACAGGAAACTTACAGGGATTATCGTAACCATGTACACACTTGTTGTACACACAAATAAATGCAAAAGCACTTATGACAGGAATGGAGGCTCCACTTTGCCTTTCCTCTGTTACACTAATGTGCCGAAAGTGACTCTGAAACACAGACAGTAACAGTGGGTTCAGGTTTGAGGTACCCACTTAAAAGATGACCACATTTAAGCAGTCTGACCCTTCACTCCTCTTTCCGTCCCCTCATTTGCCCCTCTCACTCCTCTCTCCCCACCTTTGCCTCTCTGCGGGGTCCCTCTATATTTAGCGACTGACCTTGGTAGTACTTTACCTGCCTGTTGAGAGCAGCCCGTCCGGTGATGATGATCGCTGCTTTTGTGATGAGATATGTCCTTACCCTCAGAGTAGAGTACTCTGCTATTGATTGTGGATGTGGTTTCACTTTCTGTTGTTTTCCCAGCCTTCGAAAAACAAGGAAAAATCGATGACCTAACTCTGGCACACAAAGGTGTGGCTTTGGTAAGAGAGGAAACTTTGGAGCATATTAATGGCATCTATAATGCATGACTAAAGAAAGAGCGGCTCGATATGTCTGCTATATGCAGAGATGTCCTCTGCGCAGGGGCTAATGGGAAATTAAATTGGGTAAAAGGTTGAGAGGATGTCAGAAAGAGCAGATGTGTGTCATAGAGGAGAGGGACGATTTGAAGGGACGAAGATGAACGCAGTCAGGCTGATGGGGAGTTAGAGGTGTGCAGAAAATGAAAACGAAGGGGAAAGATGGAACGAAGGAGGTGGAGAGGGCAGCAGATAAAGGTCACTGTGACAGAGTGATGAGTCATCTGTTAGAGCATAGCGGCTTCTCCCTTTCTCTCTCACTCCCTCTGTTTTACACATTCACTCTCTCCACCATCCATCTGTTTGTTTTGACAGCACAAACCGAGATGACTAGCAGCAGATCCACCCTCCAACAGCTGACAGAAAAATCTACAGTGACTCAACATTTGAATATGTATGCTTTTTGGTGCTTTCGCGTGTCAGTATGCATCAAGTGTGTGTACGTAAATGTCAGTGTGCTTGCTTGTACACCATGTCTGGATTTAAAGAACTGACTTTGTATCCTGCATCTTGTGGCTGCAAACTGGAACCGATCTGCCAATTGGCATCCTGATGTAATCAGATTTTTGTGGAAAGCAGAAGCCATAGTATCATCATCCTGAGCAACTCTCCCTCCCAGCTGCAGCGGCAGAGTGGTGCTCTGCTAGTGAATCTAAATATATGGTAAATGAAGTGTATTCTTGTCCTTTGACAACACCAAGTGCTCTTACACTGCATGCCACATAAATAACCCATTCACACACATTCATATATGAAAAATGTGCATAATAATGATAGATTTTTGGCTTTACCTCACACATAAATTTGCACCTAAACTTGGCTCCACTTTTTTGAGACCTTCCTTCAAATTAGTAATCTGATGTAAGTGGACAGACAAATACAGCTAACAGCAAGTTGGTGAACACAGTGGAACATTAAGCATCTAAACAAGCAGATATATTTCCTTTTGGAGTAGATAGAAAACAAGAAAGAAAGAAATAAAAACAGAAGTGATATTGTGTATCAAGTGGACACAAAAATTTTTCTTAATGAATGATGATATTGTACAAAAGTTTCTAGATGTGTAGACATGAGCAACTTCTAACTACACTCAGAAATATTTAGGCCTCACTGCATACAAAAATCCATTTGAATTACTTAGATTTAACATAAACAGGCCAATAAACTTTATGTACTGTATATTTGTCAGTCAAATGTCAATGAAAGAATTAAGAATTAGATTTATGTAATAATACTAGTGAACTCAATGTGTTTATAATAAATAATGATGATTTATGTATTTATCATTGACAGCTCCATTTTTTTCTGTCTTATAAATGTTAACTAAATGAATCTTGATTGATCCACAGCTTGTCATATCTAAATTATATTCATACATTTTAACTAAGTAAACCGAACAGTTTTCAGGATAACAGATTTATGCAGATTTTAAGAAATTTGAATAAATAAATTTAAAAAAATGTAATGATTTATATAAACTCAAAGAGGTGTAAATACTGAAAAATAAACCTTTATTTTTTTGAGTGAACAAGTGCTCTACTTTAATGTAAAGGACATGAGCACAGCTATTTTTAGCATCCACCAGGGGACAATCCACCACAAACAAGTGTAAAATTTAAGTTTAAGAGTCTTTTCAAGCCATTCCTCTTCATAAAGATGTCCATTATTCTCAAATGTATCATCAGCTGTTTTTGTTATTAGGACTCGTGTCTTTTTTGTGAATCATACAGACTTGTATAGTCTAGTGAATGTGTTGTGTAGGCATTGTCCTAACTCTTCTTAGACCTGCTCTCCAGCTGGAGTCCTTACATGGTGTGATCTAATCTCCCTGTGAAGCACTATACACGGATTCTCTGCCAAATATGCACACACTCATATAAGATACCCTTGAATGTACGAGGACACACTGCGATCCAGGTCATGTACACACAGATGCTGCAACAGTTGTTAATTGTAAAACTTCAGCTGTGATCCCTCTTTAGCACCTGCAGAGGGCTGAATCTGCTCTTCACGGTTTTCCTCTTTATCTTACACACAACCCTCCCTTGTTGCTATGGAGACTTCCTGCTGTAGTGCCATGGCTGTTGGTGAGTTTTGATGATGTCATTGGGTATGTTTGTGATCTTCAGGGCATCTTTTACTAAGATGTTTAGCAATAAAGCGGCACAAAGAGACAGAACATGAGAAATGGGCCGCAGAGCTGAGTGGCTCTGTCCATTATTTGCCTTTCTGATGAACAGTGGGACTATTTAGTCTGGAATAATCACATAATTTCCAATCTGCCTTACAGGAAGGTGGTTTAATACTCATAAACGCACAATAGCCTGGAAAGATGGCAGGGTTATTAGTGAGCTGGCGGGCTTCGTAAAGCAATAAAGCACACTTGCTCATACACAGGATGACAGTGTGATGTCTGTGAACCGCGGGTAGAATGTTAATATTTACCTCCTCGGCACAGTGGTGATATGCAGTTTTCCACTCGACTCATACACAGTACAGTTCTCTTTAAGGTCCCACTCCAAGGACCAAATGTTCTCTTAAAACCAGGAATCACCACCCTTTTACCAAGAGAAATAAGAATAAGAGATGTTTCTGCAGAAAGTGAGATATCAAAATAGTGTGAAGCTACTTTCAATAAACTTCTCTGTCTTACTGATATTTAAAAAAAAGATGCAGAGCTCTCTCACGAACACCCGGCCCAGTCACCTAGTTACAAAGAGGTCATCATGTCCTGTCTCTACAGAAGAAACTTGTGTTGTACAAGGTTGTTTTCTGTTCAAGGAAAAGTCCAGACTCAAAAAAGACTTTCAACTGTAGGAGGCTCTTGGAAAATTGATTAAACCGTGACATTTGAGGTGTGTTGTGATCAGTTTTAAGGCAGTTATGAACTAGGACAACACGGATTAGACCGTAAAATAGGTCTTCTTTTTTGTTTTGAAATGAACCCACCTCTTATTATACATCATAAGCACACTTAAAAAGCCTTATAACTACATCTATACGGCTTTAGACAAACCTTATGAGTGATAATAAGCATTTATAACAGCTTATAGCATTTTTTTTTTTATATGTGTTATACGCAATGAGACTTACAAGATATGAATCTATGATACCTTAAGCAGAAGAAAAAAACTTTATCTTTTGAATAACACGTTGAAGCTCCCACAACTTATAAACATTCTTAAAGAACTCATTCTATATATCATACAGGGATGTCCAAATACAACTTTTTGACTTCGGATATAATACTGATATTGTAGCCTTCAATACTGACCCATACCAATATTGAAATACTGCCACAAGGCCAACATCACTCTTACTCCTTGCTACTTTGTTAGTATCTTAGTACACACTGTTGGTGGGATTTTGTGGGCTCAGCTTGCTGGATCAGGGCGCTGCTAGATAGAGGTGCCGGAGCGGAGTCTGGAATGGACTGCTTGTATTGGAGTGCTGATACTGGAGATTTTAGGTGCAGGCCAACATAATCCGATATATATATATTTTTTGCTGATATAGGACCGATATCCGATATTAATATCGTATCAGGACGCCCCTAGTATCATAGAAGAACTCACAATTTCTACGAAATAACGAGAATATCTCATTCATACAAACTAAAGCATGACTCTGGGCGCTTAAAGTGATAGCACCGTGTGAAGTTATTAACAACTACCTGTTCCTATAACACATCTATATGAATGTATTGTGTGGCTGTTAGTAAAGTATCTTAAAATAAATACTTCAAACCACTTCTAAAAATGTACTAGATTAGTCTTGCTTTAATAAAACCCTCCATGTTAAAGAGAATAAAGTAGATATTTACAGACTCACCAAAACAGAGAAGCTGCTCTTGTTTCTAAACTCCTACAGCCATATATGACATAACAGAAATGCTCTTTTCTTATAAGTAATACGGTCAGTGGTTAGACTCAGAGTTTCCCCCTGATATAAATGAGCACCATTGTCTTGATCATTGAGTTAATGCAGCCTGCCCTTCATGCAGCTTGAATCATCTAAAATAAGGACAGTACAGCTCGTAATCTGTTTATAGGTCATGTTGAAGACAGCACAGAAGAGCACAGAACAAACACTGGTACACACAGCCTTCCCCTGAAAAAAAGCACCCTGCCCCATCCCATAAAATCACCACTGCATTCTGGGATAAAAGAGAGCTGTTTACAGGCATGTCTATACATGTGTGTCTGTATGTTGTGTCTGTGTCTGTTGTTTTCTGGCCAGGGGAAAAGCTGCAACCAGCACATGTACAAACGTGTGCACGCCAAGTATTAGCAAAACACAGAGCACACAGAGCTAAGAAAGGCATATGGCTAACAGTCTTTGATGTGTGTCACAGTTTCATTTCAGTAAATCATGTTGGCCTCAGTTTTTGCCACTTTTGATTCGAAGCAAGAGTTGTGAATTACTGTCCATTTGAGATCCTTGTAGAGTCCAAGAGCAAAGAATGCTTTTCAAAAGTGCTGGCTGCTTCCTGAATCTGTACTTTTCAATTTTGTATCAACAGCGTTATGTCCAGCTATCCTCTGTCACAGCTGAAAATACAATGAGCTACAAAACTGTACGTGGAAAATGTTACAGTATATTACTGTTTTATCTCTTATTCTTTTGGTGGCATATGTTGTATTTTGGATTCAGAAGCTGCTAGGCACCATTTGTTAGGGGTTCTGGTTTTGAAGAAACCAGTCAGGAGGGAAGAAAAACTGATCCAGAGGGAGTTCTGTCTCAACTCTTGGCTTTGGCCTGTTAGGCCCAACAGGAAGACCAGAGTCACTGCATCCCTTAAGGAAAAACAAAACAAAAGACAGGGTCAACATGGGATTGTGGGTAACCAATCAAGCATCAGCTAATGAAACGAGAATGCTCTTTTGGTGGTTTCTCAGTGAATGGAAAAGTTTTCCCAACCTAAATGAGAGGCAGTCTGATTTGGGTCGTCAGGTGTTTGAGGAGGTCTGTGCAGAAAAATGGAACAACGTTCACCTGAGAGAAAAAATAGTAGAAGAGACAAAGAGGGACAAAAAGAACAACAAGCACAATTGTTAGATCTACACCGTTTAGCCAGACCTATCTTACAGCTCAGTGGTTTTATTAACAATGCAAGGCTGCACCTCTCCTCCCTGCTGTCTCATTAGCGCTCATGCAAAGATCAAACCATAAACACTATTCAGGATGGAGGAAAGCAACTGTTTGATCAGACAAACCTATCTGTAAATACTCCTTTCAGCAGTCCCCTTATTCAGCCATGTGTTTTGTTCAACTGTCTCTTTTGCACAGTCGTATCTGTAAACCTCACACAGCCTCTGAATTATTTGTAAAAACATGTCACTTGATTGGCCCTGAGGTAGTCACTATGTTATATTACTTTATGGTTTGTCTTTATATTAGTTTTTTGGGATATAGCCTGGGCCAGCACTCATCTGACCAAACTTGAACCCATCTAAGAAAACAAGCGCTGAGTCATAAACTGTGTTCTCAGCCTCTGTTTCACCTCATAGGTGTCCACAGAGTGTATCACGCCAACCACCTCCAGATTGGTTTATTTTTGCATAGTTCCTTAAAGCACCTTTGTGGAGTGTTTACCTAGCAAAGAAACAGACTGAAATTAACAGTGATGTCTCTTTATGACCCCTGAAAGCAAACACGTCAGCCAGGGACAACATTGATTAATTCTATATAGTAATTTTTTAAATACCTTGATGCAGCAGGCAGCCTTACTAGCGATCGTTTATATTTTTCTATGCAAGGATTTATTTCAAGCTGCATGTTAGATATTCAGATTTGAGAAAGATGTGATTTTGTCTGAATACACGACTTGCACATGGCAAGAACAAAAAGTGGACAAAGTGATGAGAGCTTCTGTTTCTCCAACAAGGTATAAACTTCATAAAACTTATAAACCTGTTGATTTTTGCTAACATTGTTTGACTTATTTTTACAACTTCTTCGTTCCTATGAAAAGCTGTAAACCATGTCCTATTTGTATATCACACATGAAGATAGTTAAGTGTTTAATATCAAATCTGATTGTTTTGCACCACTAAAACATCGAATCTCATAATATGTGCCTGCAGTTCAAAATATCTCAACATCTTTAATTCAAGCCAAACTGACTAAATCCTGACAAATTTTCAAGGGACTTCAAGCCCAAAAATAAGGACTTATTTTGCTGCGATGAGTAATTTTGGCTGTCTCTGCAGCAAGTAAAACTGAACGAGTAAGTTTTATGAATCAAGTATTAAATCTTCTTTCAAGCCACCTATCAAGAAAATATTGCTTACTACCCTGACGGCCAATCTTACACATTACAATCTCTTTTTATTTAACACTTTTGGCTTAAAATATCTTGACATGGTTTCTAACTCTGGAGTTGTTAATATGAAGTGTTATGAGATAATAGAATAAGGAGTTAAACAAATACACTTGACAAGAGTTGTTTTTTTTTTTTCCAGTGTTAGTCAAAGATTTAAAGCATTTAATCAAAAGAGAGTGTCCTTTGCCTTATTTGAAACCCTTTATGAAGGTCTACACTCAGGTAAACTCAAAGAAAGATGATGATTTGAGCCTGACAGAAAAAAGTAAACTTGAATAATCTTGCTGTGATGCACATTGGCAGAAGCTAACAGAATAATAATTGAATAGATGAGCATGCATGGTACAGTACTAAATCACGCCTGTTTGCTGTGACTCTTACAATCAATCCTGCCTCTTCCATAAATAACATCCAGACTGGCCAATCTAGTTAAATGATAAAACATGGTCTCTGTCTACGCCACAGTGTATCTTGCTTGCTGATCAATAGACCAGGGTTTTTCCCCACTGGAGCTTTCATGTGACCTCAGAAATGAGCGGCCCGTTTAACTGATGTCAAATACCCAGCTATCACTGAAAAATATGAAGTCAAGGTCAGGGGTCAAAATGGAAAGGAATAATCAATGCAGAGGTCATCCAGTGGGACATCCCACTTTGCCTTTAGGGTAAAACCAGCTAATGAGACTGCCCTGATTATCACTCTACCACCACTGCAGGGGGTTACGCAGAGTAAGAGTACCAACGCACACACACGTGCACACACAGAAATCTGCGGACATGTTTGATGGACCCCTGCAACCTCCCTTTGGATTGCTTTTTGAAGAGATTTCATTCCCCTCTCACCCTTGCATCTGCTACAGTAAGAGTGATTACAGTCTGGGAGGACACTGAACATAAATCTGGACATAAATCTGCAGGGAGAGAAGTGCAGCAGATTTAAAGAAAAATAGCAAAGGAACAAAGACAGAGCGCCGGCTTATTGGCTGCAGATAAAGGAATGCTTAATGAACATTAAAACCAGATTAATGAAATCCAAAAAATAAGCTAATTGTAGTGACTATGCTGACCTGAATTTTAGTCACTGTCTGGGTGCGGGAGTGAGGTGTTTTTGAAGCACTTCTAGTACAATCCAATGTCCAATCCAAGATTGGTGTTTAGTTATATTTTGCCATTTATTGGTTAAATAAAAAACAAACAAAAAAAGACAGATACGTCCAATTTACTATGATGGTGTGGCTTGTGATGAAGATGAGAGTGATGTCAGATTACGGTAAAAACCGCGTGCTTTTCCCGTTCCCCAGATCACTGCTTCACCTGTGTCCCTTTTGTAGTATTTACCTGCTCATTCACCTGAAGTGCCCCTTGTGGTGATTGTGCGAATAACAAAACAAAACCCCAAAAAATAATATAGATAAAATGGCTCATACACTAATTATTTATGTTTTTAATCAAATGACATAAACGACAATCCCCTACATTTATCAGATCTTTAATGAAGAATATTACTGAATGTTTTTACATTTTGGTATGTATTTACCTGTTGTTTAAAATCTTTGAGAAGTATAGACTGAGGTCACAAAGCAGTTGGGAACCACCTTTTTTGTACATTTTCGCCACTAGGGGCAGGCCTGAGACAAGCTGGATGGGCATGCTGTTGGTGCCCTTATATATTTATCAGACAAAGTCAGCTGAAGGTTATAACAACCTGGAAACACCCCATGAGCATCTGAGTCTTTGTGGGGTCTTGAAATGCAGATGCCTGCTGAGGTATCACTTCACTGTTTAGGATTAATACAAACAATAACAAAACCAAAACACAGACTTCCCTCTCATCCTGTTTTGGGATATTAAGCATAGAATTACAATAAATATGATGTCAGGGACTAGTCTGACCTGCACATACTGGAGGTGTTATTTAAAAAATGAACCATTTATCCTCCTGAGAGTCACTCTCCAGATTGAAGTGCCCTGCCTAAATCGACAAGTCTATAAAACACTTGTGTTAATCTGCAAACAGTAAAACACTGGTGTAATGCCTAAAGGCAAAGGGATGATTCAAAGAGACAGAAGCTGTGCCCAGAACTCACCTGTTCCATCAGTGGGAGAACGGCGACCTCTGCCGGCCGCCCGCAGCATTGCACTCCAGACAGCCAGACACAACGTGCTCCCAGTCCATTCATAATTCCTCACACGCTCCCTCTCCTTCCACCTCTCCCGGTTTATCCTTTATGGCTTGTTATATTTAAAAGGGGGCAGTTCGTGTTATTTGACCACATATTTTCTTTGATTTGATTTTTTGTCAAAGTTAAAGTCTGATTGAGCTTGTTGAATCATGGTAGAGTCGCTGGGCTTGCCTGGACTTGTATTTTACGCACGCTACAGTCTTATAAAAAACCGAAGACACGCTTTTTAAGATAAAAATCTCCAATATTGCTTACAAGCCATCTGGGAGGTTTCTGTGGAAACAAGGGTGCCATGGTAACGGTGACCGGGGTTACCGAGGAAACGACCGTCACCATGGAGACTGCATCACAGCGGGCTCTATTTGAGGCATCCAAAGAGAGGCACGCTCCATCTTTGATCACTGTGTGTGTGCGTGGAAGAGCGCCGTGTTTCTCCTCTCGCACGTGTGTCTCGCACCGATAATTAGACACTGACAGTCGGCTGGCTCCTTTTGTTTATACGTTGCTGTTTATACGGTGCTGCTTACGCATTCAATCGTCCACGAGGACAGTTTTATATCAAGGAATTATGGAGGACTCTTTAAGTAAGACAGAAGCATTTGGACTAGACTTTAACGCACAGTAAAGGCAGAGCACAGAACGGTCTAATCGAATAATATACGCAGAACTGTGTTATTTTTTAAAGACATTACATGTGTTTAAACACACACACACAATTGAAATGATGCTGAATATTATACATAGGCTATGACTGGAATCACGACTCATAACGCATGTTAATACAATGTGAGTGTCTTTACATTTGCACTCATCGTTCACAGTTATAAAGCTTCTATTTCTACCTGTTGTGATCGTAGATTTGCTATTGCACGGTGCACAACAGGTCTCTCAGACAGGAACAGTAAACCTAATACTTTAAGGAGCTCTCTCTCTTTCTCTCTCCAAGCGCGAATGGAGCCATACAGAATTATGGATTTGGATTACTAAAATGAGGAAAGCCCGATTCTTTGAATGGAGCACAAAGCAGCGTTTTCTGAATACACAGGGTTTTTGCTCTTTTTCTCCCTTTTCTCTTTGTCCATCTGATATTCCGTCGCTTCCACACGCTCGTGCGCAACGACTCTGTGTTGACACGCCGCCTCTTCCTGTGTTCAGGGCCGTGATGTTAAGAAAAACTACACGTCTGTGAAGATTTTTTTGTTTATGTTTACACAGTTCTGAGAGTTGTTTTGCTGCGTGGTGTTGGTGGTCGTGGTGGGGAAGTTTGGCTGCTGTTTGAACGCGCTGTTGATCCCGTGCTCCTCTATCACCATGTACTCGCTCTTGCTGAGGGAGGAAGAAGAGCGAGTCTTCCTCAGCTCTTCTGTGTCTGCCAGAGGCTGACAGCTTCCCACGTGCAGGTACTGAGCCTGTTCCTCGCCCTCCGTCTCTCTGTGGTAGAAGTAGTTGAAGTTGGAGACAATGACGGGAACAGGTAAAGCGATGGTCAGCACACCAGCGATGGCGCACAGAGACCCCACTATCTTTCCCCCGATTGTTACGGGGTGCATGTCCCCGTAGCCAACTGTTGTCATGGTAACCACAGCCCACCAGAATGCGTCCGGGATGCTATTGAAACCCGATTCTGGGTCGTCTGCTTCAGCAAAGTAGACAGCGCTGGAGAAAAGGATGACACCAATGAACAAGAAAAAGATGAGCAGGCCCAGCTCACGCATGCTGGCCTTCAGAGTCTGTCCTAAAATCTGCAAACCTTTTGAGTGGCGTGAAAGTTTGAAAATTCGAAACACCCGAACGAGCCGAATTACGCGCAGGATGGCTAAAGACATGGCCTGCTGTCCGTTCCCCTGCCTCTCTGCCAGCTCCGTGCCCAGCGTGATGAAGTAGGGAATGATGGCAACAATGTCAATAATGTTCATGATGTTTTTGGAGAACGTGGCTTTGCTCGGGCACGCGAAGAAACGCACGAGGAGCTCGAAGGAGAACCAGATGATACAGAGTGTCTCCACCACAAAGAACGGGTCAGAAAATGGGCTGATGAAATAGGGGATCGTGCCATTTATCACAGGCGCAATAGTGATTGGGTCTCTGTTCTCGTCCCTGAATTCCGGCAATGTCTCTAAGCAGAAAATGACAATGGAGATGAGAATGACCAGGACAGATACTATGGCGATGCCCCGCGCGGGACCCGAGCTCTCCGGGTACTCAAACAGCAGCCACACCTGTCTCTGAAATTCATTCTCAGGCAGCGGCCGCTCCTCCTCCTTTATGAAGCCCTCATCCTCCCTGAACTTCTCCATAGCCTCCTCACCCAGCTCATAGAAGCGGATCTCCTCAGAGAAAATGTCAATGGGTACATTTACGGGTCTTCTGATACGCCCCCCGGACTGGTAGTAATAGAGGATGGCATCAAAACTGGGTCTGTTCCTGTCGAAAAAGTACTCATTCCTGAGAGGATCAAAGTACCTCATCCTCTTCTTGGGGTCACCAAGGAGCGTCTCTGGAAATTGCGAGAGGGTCTTCAGTTGCGTCTCGAAGCGCAAGCCTGAGATGTTGATGACCACCCTCTCGCAGCATTCGTGATCCGGTTCATATCGGTCCAGAGAGTGGTGGCCCGGGAGAGCCGCCGACTCTTCCAGCATGTTGTCACACGCCACCACCGTCATCACGTCGGCCTCTGTCTCGGTGTAGCCGTGGTTCACAAGATTGTCGCCCCGGGTTTTGGTTGCGCTTGGCGGGGGTGATTGCAGGAGGCTGAGGTGGTCGTCCATGCGCGTTTGAAGACGCATACAGGGGCGGCCGCCTCGCCCCCTCTGCGAGCCCCGGTCAACCTCAGCCGCCGCCACAGTCTCGTCTCCTCCGCCGTCTCCCTCTCCCCGCACTCCACTTTCACTCTCTACTGTTGCTGTTCCCGCCCACTGGGAGAGATCTGGGTTTATAAACAGGCCTGCCACCCGCCCTCTGCGAGCCAGCGCTGGGTCCCTTACCCGGTCCTCATCCAATCGCAGGACGCACAGATGTACACAAGAAGCAACAGACGGGCGTCATTCAACACCAGGGTTTGGGCGTGCCCGCCTCCCGCTGCCCCCCCTCTTCGCCTCTACACGCGCTCAGACATACACACACACCCTCTCTCTTACACACACACACAAATACGCACCATCTCACACTCACAACGCGATGCTTGAGTCCTCTTTTAACCAAGGTCATTGCCCACAGACAGGGCATTTAAAATAGGCTACTCCTGTCATATCAGAGCCTCATTTTTCCAGGATCAGATCAATAAAGGAAGCTTTAGGCTACTTTATGTCACATCTTTTGTTCAACCCAAGACGCAGGTTTTGGTGATAAAATCGACTGTATTTGAAAATTACGCACAGTATATAAGTCTTCTCTTTTCAGTCTTTATGTAAACACAGAGCAGGGATGGGTGGGTCTTTGTCAATATGTTATCTTAAGTACAGCTTGTGTCTACTGTCTCATGGGTGGGCCTACGTGTTGAGGCAAAGGGAGGGCAGAGTGAGGAAGACAAGAGAGGTCGACCAGGTCGATGACAGAGAAAATAATGTCACAGAAACCCCGTTAAAGAATATCAAATATAGCCTATGACACATTTGGAGAAGCGCAATATTAATATATATGTTCTATACGGAAGCTATTGAGTCCTGACATCGTGGGAAATTCATAATTCTACGACATAAACACAGCAGCTCCATGCAATATTAAAGAGCTTATATTGTGAATGCCAAAAGGGCGGCTAAAGCAGACGTGGGTCCTTGGAGAGATTTAATAAAATATAGACAGCGTGAGAGAGACATCACATGAGGGAAATGTATTGCTGTTTCTTTATATAGAAGATTATATAATTTCAAAACTTGAAGAAAAAAAAAGCTGTTTTCTGCAAGTACTTGAAAGACTTCTTCTTAAGCATGGTGTAGTCTTGATAACTGTTGCTTATTGTTGCTCTGTATGTTGCATGTATTGATCAAAATGCGCTTTGAAGCCTTGGCTCATGATTAAATAAAACTCTCCTGCTGAAAAAAAAAAAACACATTTCACAGAAAAATGAAAAATTTAAAGTGAACGGATGGGAGACAGTGAACAACATGTTACTGCTCACCAGTATGTATTTAATATCATGATATTTAACCTAAAAACTGATACATTTGCGAGACCATACACTGTATAACATGATTATTTTCACAATAATACAATGAGTTTGTGGATGAGCATCTCCAAGCAAATTTAGCAGGTTTCTTGATTTCAACTAAACAAAGTGAATGCCTTAAACATTTACAGTTGTCAGATTTATAACCTCACTCTTCTGTCTTGAATTTCCCAAAATTGGTTAAAACACATTTTAATGCCCTTTGGGGAGGCTGCTGTCCAAGGTACTGAAATGAAAGTGAAAGGGATCAGGACTTTCTCTTTTTTAAAACCTTTTTTAAAGACCCAAACTAGAGTCATAGATTAAAATAGCTGAGAGGTGAGAATCTGACCGCTATCATGACACTAAAGCTTTGAGAAAAAGAGTCAAAGTCTGAACCAGATGTGATCAGTCCAGTCAAGCTGATCTTAAATGAATGGAAAAATGTTGCTTTTTCTTTAAGACTTTGAATTAAGGTGGAAATCAGCTGTTTACAACAGATATTACCAAGTGTGAACACAATCGCATGTTCGCACGGCAAGCGGAGTCAATATTTTACACAACACTTACACAACGCATCCTCAGAGGATTTGAAGAAATGAGGACAAGGTGAAGACATTTTGCTGTTTTTCCACTTTACCAAGATCTGCACCATGTTCAGAGATGTGTGTCAGAGGAAGGTTTTTGTAAACCTGCCAACGCCAAACACTTGTGTTTCTCTTACTGTGTGTGTGCGTGCGTGTGTGTGTGTGTGTGTAGGATGGTGTAGGTGCGTGGGAGGGTGGTGGTGTATGTAAGCTGAGAATAGAAAGAGAGACAGAAAGCATTAAAGTTGGCTGCTTATGAAGCTGAATCTGCTCAACAAAGAAAACATTAGGGTAAAAAGCCTCTCAGCAGCTTTACTTTCAGTCTGCTTCTCTGGTGTTTCAAACAGAAAGGAACTCTGTCCACCAGTTAGGCATGCAAACACAACAAAGCAACAAGTGGTAGGAACAAACTATCAAAAGGAGAGGTTCAAAGATACATCTTGTTAATCGTGAATGATGACTGTGTTAACTGCTCATGAAACAGCTGCTTCCTCCAGATTGAATTAAATGAGTTTTGGATGACTGGAGTAATCTGAGATGACTCCCATCAGTGAGGGTAATATGTGGCAACACCCAGACTGCACATGTAGCAACACAAGTCCACAAAGGCCAACTTTCACTGGATCAGGTCTGTGCCAAACTCAACCCTAAATCTCAACATAAGTATGGAGACACTGACCCAGGTCCTGAGCGTGAAGTAAAATGCTGAACCTCAGATTCAGATTCAGATCATATTTGTGTGTCACCACTAGAGGGCACAGAGATTTTAAACAAGAAAAAAAAAAAAAAAAAATGAAAGTACAGGAAAAAGCACCCTGACCTTGTTGCATCGTTTAACTTATTTCACTTGGAGCAAAAGGAGAGGGGTGATTTATAACTTAAACTCTACTCATCAATCTTTTTGTTCCTGATTCAGACCTTTTTGAAGGAAAATGAAGCAAATGTCAAAAAAGTAATACTGCTGCTACAGTTTGTCATCCCAGTTTTCCATTATCTTGTGTTTTCTGTCCTCTGCATTGAAATATGTAATTTTTTTCATGGCTTAAATTCAGTTTTAGTTGTTTTCATTTGCTCTACTGTTCCCTACAGAATCAGAGTGTTAGACATTTTATTAAAATAAAGAATAAATTATCCTGATAGAAGCCAATTTGCTGCATAATCATTAAATTCAAATTATATATTTATTTTTTTAAGATAAATACCATCACTTATACTTTTACCATTATTGCAAGAACAAGAAAATTGTACATATATTCAAGCTTTTATTGAAAACAGGCCTGTGGGCAAGAATGCTTGTAATTGGAGTATTTTGGCATCATAGCAGTGGCACTTACAAGTGGAAGAGCTTCATTCATCTGACGGCCTCTCATATCTTTCTCAAACAGGTCAAACACTGACGGTGTTTTCATCCAAGAGCTACAAGACAAATTGTGTTTTCTAAAATATAAAGGTGTCAGTTTCATGCAGAAGAAGGAAAACAAAATTTGCTCCATTAAGTAAATGGCTGCAGTGACAGACTCGTGTTCAGGGTTAAAGTACTAAAAGTTTTGACACTTTCCAACCTACACTTTTAAACAAAATGTCACTAAGTGCGAATGGCTGATACATGCAGTGTGGAGCCTGTTTTCTTATTGAGGCCACATTGAAGCTGTCATGTATTAAAAGGGGCCGTCAGTCCACAGGGAGAGAGCTCAGGGACAGCCAACAGGCCTTTTAATGTGGTTTCCACTCTGTGTGTTAAATATAGGACCACCCCGACTCCCTTATTAACCTACAAAATGAGGCTACCTTGCACATTGCACTTGAATGCCTCAAAGTGGAATGTGACTGAAAGGCACTGAAACAGGCCCAAAGAGCATGTGAGAGGGGAAGTGGGTCATCCTACAGGAAGCTCAGCTCAGCTGGCTGAGGTCACAGACATCTGGTTGCACTCGCGAAAATGGGCTGATTTGGATCTTCTATGAGGGATGTAAAGCAACATTTATGCACACAGTACCTGGAAAAACGGCAAAGTTGATGTCTTTAGAAGCAGGCCAAAAATGGGTGAGGACACTTCTTCCATAAAAAATGTACTTATCAAATCACTGAAGTATTGAAACAGACAGAAACTGACATACATGGCAATATAGATGAAAGGAGCTGATCAAATCCTAAGTGAGACCTCATTCCCAATGTTTAGCTTCTTAGAAAACTAACAGAAGCTAACCTTTTTGCCACAGTGTCAACAGGCAGAGGCAAAATGTGCCAGAGCCCTTTTATGTGGACCAGTTTGATACCATGTGTGTCAACAGGTTTCCCTTAGCAATGCTTTGTGTTGTTGAAAATCAACCGTTGTTATGAGGTTTTAGCCAATAAGATTCAAATGTTTAACACAGTTTGGTTATGAGTTAGAAAGCCTGGTCAAAACTTCTTAGTGTATCAATCACACCAACATGACACTTTTTCCTATCCTCCGTCTCATATCAGTTCATAATAGTCTTATAATGCAAATCATAGAATGCATGGATACAGACAGAAAATAAATATTTCTTGTGGGGATGTAGTGGCTAATATGAGTACTGGATGTGTTGTAGAACTTTCCAGCAGCCGTTGCTGTTGTCATGAGCATGCGCAGAGTGCCAAAAGGCATGGTCATTTTTTTTTTCATCCTTATTTGTGGAGGATCATCAGGACTTGTCAACGTGCCGGTGGGGGATGCTTTGTGAAGTTCTGCTCTATGGATGTTTAAGGATTTGTGTTATATCATTGTTAGTTAAGCCTGTATTTTTGTGTTTGTTGCAGGTTTACAACCTACTACTAGTCTTGGCTAATCATAAAATGAAGCAGTAGCAGGCAGCTATTGTGTGTGTGAGTTAACAGTAAAATCTGGACATACGTACAAGCAGTAATGGTAAAAAAGGAGAATAATGAACAAAGATTATTGACAAAGATTAGACTTACTCTTCTGTGTACAATCGGTAGCTGTTTGCAGAGTATGAAAAGGTAAAGTTAAATACACTACAAACATAAATAATCTTTCTGCTCACCTATCAAGGCAGCAGGGTATTAGCACTGACACTAAGCTACCAGCGTCTTCCCCGCAGCGACAGTTGAGCCATCTGCATCACCAGCGGCTGTCACTTTCCCAAGATAAACGAGTTGCCATCACATCAGGAATATAAGTGTCTGTTGTGATGGGTTGGGTTGTATTGATCCAGGATGTAATATGAAAAGCATTAATGAAACAGTAATAACAAGAACCCCGCCCTAACATTAGACAACACTAATACCTCCAAACAGATACTATTCAATACATGTATTAATTTCACACACATTCAAATAATGACTGAAGAAGTATTGATTCTAAGTCTAAG